AAAGCCTTAATAATTCTTATCTTTATATAAGAGATCTTAATAAATATTTTATTCTATATTTAGATATAGCCTTATAAGTAGGAAGACTATCTCTTTCTTAGATTTTAGAAATTCTAAATACTTATAGACCTTCTACTTAAATATTATAAAAAAAGACTTAAAAAAGAGGTATAACTATACTTTCTTTATATCTTTTATATTATCTCTAATTTTAATCTATTACTTATACTATCTCTATTAATATATATAGTCTATTTCTCTCTTATAGGGCCTTATCTAAAATATCTATAATTATACTTCTTATTTATAATTCTCTAGATTATCTAACTATAATTCTAAGAAAATATAGAGGCCTTTCTATTCTTAATTATAAAAGTCCTTAAATATCTTACTCTACTAAAGATTAGAGAGAATATAATCTAAATAAACTATTATAATCTTAGTATACTTCTTCTTATCTTAGTTATTAACTTTTATAGTAGACTCCTAGCTTATAATAAAGACTTAATATATTATATAGTTATAGATTAAGTATCTCTCTAACTTAAGTAAAGATTAGATTTAGATATTAGTCTTCTTTATAAATAGTAAGAATAATTTCTTTTATTCTTAGCTCTATAGATACTTTCTAAGGCCTATATCTAGATTATTATAAAGCTTCTAGATTTCTTATAAAAGCTATAATTTCTATTATAGATACTCCCTTATAGGGGTTACCCCTATTAACTTTAGATTTATTAAAATAAAAAAGTCTTATAAATCTAGCTTATTCTTAGAGCCTTCCTCTTTATAAGCTATCTCTTTTCTTACTATTTAACTTTATATAGTTATAAAGGAGGATTTACTAGATAGTTTAGATCTAACTAATCTCTTTTATAATATTATTTTCTTAATAGACTAATTTTAAAGATTAAGTAATAAAATATAAGGATTTATAATCTATAAGAATTAGAAACTAGTATAAAAAAAGAATAATTATAAATAGATTTAAAAATAGATATCTTTATTTAAAGAGATTATTACTAAACTTCAGAGTTTAGTAGTTATAGGCAGGATTTATATCTTTATAGGTTATATAATTATTTATATAACCTCTTATAAGGAGCCTTCTCATCAGTAGGTTCCTCTGCAAAGGTAGCTTTAATATAATACATAATAGACCTTCGCGATCCTTAGTCAGCCCTTACTAAGTAGTAGGTTAGGTAAATTCTCCCTTATAGAGGAAGAATCCCAACCTAGTATTAATCTACATAATCATCTGAATTCTTGAAATCCAAGCTACATAGTATCTATTCTTTCACACTAGTCATATTCCACATATGAAACCTAGTGTTCTCACACTAACTTAATTTAGGTTTTTAAGCCTAGATTAAAGTAGTATAGTACTAGGACTTTTATAAAGCAATATTTTATATCTTTAAAAGTATATCTTACTTCTAGAATAAGGAATTCTCCTCTATCTTCTTAGATTTTATAGCTTCTTTCTTTTATATTCTTATACCCTTTTATTATGTTTAATAGGGGTATAATAATTTTAAAGTAATAAGAGATAAATCTTTAGTAGAAGTTAGTAAAGCCTAGGAACTACTAGATTTTATAGATATTCTTAGGTTATAACTACTCTATAATTATAGTAATATAGCCTTACTCTATTTTTATGCCTTCTATGCTTACTATAAAGCCTAGGAAATTTATTTCTATAGTATAGAATTTATACTTACTTCTCTTAGTATAGAGTCTATATTTTTAGAGTCTAGCTAGTACTTTATAGATATATTATATATATTCTTCTATACTATTATTATAAATTATAATATCATCTAGATATACTACATAGTAGGTGTCTAGTAGATTACTTAGGGCTTAATTAATACATAATTAGAATATTACTAATATATTAGCTAGGCTAAATAGCATTATAGCATATTTAAAATATCTATATCTTATATAAAATATGGTTTTCTATTTATCTCCTTTCTAAATATAGATTCTATAATAGATATTATAGAGATCTAGCTTAGTATAAATCTATATACTAGCTAGCTAATCTATTAACTTACTTATTAGTAGTAGTAGGTAATAGTTTTTTATAGTAATTTTATTTAATCTATAGTAATTAACATATAGTTATAGTCTACTATCCTTCTTAGGTATAAATAAAATTAGAGTATTTATAGAGCTTTTAGATAGCCTAATCTATCCCCTCTATAGATATTCTTTAATATATTTCTAAAGGATCAGGAGTTCTTCCTAAGATAGTAAGTATAGTAACTTATATAGGGGTTATTTACTCTCCTTAAGCTTTATTATATAGTTATATATAGTATTCTATAGTAGAATTTCTACTTACTCTATACTAAATATATCTTAGTATTCTTTATATTCTAAAGATAGTACCTCCTCAGATCCTAAGCCCTCCTAAATTACTAGTAATCTTAAGGAGTTTTTTATTCCTTTAGGAATAATAACTAAGGTATATAGGAATATGCCTTTTTTTAATTTATTTATAGTCTTTACTACTAATATTATCTTAATATTAGGTTTTTTTTCCCTTAGTTTCCTATTATAATAGTACTAGAAGAGTTTTTTCTACTTAATATCTAGATTAGTAGCTTTTAGCTAGTCTATCCCTAAGATTAGGTTATACTTAATTATATTAATAACTTCTATAACTAGTTCCTAGGGCCTAGTATTTCCTATAGAATTAGTAATTTTTATAATAATACTTCTTTACTTATAGGAAGTTATAGAGTATCTATTAATAGCTTATACTAATTATAGGGGTTCTTTAACCTCTAGTAAAAATTTTTTTATCTATTATTAATTTATAAAGATCCTCTCTACTCTATAATTAATTAGGGTTCTATATATATAGTAATTTTATCTAACTATAATAAAGATTTAGTAAGTAAGTATCTTATTATTATTAGAATTTTTTTTAACTCCTAGTACTATTATAGTATAAAGTATAGAATATCTTAATTTTTTAGCTAGTTATTTCTTTAGGGTTTAGTATATTTATATATCTAGTAACTAAGCTATTTATATTTTTAGTAAGCCTAGTTTATTTTATCTCTCCTAAGAGAGTAGGAAAATTTCCTCTTTAGGGAGTTCCTCCTCTAGTAATTCTCTATTAGACCTATTTATTAGAATTCTTACTATCTTAATTTATAGTCTTCTAGTTTAGATAAATATTAATATTCTAGCTTTAAAGCTTACTTTAACTAGCTAAATTATTTTTTTTATAATATCTCTTATCTTTCTAGGATACTATCTTTAATTATAGCTAGATAAGTTAGACTAAGGCTACCTATACCTAATTATTTTTAGATTTAAATTAGTTAAAATATTTCTTAAAGTATACCTATATTTAGTTTATAAAGATAATATACTCCTGTATTAGTATAGCTAAGAATAATTTTATATTTATAGGTTTCTTTAGTTATTCTATAAAAATTATTTTTTTTATTACTTTAGGTATACCCTTATTTACTAGAGTTATTCTCTCTAATAATAGGGTTTCTCTAGTACTTTCTAGGATATAATTCTATAATTAAGCTTATTTTTTATTTAGCTATTACTAGATTTCTATTCTCTAGATTTCTAGCTCTAGATAGTATTCTTCTTCTAGAAGAAGTTAGATATCTTCTTTCTTAATCTAATTACTTAGGTTTTATTTATTATTATTCTATCTTTATTAGGTTTAGGATTTAGGCTGCCTCCTTCTATCTAGAGTTATTTCTATTATCTTAGTAACCTTATTAGTAATTTAAGGTATTTCTCTATTATATTAGGTTCTTTAGTCTAATATTTACTAGAGGGAGGGTCCCAGAGTAGATTAGCTATAGGTATTTAGTATTCTTATAGTATTTTAGTAGGCTAATTAGATTTTAGGAAGTGATTGGAATTATAAGATATAGTATAATATCTAATAGAAGATAGTAATAGATTAGCATAAAGGGATCATAGGGTTATATTACTATTACTAGAAGAACTAATTACTAGTCTATAGAATCTTCCTCTACCAGTGAGGTTTTACACTGGGTCATCATATGCTAAACTAGCCCTACCATTTTGTAAGGATTGTAAAGGTCTATTATGTATTATATTAAAGCTACCCTTATAGAAGAGCCTATTAATAAGAAGGCTCCTTATGAGAGGTTATATAAATAGCTATATAATCTATAAAGATATAAACCCTGCCTATAATTACTAAACTCTAAAGTTTAGTAATAATCTCTTTAAATAAGGACACCTATATTTAAATCTATTTATGAACATTCTTCTTTCACACTAGTTTCTAATTCTCACAGATCACAGATCCTTATACATTTGCTAGGGTGCAGCCTTGGTGCCTTGCCCAGCTTGTTTAGTGGAACTATTCTCTGGCACCATTCCTAACACTAGTAAAGGCCTAGGCCTACTAAAAGAAATATTATAATAAGAAATATATTATAAAAGTATTCTAAGTAGGAGACTAGGTCTAGACCTCTACTAAGAATATATTATAGATTAGGCTAATTATAAAGCTAGATTAGCTAAATACTAGACTAATATAAATTATAGAATATATAGGTAACCTAGCCTATTATATAAACCTATTAGTAGGCCTTAGGATATATAATATATTTTATATTTTTATGCTCTATAAATATAAGAAGATAGAAGGGGTAAACTTATAGACATATTTCCTAATCTATAAAGCTATAGAGAAGGATTATAAATACTATCTAGAGGTAATCCTAAACTTATAAAAGGAAGGATTATCTATAAAGTATTATATTTAATAAAAGGAATATACTAAGAAAGATAATATCTAGGAGCTTATAAAAGGCCTATACCACCTATAGGTCTATCTCGCCCAAAACAAGGATCGAGAACGGCATTTCAAAACGAAGAGACCAAAAGAAAACAAAACTCACCCATAAGAACGCTAACATGCCATATCATCAAAAGCAGTCATACCACATTCACAGTTACACAAGACCCGCCTCTTCTTACTAGACAAACCTCGTCCGCCTCTTCTCAATATACTTCGTAATCGGCCCGTCCCCGCACCGCGCATGCCGCACCAACTCCTCCTTGAGCGACACCAGCCCCAACCGTAAGCTCTGCACCTGCGTCTGCAGCTCGTGCTTCGTCACCGAGAGATCCTCGTACCGCGACTGCAGCTGCTGGATGTACCGCTTCTTCTTGGAGCGGCATTTCGTCGCCGCCGCGCGGTTCTTTTCGAGGTAGCGTTGGCGCTTGACCTCCTTGTCGGGTGGGCTGGGGGTGGTGAGGGATCGAGGGTTGATTCCGTCAGTGGTGCACAATGTGGGTTGGGTGTATGCTGGCCAGACTGGATGGGTTGGTGGGTTATAGAGGGGATTGGGGTAAGAGAGGTCGTTTGGGGGATACCCTGATAGAGAGGCGTCTTGAACGATAGGATTCTTTGGGTCTTGTAATTGCGGAGGAGGGAGTGTGCCATTGCAGGACGGCTCTTGGTAATTGCCATAGCATTGGCCTGAGAGGGAGGAGAAAGACTCGGTGGGAGTCGTGGTGGTGGCAGGAGAATAGTAGGCATAGGATGGCAAGAAGGAAGCTCGATGATCTTCCAGTTGATAGCTCAGAGGGGAATATGTTGCTGTCAATTGCGTGCACATTTTGACTCAAAGCAATCGAACAATTGTCAGATACCTCCTAGTGGTGCGAGTTGAAGTCCCACTGGGATTTCCAGGACCTCTCAGCCTGATATATGCCTTTAACGGAATACCCCGTCCAACTTGACGGTTACGTTTCCCTCTTCGACTTCCAGTTGATCTTGGCATGCCCTGATCCTGGGGTGTGTTCTCGGACTCGCTATTGGTGGAGGAGATACGGCACGGACGCATTGGCCTTGGAAATACTCCGTAGGCATATCGATCTGCCGATGCCGTGCCGTGTCTGCTGGACGGTAGTTACGAAGCCTCGAATCCCTCAAACTCTGGCCTGCTAATGCAACCGCCCTTCCCGGAAAGCATGATAGGATGCTGCTGATCCTGTTGGCTCATTTGTCGGACCATTTGCCAGGAAGTTTGTACAGGACAAGCTAGCTGTCAAAAGTTGTGCTTTTGTTAGCTGGTGGTGTCTTCGGGATTTTGTCCTTTTGGATTATCTTCCAGCTCCTTCGGTTGGCTGAAACTTGCGTGCGAGGTGGAGATGACCTTCATCAACTAGGGAGGGGGAAAGAGTGGAGGTGGTGTTGAGATTGGAAACTCGATGAACCAGTGTCAGAAATCTGGATTTTGATGTTTGCCTTCGAATATCGATTCTGAGAGAATTCATATTTTTCTTGATTTTTCGTGAAAGATCCGAAGGTCCCTTGCTCTCATAACACATCAATAGTTCTTTTCATAACACCATCCTTCCTTGTACGATGCACTCCTAATGGCGATCTTACGGGGAAGACGACGACGCTGTCCCAGTGGATTCCTTCGTGTACCGTCGGCTGAGCCATTCATCATTCATCATCGAGGGAGGCCAATGTTTGGAAATGTCATCCTGCATATTGAAGTATCGTATCGATCACCCTTTCGCAGCCTCATGCCCTTTTATTATTGGTTCGAGACACGGGCCAGCATCCTGTTGAGTTCTGTGGGGTTGCCAAGAGAGATCCACGATTAAACAATAATCCAGTCCTCCATGACGGAATTGATGACTCTAGAACTAATGGAGTCAATGCACATGTCATATTGTTGGGGATCACCTTGGGGAGAAGAGTGGTCCGGATGTGTTCCCCGGCCGTTTGAACTCTCGCGGACTCAAAGCAGGGCATAACATGCAGAAGGCTGAGACATCGCATGCAGGGGTCCACTCGCTGGTCTCGGCGGAAAATAAGCTGGACTGGATGGTCAATAACCTAATATTATTGGGGACTACGAGGATACCGCCAGCGAGGCAGGGATTCCTGAATCCGATAAACTCTTGACCATAGGTTTGTTCTTGATGGGATTACGGGGATACTCGGCTTTACTTATCTGTCATCCTCCGTGATCAACGGCATCAAGGAAGTCCAGACGGAGACCCAGAGTTTTCCCCACCTATTCCCAAGCCTTCTCAAATCTGGAGATTGCTGTGAGCAATGTTAATGAGCGGAGATACCAGAGATGTTCAGCCGCACTATGAAGTCAGACTTGGTATAAGGTACTCTCCTTATATTGATCGACTCGTCATCGGATGGGTGCTCATTGGCAGAGAAAAAGTCGGGGGGATTCACTAATGATTCCGAGAACCCTATCCTGGTCAATCGTGTTGTTTGTACTCGATAGAGTGGAGTTGTTCACAGATCGCAAACCGGTTCCAGGGAATCAAGAGCTTCGTGGTTGGGACATATTAGCCCCGAGGGCTTTAGTCTATTCAGTCGCTCCCTTGATGTCCGATGATCGAGAATGGGGCCAGTTACCCATTCAAGGATAAGGAAAAAGGCTTCCATGAAAGTGTTGATATCATGACTATCGTCGATCTCGCTCGGGGCAGATTAACAAGACCTCTGGGGATGAATCGTACTATATCAGGTATATTGATTCAGGGTAAATGAGCATGGTGCCAATGATCCGACAAATACAGAACAGTAAATGGGGAAGCAAGCTATACAGCTTCGTTGCGCACCTTCTCTTCGTGAGGTTGCAAGAGTTGGACTTTGTGGACGGCTTTCAGTATCAGTTGAATACCAGACACTCGCAGTCAGCCATTTCCCTGTCAATGATCTGCTGTTCGCTTAGGCTAGATAAAAACGTCCGTTGTCATTATTCATTGGGGGGTTAGACAGGCCCCGGAATGTAGAACCTCCGATGCCAGTTGATTGGGGCAAGAGATGAGACAGACACGCGAGATGAAACTGCAAAGCACTCAGAGCAAGTGTTGACCTCTTCCTCGCTTAAGTCATCCATCTATCAAGCCAGGGACATCGCTGACCCAAATCCATACTAAGCACATCCCAAGAGCTAAGCTACCCATACCTTCACCCAACCCAGAACTACAATGAAACAGACATAAGAACATTCTCCATCCTCTAATGCCCTCCTCCCTGCCGTCCTAGCAGACGAGAAGCTGTCTGTATCCGCTGCCAACGGCGTTTGGCGCGCAATAGCCAACCTACAGAGCTGGGGGGGGGAGCTGTATGCGTGAAAAAGTGAAAAGGGGGGGGTTTCTCGTTTTCTCGATTTCGTATGTGCACTTGCATTTGTATCATCTTTATGAACATCATGAGGGAAAATTTGTAAATATGAACATGGAAGAAAAAGGTAATTGCACAGTGAAAGAAAAAAAAAAAAAAAAAAAAAAAAAAAAGGAGAAAAACTCATTGCCACCAGCCCGGCGCGGACCAGAAATCCGGATTCGGCACCTGCGACGCCAGCGTATCCGGCCACGCCCGGTGGCCCGTCCAGCTGATGTAGTCCCAGACCTCCTGGCTGGGCAGACTCAGCTCGTTCTCGGTGTAGATGGAGGGCATGCCGGTCATGACGGGGACCTGGAGGGCCGGGTTCATGGCCTGGGAATGCGGTTGGGATTGGGATTGAGGTTGGTTGGGAGGTTGTGTTTGGGGGTGGTAGATTGGTGGCGGAGGGTCGGCGAAGCGGACTTTGGTTGCGGCGAGGATACGCGAGATGAGGCTCAGGCTCTTGCGGGCGGTGGGGTGCCAGGCCTCGATGCGCGAGATCGTGCCGATGGTAATCTCGACCTGCTCGCGGCACGAAAGGACCAGCTCGCGGTCTGCGTCGGTGATGGGCGCCGTGTTGGTGAGCACGACGCTCAGGCTGAGTAGCGGGACGAGCGTGGCCTGGAACAGATGCCAGATGACGCCCCAGGCGGCAGTGGGGTTGTGGATGCGGGCCTGCGCGATGTCGCGGATCGCATCGTTGGCGAGCATGCGGCACTTGTCGATGGCGAGCCGCTGCTCGGTGTGCAGGGCTACGTAGGGGACGCGGCGGAGCGCGAAGCTCAGCAGCACCGGCCGGTAGAGCAGAATGCGCAGGTTGTGCAGACTCCACTGCATGCGGGTGCGCGCGGTATAGATCGAGTCCGAGCAGGGCTCGTAGGACTTCAGGAGCGCCGGCAGCTGCTCGTACCAGTCGAGGAGCTCGTTGTCGAAGTCTTGGAGTTGTGAGTAGGGGATCAGGGGCGATGCGGCGAGAGCCTCTTGGATGCGGGTGGCGATCTGGCAGTAGCGGATGTTTTCGACCAGAATGAGCGTACACGAGGAGTTCTAAAGAGTCAGCCATTTTGATCCCTTCTTTCTTTCTTTTTTTCCTTTCAAAGGAAGAATGGCACGACTTACGATTCCCACGGTCTGGACGGGCGGCCGCGTCGTCACTGCCAGCGACGAACGGCCCAATGTTGGCCGCCCCAGCGTCATGCTGCCCCAGGTGTCCAGACAATACAGCGACCACCAGATACGGCGACGCAGCTCGACGGGCACGGACGGCCGTAAGGGCCGGCTTTCGCTCTCGTCGATGTCGGCGTTTTCCTTGTGCAGCCCCAGCGCCGTGGCCATCCGCACGGCGGCGCCAATCAGCACATACGCCAGGTTCGGCTGGCTGATGTAATGCAGGTAATGGCCGGCCATGAGACCGAGGGTCTGCACGGTCTCGAGATGTGCAGTACCCAATGACTCAAGCGAGAGATAGGAGCGAACCCGCTTGCAATAGACTATGTGCGAGGGGTCGTCACCGGGGTAGAGGGCGATGCTACCCAGGGCAAGAACCATGTTCAGCAGGGCAAGCCATTGGTCGTCCTGCCGAGTGCCGGCGAGATACGTTTGCCGGAAGTCTCGTTCGTCGACGAGAGGCATAGAAGGGTGGATGTAGTCGAAGTAGGCATCAAGGAGTTGGAGATCGTTGTTTGATTGAGTGGAATGAGATTGCGGAATGACCGAGTTGGTCAGTTTGGTGAGCGAAGGGGATCTCCCTCCCGCCGGGCCCGGCGAGGGAGTCTCCTCGACCGCCGCGGCCAGCTCCAGCGACTCAGGATCGATCCATTTGAGCACCTGGAACACGGCGTTGATGGAGGAGATGCCCAGATAGGTGGACGGGGCGCGAGTGACGGTGGAGAGCGCATTGACATCGTCCGAGACGTCGTTCGACTCGTTGCCGTCCGTGTTCTCCAGCGAATCGTCTTGCGAGGGATGAGAATTCTGGTCCGTTCCGGGGGTCTCAGGAAGCTGCGGTGTGGGTCCATCTGACACCAGGATGCTGTCGCGCAACAGCGCCAGCAGCTCCTCTCGCGACAACGACACCAGTGACTGCACGGGAGCGGACGGGAATAATTGTTCCACCACCGACCGGTACTGATTGGCTGTGTCGATGCTGTCGTCCAGCGTTCTGGCTCCCCGTTTCCCATCAGATGCATCTCCAGCAGGGGGAGGTCAGAAACATGCACGTACCTGCGAGGCACCCGGGGATCCGAATATCGACACAACTCCGGCTTCTTGTAATAGAGACACGGCTCGCATGGATGAGTGCCAGTGCAGCGGATCTTGCGTCGTCGACACTCCTTGCAGGCGCGTAGGCCCGGTCGACGACCACGGCGTTCATCTCGTGCTGTGCGCTGCTCGTTGCGGTGGATCTCAAAAGTATGGAACATGTTGGATGATGAATGGCTGGTTTCAGAGCATTTTGAGAGATACAGTAGAGACAGAAATGAGGTTGATGAAGAAGAGTATTTTATTGTTTTCCCAGAGAGTCGAGGGGGAGTCAGGAGACTTTGGGCTGTAGATAGATGATTATTCTTTTTATTCTTCTTTTCAGCATAGTCAGTCGCATAATCATCATAAAATGCTCATAATCCTCAGTCAGCAGCACAAGCCATTCATTTCCTTTTCACCTCCCCAGAGTAACAACCTAGAATGACAGTAGTTGATAATTGCCGGTCGATTGATGAATCGCCACAAAAGACAGAATTGAAAAGAAAAGAAAAAAAAAAAATCCCCAGATTTTTACCCCGCACAGAGGGATAATAATAATCAAAAAAAAGGGGGCTAAGAAGCCTACGAGGAAGACATCCTCGCCAGTTGCCAGCAGTCAGGACTAAGTAGTGTAGTTGACTACTACTCGTCCTGGCTAGCCGGTCTCGGGTCATATTGGGCTTCCATTGACGCCTCGTGGGCTTCGATTCATGCACTGGCTGGAATGTGATCAGTTGATCACAAATTTACAATTCCTCCGAGATTGGGTGGGGTCTCTTAACTACAGAGTATAAGCTCTTCGAGTCGGCTTAAGCTTAGTATGTTTCAGCGAGACATAGTGTCTGGCCTAGCAAGGGCGATTATAGAGAATGGGTGCTCCCCATCCAGAATCCACCGAGTGAGGCATTCAATAAAATCGATAGACCATTCGCTTGGTTCTCTTGCTGGGGTGAAAGGACCCGAGGCCTCAGCCTATGCTATAGCTGTCCGTGTCAAAGACTCAAAGTGTCAGACTCAAGAGTCAGAGACCAAGTCCCCAACGACGCGAAGGATTGACTCTGCGCTATTTAATTTTGCACCAACTGCACGAGGCCGTCACGATAGATTAAACACCGAATTCCCGGACTCAATCAGGCAAACGGTATCCGGCCGCTCTGCTTTGGGAAGTGACGGCTTATTGCACATTGGATTCATGACCCTGAGCAGCGCAGTCCGGGGAAATAAGCTCATCGGTTGGTAGGATTCACTGTCGGCTGTTGAGGACGCAATTCTGCAGCCTTGACAGGTGTCTGCTCCTCTGCATGCTGTGTATATGACTTCGGCAGTGAGGAAGGAGGATGCTGCCGCTAATGCTCGAAAATGCCGGATCTCCTGGCTGGTGCGTGTATATAGATAGTATCTATACTAGTGTAGTGTTGCCCAATTGACTGTTGAGTGCGTAGACGCCTTTCGACTAACCGAGCCGAGAAATACCCCCCGCTGTCCGCAGGCAGGGAGGGGGGGGGGAAGGGGAAACGCTCGTCCTACAAGTCAAGATAACAGGCTGATTCTCTGGATCCGACTCGCCACAGTTTCCGTTCAAAGAGAGGTCGCTGTTGACCAAGATCGTGAGCAGGACTACCTCAGGTTCGAGTGTGGACGAGCCAAGCACGTCTAACGGTGGCAGCGTCGTCGAATTCGTATCTAATTCCAAAGTCTAACCCCCCTCTTGCCAAGCGGATCGGCTAGTCACAATCTAGTCCAACCGCCCAAGGGGAGGGGCGTATGGTGTGATCGATCCTCACGGATATGGCCGTGTTGAAACTCTTAATCTTCAGAAGACGACTTTCACCCCGGATTGTTGTTCACGAAAGGGAATGGATCTTCGGGATCCACGATGACCTCCACCGCGATGCACCAACCAGACTGCCACCGAGAACCGCGCATCTGCGCCGAGAAGAGTTCCTGAATCAGCGACCGAGTGGACAACCTAGTGTGATACAGTTCTGGGGATGCTAGTGTCAAGGGAGATGGACGTGTCTGTCACCAGGGTGTGCAACTACATACCTTTTCCAGCGGCTTCTCGGACAATTGAGCCATGCGAGATCACACTTTCAATCACGCCTCGAAGCGAAGTAGAGCGACACGATATCCATCATCCTCGACACTCCAAATCCAATTCCATCCTGCGTAAGTCCACTATTATTATTATTTGCGGGGAGGCTGCAAGCACCAAGTGGAGCGTTTCTCGCTTCCCAAGAAATGTCCGCGCTGTCCAGTGTCCGGTGTCAACTGTCAGTCTGTCACGTTCCCCCGTCGATAATATTGCTCTTTCCCCCTCTTTCTTTTGATTCTTTCACTTCGCCTATACAGCGCATACTCTCCTCTCCTCTCCTATTCTATTCTATACGGATAATCCACTAAAATTGCACGGACACTGTCGGTGTCTCTCAGTCCTTCAGCGGGAAATACACCAAAGGCTAATCCCCCATTGGCTGCAGGTGACTCCAACCACACGTCCCAAATCTAACACCCACCTTTCAAAGCCTAAACAGGGGGTTTCCATCAACTGGACTGGACGAGAAGATACCTCACGAAAGCTAGTCGCGGTATATACTCGACGTTGGGAATTATGAACGGCAACGCGCAGACGCAGACGAAGAAGCGGAAGTGGGAGGACGGGGAAGAGCGCGTAGACTCCGCCGCCACTGGTTTCTTCGAAGCATTAGGTTAGATCGCACCTCGTCGTCCTGACGCTCAATGGCTGATATGTTAATTGTTAGTGGAGGCTGGCGTCAAGTATTGCTTTGTGAATCTGTGAGTGGGATGATGGATGATGGATCGATTGCCAGTTGTCGCAATGTGCCAGCTGACTGGGTTAGGGGGAGTGACCATCCCGCCATGCTCGAGGCGATGATCAAGGCGAAACAAGGTATTTGACTCGGATGCTTGGCTTGAGAAGGATCGAGACTAATTGGATAGACAATTCGATTAAATTTCCGACCATCATCACATGTCCCTCCGAATTGGTTGCACTGTCCGCTGCTTTGGGTTATGCGCAGGTGACAGGTTCCCCAGTGTGTACCGTCTCGATTCAAATAAATACATTTTTTTTTTCCAAAATCTGACGAGGTAGCAATGCGTGATTGTCCATGTTGACTGCGGAACCCTGGCCATGGGCCAATCCATCCACAATGCCTCTGTGACCCGCGTGCCGGTCCTGTGTTTTGCGGGATTAAGCCCCTTTACCGACAGTGGGGAGATGCTCGGTTCGCGAACGGAGTAAGCTATCCCCAACGGCCCAGCATCACTGAGGTACTGATCATCCAGGTTTATCCACTGGTTGCAAGATATCCCCGATCAGGCATCCATCCTCCGGCAGTACTGCCGCTACACCGGTGAGATCCGCACGGGCCGCAACATCAAGCAGATGGTGTATCGCGCCATGCAGTTCGCCATGTCCGATCCAAAAGGGCCAGCGTATCTGACGGCCGCACGAGAGGTCTTGGAGGAGGTATTGGATTCTAGATCGAGCTCGGAACGATAGAAGCTGATTCAACCAGCAAGTGGAAATCCCCGATCTAGGAAATGAGCTCATGGGCCCTGTCACCTCCTGTGTGCTTCCAGATCCCGAGGTCGAGCGCATCGCCGCCGCGCTGATGGAGGCCAAGCGCCCACTGATCATCACAGGCTACATGGGCCGGAACCGACGGGCACCCCCGCTCCTGGCAGAACTCTGTGATAAGCTACCCATCAGCGTGCTGGAAACCGTCGGCTCAGACCTGTGTATCCGCAGTGATCATGAGGCGTACCTGGGGGTGACCGTGAGTACGCATCCAGCTGTAGGCCAGGCGGATGTTATTCTGGTGATGGATTGCGATGTTCCCTGGGTTCCGACGGCAGGAAAGCCTGCCGAAGGTATGTTCACCCTCGACATCTATGGAAGTAATCCAGCTCACGTATCCAGGAACGAAAGTCTTCCATCTTGACGTGGATCCCCTGAAGCAGCAGATGCCAGGTATGCCACCCATTTTTACGCCTCGCTTGTTGTCTAATGGAAATAGTCTTTTTCATGCAGGCAATCCGGCGGTACAAAGTCAGCTGTGAGCTGGCGCTGCAGCAGCTCAACGCGTTTCTGGATAAGCAGCAGCTCGACCGTGGCAGATACGCCGAGGGGTTTGAAGCACGCGCACAGCGCTACAAGAACTGGCGACAAAGCCTACAGTCTCTTGAATCACCGACGGATGATATCGTCACCGTCCCTTACCTTTCCTCCAGACTGCGCCACCATCTCCCCGAAGACAGCACCATCGTCATTGAAGCCGTTACGAACGCCATCCCAATCATCCACCACCTGAGCCTAACCAAGGTATGAGTCCTCTTTCCTTCAGGTTCTGTTCTCCACTAATGACGGAAAGCCTGGAACCCTCTACGGCAGCGGCGCCGGCGGTCTAGGCTGGGGCGGCGGTGCAGCATTAGGCGTTAAGCTAGCAAAACAAGACTCATTCATCTGCGCTATGTAAGCTACAGTCCATCCCAGACCCTGCACCCCAACTAACAAGTCAGCGTCGGCGACGGCGTCTACCTCTTCTCCCAGATGGAGTCGGTCTACTGGATCGCGCGCCGCTACAACGTCCCCTTCCTACTGATCGTGCTGAACAACGGCGGGTGGAACGCGCCCAAGGTCTCTGCGTTGCTGGTGCACAAGGACGGGTTGTCGTCCAAGTCGAACAGAGGAGGTACGTTCCGTTTTTTTTTGGAGTTGATGTTAATGAAGCTATGCTGACGAACAGACTTGAATATCTCATTCGAACCCTCGCCGGATTATCCCGGGATTGCCTCCGCCGCTGGCAATGCCTGGGGGGCGACGGTGTCTGCCGTGAAGGATGTCGATAGCACGCTGCAGAGCGCGGTCAAAGTGGTCCAGGGAGGCAGATGTGCGGTTGTCGAAGTCCGGTGAGTTATGTATCGTAATGAGTTGCTGGGAAATGCTAATGTGACGGTGTAGGGTGCCATCGATGTGGCCGGAGAATTGATCAGAGACAGCTTTCCTGATAGAAAGATAGTCAGTTAAAAAAAAAAAAATACTCTGTGTGTACTATATAGACATCCATGATACTTACTATTCATTCTTTACTTGGTTGTCCAGGCAAGGGTTGTACACATACAAGCAACGCCAGGAGATGCGCAAAACAAGATTGAATTAAACTCGCGACATCAAAACTCTATCAATCGTATCGTTCAATCTGTTCACTGCTAAAGAGTGATTCCATGGATCTGATCTGTGCTGTTCGTGCAGATCGATCGATAATCGACGATTGCGGAATGCCTGACATCATGGTCACAATGAGATCACCCGACTATATAATATAAACATTTGCAGTCGATTGAGAATTGTACTTTGAGAATAACAGTGATCGAAATGCCAGAGAAGAAGAAACGAGTTGCCATCATCGGCGCCGGGGCAGCAGGCATGGTAAGCATCTCGATCTCGATCTCTCTACCTAGGATTCTACTATGGCTTCATATCTGACAGCGTCTCCACCATTCAGTCCTGCGCCTCCACCCTCGCCAACCACCCCGATCGCTTTGAAGTCTCGCTCTTCGACATCGCGTCCTACACCGGCGGCCAAGCAACGTCCATCTCGCTGGACGAGTCGCGCTACAGCGCCGACTGGCTCAACGACGGCGTGCAGGGTGGCTCCCCGATCTTCCGGCACACCTTCCACTTCTTCCGGCAGTACGGGTACGAGCCGCACCCGGTGCAGCTGCAAGTCGCCTTCGGCAAGGGCGTCGACAGCTTCTTCACGAACATGTTCCCGTCGCCGCTGGTCGACGAGCTCGCGCCGGAGATCAAGAAGCTCGGCCGCGTGCTGAAGTGGATCAAGCGCCTGCTCCCGATCCTGGGCCTCATGCCTGTCAAGACGATCTTGCGTCTCTTTCGCTTCAGCGACGCCTTCGCCAACAAAATGGTCCTCCCCATCATGGCCCTCTTCCTCGGTACGGGCAACCAAACCCCCAACGTCTCCGCCGCCCTCCTCGAGCGCCTCTTCGACGACCCAAACATGAAACTATGGGACTACGACCCAGACACCCTCCTCCCCAACCAGCCCACCATGTACACCTTCCCGAACCTCGGCGCCTTCTACCGCACCTGGGCCGCCGACCTGCGCGCCCGCGGCGTGCACCTACGCCTCAACACGCGCGTCGAGATCCTCCACCGCGACGCCCGCGCCGTCAGGCTGCGCCCGCACCCCGCACATCATGACCCGGCCTCCGAGCCCCCACCCCAAGAAGTCCGCGATAACTTTACGGAGCGCTACGACGAGCTCGTGTTGTGCCTGCCAGCAGACGAGGCGAAGGCGCTGCTGGGCGCGCACGCGTCGTGGCGCGAGAAATACGTCCTCAGCGGCGTCGCCTTCTTCAACGACGTCACCATCACCCACTCCGACGCCGAGTATTTCAACTCCCTCTTCGAGACCCGCTACAAGCCCGAGCTCTGCGCCAAGGCGTCCTCCGCCGCCCGCGAGGACCAGATCGCCACCGCGCGCACGCAGCCGCCGACCTGCCGCGCCGACGGCTGGGAGGGTTTCGCGCCCATGTACTTCACGCACTCGTTCGCGCGCGACCCGGCCAAGATCGAGATGGGCTTTGACTGCTCGAATTACCAGCATCAGTTCCGCGCGGCCGTCGGCGAGGGGAACCCGCCGCAGCCGCCGGAGAGACACGTGTACCAGACGATCTTCCTCAACGAGGAGGAGAAGAACCTGTGGACGTGGGAAAGTATCGATCCGGACAAGATCATCCACAAGAAGTGGTGGCATCAGTTCGGGCATCGATGGCAGCATTATCTGCGGGTCGTGCCGGGAATGATGTTCATCAATGGGAAGAATCGGACGCTGTATGCGGGCGCGTGGACGATGGTGGTATGTATCTGGTTGCTTTTTTTTTTTCCTTTTCGCTTTTTTTTTTCTCCCTAGAGTTGGAAGATGGACGACTGTCGCTGACGATGGTAGAATATGCATGAGATTGCGTGCATCTCCGGCATAGCTGCTGCATATCGCCTCGGGGCGACATATGAGCCCTTTGATGACTTTGCAGAGGATCTGTTCTCAAAGTACTTGATGGTCTCGCACGGGGTGCGGTACAAACGGAGTCAATAGTTGATATATATGTGTATATTCATCATGTTAATGTTAATTTTAATGGTCATCTTATAACACATATCAGAAACTTTCCATTCCCGGATCTGTGAGGTTGCCAATAAGGAGAGTAGGTGTTGAATGTCCGCTCTCCAGTCACTCACTTACTCAAGCAAATCTCGAGATCATGAGCTTCAATCTCTCCATGACATTGCAATTTCCCTTGGGCAGCGAAATCACAACAAACTAGGCAGAGTATGATTATACTGTGTAGATAGGACAAGTTCTGTAGGCCGAACGTGGTAAGCGCTATGCCGTTCGGGGTAATGGGATGTCCGTGGACGGCAAGCGGTGGGCGGCGGCAGGACGGCGAGCAATGGGAGCGGTTTCCAGCGCCCTGCTTGCCGTCTGTTAGAATACTTATAGTACGGAGTATAAGTATAAGTATTATAATTATAGATGCTATAATAGTAATTATTAATATACTAGATACAACTATGATTAATATGATTATAGACTATATAACCCTTTCTAAAGATAATCCTACCAGCATGTATACTTTCATCATGATGATGACTATGATACTGTGGTTAGTCAGGACATGCTACCAAATTGTCATGATGGCAGATGTAAAACCACAATGGTGGCTACAGATTTGGGTGATGGTAAAAGGATGTCTCATTAAACTATCTCCCCCTGTTGAGCATCTCTCGCTACATAACATCACACATGATCTGCTTCAGAACATAAAAACATTGTGCTGGGAGGTAAGCTCTACTGTACCGGACCGTCACAGTTAGGAAAAAAAGGTCAAAATGACGTGTTGTTTTGTCATTTTATCCCATTTTAAAAACCACCCCTAGTTGCAGATGGCAATACTAATGCTCGGCAGATCCGCCAATAGCGATGCGTTACTCGGCAAACCGCAACTCTATTCTCGCCTATCAGTATGGCTACTTTGCTAGCCTCCAGACCTGGACTGATTTCAAGTGTTTGTGGATCTTCTCAATAAGGTTTGATCAAACGATAGGGGCTTACCCCAGGATTGAGAATGGGGAGGCCGAGGGTTCAGCTTTCAGAGGGTTCAAGTTCGAGACGAGTCAGATCAATGATCAATGCTCCAAATAGTAGCCTGCTAGCCTGCTACCCACCCACGCGACGCGAGACAATCTCCAGTCAATGCACTTCTCCTGTAAGTTCCGAGGTAATAGCCAGCTTCAGTGATAAAGAACCCCGCATGCGTGGTGGAAGAATCGTGGTCCCCGACTTGCTGATAATATCCTAGTTTTGTAGTAGTAGTATCAACCGCGGTACTCCGCAAGGCCAAAATAGATGCCTTTGGTGTATTAATAGAACCGTTGCCCCAATACCTTGGGTCAGTTCAAATCAAAAACAAGTGCTTGAAAATCAGGATGACTGTCCTCACACCTAGTATTGATGACATCAAAGCATCCATTGACGCTGCCTTGGAGACACTCCATGCTCCCCTGCGTAAAATCAACAGAGAGGTTCGTCTCGACGACTCGATTCAAAGCACTCTAGGCTAACTGAAAAGATATGGTCCAATCCGGAGACCGCATACCAAGAGCATCGTGCCCACGAGACAATCTGTGCCTTTCTCGAATCTCAAGGGTGCACCGTGACCCGCCAGGCGTATGGTCTCGACACTTCCTTCGAAGCCATTAGCGGCTCTGGCGGTCGGCTCATCAACTTCAATGCTGAGTACGATGCGCTTCCTGGGATCGGGCATGCCTGTGGGCACAACCTGATCACAACAAGTAGCGTGGCTGCCTTCCTCGCTCTGTCTGCTGTGTTGAAGAAATACGGAATCCCAGGTCGGGCACAACTGTTAGGGACACCAGCGGAGGAGAATGGCGGTGGAAAGGCCAAATTGATCGAAGCCGGAGCGTACAAAGGCGTGGATATCTCCCTCATGGCGTACGTCCCCTTGTGTTCTCGATTTGTTCCATAATTGACGATTGACGAAATAGCCACGCTGGGCCGAAAAAGCTCTTCCCCGGAGTTGACTCCGATGGAGTTGCTGGTGTCCTCTTGAACGCGCGCAAAGAGATCCATTGCACATTTACGGGAAAATCCGCACACGCTGGTGGCAATCCCTGGGAGGGAATCAACGCGCTCGATGCCCTGGTCAGCGCATACAATAACGTGGCTGTGATGCGTCAACAGATGCAGCCTGACGAACGAGTTCACGTCGCATTCCTGGAGACCCCAACTGTGGCTAATGTGATTCCGGCGAGAACGAAGGCGTATTGGCAGGTGCGCAGTCCAACATTGAAGGGGCTGAATCGGCTGATGGGAAAGGTGAGAAACTGCATCGAGGCTGGGGCGTTGTCATCCGGATGCAAGGTAGAAATTGTTGAGTGTGTATTTCTGCTACTACCAATGAGCTAGAATGCGATGCTGATTGACAGGGATCAACTGTACACGGACATCAAGATCAACGAGACACTTTGCGAACGGTACGCCACGCACATGGCTAGGTATGGACGCCACATCACCCCGAGCCATGACAAGGTTCTCACTGGGTCCTCGGATATTGGTATTCCCCCTAAACCTTCTTGAAACCGACGGGTATGCTGACTCTGTAGGAAACGTGAGCTATCTCATTCCAACGCTGCATACCACGTTCGCCATCACCGACCAAGAAGGCTCATTTCCGCACCATCCCTCGTTTGCAGCTGCAGCTGGAACCGACACAGCGCATGACGAATCTGTCATTGTGGGCAAGTCCTTGGCGATGATCGGATGGGAGATGCTGGCAGACGATAGTTTGTTCGAACTGGCTAAGAAGCAGTGGGAGATTGCTGTTGGTGAATAAACCTGACGGCGTTGCTGACTTCGTAGAATTTTTAGCAACATCTCACAATGCAGTTTGCGGCTCTTAGAGCACACTGTTGGCTATCTTTTAAACATTGAGAAACAGAGATGGATGAATTGAAGATCAAACGTGTCGTATGGAGATCAGCCATCGTGCCAACTATGAGGTTCAACAACTGCTTTGGCCAAACCACAAGGATTCCGATAGTTGTACTGCCCTCTTCTTGTGCCATGCCGAGTTAATTCTTCCTCTTCAATGTAACTTACTTCCTTTCGTCATCTTTGAACATCAAGTCAACTGTTATACTCCTGCTGACTCATCTTCCGATATCATCTGTTCACTTCCGAGGCTCTGCCGCTTATCGGCTTTCACGCGTTTCTCCAAGCTTCTCCATTTCTTTCTCCTCCCAAAATCAACACTTCGTCGCGTTGACATTTCAATTCACTCATGCCTACAGGCTGATTTACAGACTGAGAGTGGGCGACTCTATCCATGTCGGGACGGAACGCCCCTCGCTCGAAAAATGGTCAGTTTACTTTTCGCCGATTCCCAGGCCATATCATTCGATTCAACGAAATTGACCAGTGCAGGCTGCAGTACCTGTCGCCGTCGAAAAGTGAAATGCGGCGAAGAGCGTCCCATCTGCAACCGCTGCCTCAATCTACGGCTCAATTGCGAGTGGGAAGTCGCCGCGAAACGAGGCAGTAGGGCGACTATCAATGTGCGTCCGATCCAGCCAGTGCGATCTGGCGTGGACTCACTCGCTTCTGGTGACAATGCTGCTGGGATGATCCCTTCGGCCCATTCAAGTAACTTGACAACACTGTGGTACGGGCCCCAAGCATACAATACCAGCTCTCTTGCGGCGCCGCCACTCCAGACCGCGTGGTCCTTTCTACCATATGAACCTTTGACACCGCTCTATCCGCCCCTGTCCGTATCACAGATTCCTTGCGCCAATTCGCTAGTCCTATCTGAACACGATCAAATATACTTTCAGTTCTTTCCTTCATCTTCCCTCGTGTTCTACTACATGAAAGCTTGGCAATGGAGCACCTTCTGCTATCTATACCAGGGTCCTGCTGCATCGAGCAAGATCATTATGCGAATGATCCTGGCCTTGTCTGCAAGTGACATGCATCGCAGTGGCCATATTTTGCGGTCTCCCGGTCGTCCGACAGCCGAGGACCATGGTCGGTACCACTATGGGCTTGCCGTCAAGGAGTTCCGACAATGGCTGGAGACGCCGAAGCGGGAAGTTTCGCAGACGGAGCTGGAGATGATCCTGGTAACAATGTTCTTAATGGTCGCTTATGAGTGGCAGTTTGGGAATTGTGCGAAGCATCTACAATTGTATTTGCACGGGGTGCGGTCATTGCTGGAATCGCATCCATCGCTGATCCAGATCAAGGACGTGAATAACGTTCTCTTCTCAATGGACGCAGGGCAGTCAGAGGATTTGGCATCCCGAGTTTCCTTTGTCCCGGAGCAGTTTTTGTTGTGGATATTGTAGGTTATTCCGAACTGAGCTTTTGATGCGCATATCTTAAGTTTACAGATACATCGATGTAAACTGCCGATCGGTCGGCGTTACGGGGTCTCTGTACGACTATGTTCTGCAATCCGGCAATCCTGCTCTTCATCCAGATCAACTACATCGCTGTGCACGTCTCTGGGGCCGATGCTTCTGGGGGAAACGATATCCCGACCAGGAGGTGTCGGATGACATGGAGAACTACCGAGGGTTGGAGCTCTTGCACGAAGCCATATGTCTACGGTACAAGATATGGCAGGTACTTGTCGGCCATCCGGCTTCCGCCATGGCCAGCGCTGAATCTCTGTCCCTCGCAATGATGACCATTCGTGAAGTCGGTTTTTCTTGACATCGTTAAAAGCGCACATACTGACCTGCGTAGAAATACTCGGATCTTTTCGTCACGGCTAAACTCGCTGGCGCGACTTCCATGCGCCGTACCCTTAACACCATCTACAAGGCGGTATCCACTTTTTACGCACAGGTCCTCTTTCACCAACGCCTTTTCTACTCGTCATCTCCTTCAACTGCCCTGCGCCGACAGGCACTCACCAGCATCATTGAGATCGCCCAGAAGCAATATACGGCCGACCCGCGGCTGCTACGCCGGCTGCACTGGCCGCTGCTGATGGCGGTCATCGAGACGGATGACCCGGTACAACGGAACTGGTTCCAATTGCGACTCCACGAGCTTCGCGGCTACCATTCGGACTACGACTGGGCGAACGAGATTGCAGATGAAATTTTGACCCGCCAGACAAGCGGAGCGGTAGATCTAGCCGAACTATTACGCAACCATCTCGACCGGTGATTATAGACCCTCGAATCACGAGCCGTTTTCCAGGAAATACGCATCATACGCGACCTCGCCCTTAGCCCTCGTGGCTCTCCCCACGATCACCCGGTTGTTCATCCACTTGTACCTTTCATGCCCCGTCTCCAACTTGATATGCAGATGGAACCAATATGCATCGGGATCGACCCCGTCGCCTTCCATCAGCGCTTGGAGAACCTCCGGCGGTCCGGACCGCGTTCCTTCCGTCCTGCAGCTCATCAATATCCCATCATGCAATACTATAGAGCAAGGAAAGTCCTACCGGACGTAGATATACGCCCCATCCTCACTCTTAATGACGTGGTTTGTATTCACGTGCGTTGTCTGATCCGCTTCAACAAGCCTGTCAATGAATCAGCATCAGTCCGCCTGTCGTAGTGACAAAATCGTAGATTGCTGATGGCCATACCTGAAATCCGCCCCTCCGGGGACAACCTCCCCAGTGAGATACTCGCCCCTCACCGTGCCGGAGAGAATGGGCACGCAGCGGCGGCGGCCGTATGGGCCATGACCGATTTCCAGGGGCGCGGCGACGGCGCAGCGCAGGGTGAAGAGGTGGGTGAGCTTTGGAGGGGGCAAGATGGGTTCCATTTTTTGGGGGGGGGGGGGGGGGGGATATACGCTGGTTCCTCGTTGTGGTGTGTAGTGTCGGATGGAGAGTGCGCGGTGTTGGAGTGAGGGGGTTGTTGAGTGTGCGGGATGAAGTATTACCCATAAATTCAGAGTTTGTTGAATGAAATCCAGAGTTCTGATAATTGAGATAGAGAGGGGGCTGTCTGATGCCGGACGAAAAATAAATAGCTAGGCAACTCTTGTGTCGGAGTCTACTCCGTAGACAATGGCCAATTGACCACTTGATTTACTTCTGGGAAAATATGCAAGCGGAATGTTCATGATCTACCGCAGTCGCGTAGTCGTTCATGTCTATATTGATATACCTCCCAGGGCCAACAATTCCTTCTTTTTTTTTTCCCCCTAGTTCCCTAGTTGAACACCACCGTCTTGTGTCCGTTCAATAACACCCTCCGCTCCGTCACGTACTTGACGGCGGTGGCCAGCACGTTACTCTCGACGTTGCTACCGGCATGGGTTAACTCCTTGGGACTCAGCGAGTGGTTGACACGGACAACGTTCTGCTCGATGATGGGGCCCTCGTCGAGGTCGCTGGTGACGAAATGCGCGGTGGCGCCGATGATCTTGACGCCGCGGTCGTAGGCCTGATGATAGGGCTTGGCGCCCTTGAACGACGGCAGGAAGCTGTGGTGGATGTTGATGATGCGGCCGGACATGGCCTCGCAGAGCATGGGCGAGAGGACCTGCATGTAGCGGGCCAGGACGACGAGGTCGATGTTGTGCTCGCGGACGAGGTCGAGGATGCGGGTTTCCTGCTCCTGCTTGGTGGCGGCGGTGACGGGCAGGTGCAGGAAGGGGACGTTGTAGGTGGCGGCGAGGGGGGCGAAGTCCGGGTGGTTGGAGACGATGAGGGGCACCTCGATGGCGAGCTGGCCGGTCGATTGCCGGAAGAGCAGGTCGTTGAGGCAGTGGCCGATCTTGGAGACCATGATGAGCACGCGCGGCTTCTGGGCGGCGGGGTGGATCTCGAAGGCCATCTCGAGGGACTGGGCGGTAGGCGCGAAGGCGGCGCGCAGCTCGTCGACCGTCAGGGCCGGGTTCTGCTCGGTCGGTGCGAAGTGCATGCGCATGAAGAAGCGCTTGGAGGTGGGGTCGCCGAACTGCGAGGAGTCGATGATGTTGAGGTTGCGCTGCACCAGGAACGCGGTCACCGCGTGCACGATGCCCGGGTGATCGGGGCAGGAGATGGTGAGAATGAAGCTATCCATGATGTTGAAATCGAGAGGGGGATGTTGAATTCGGCGAAAAGAAAAAAAGAAGGAGGGATAGATAGTTCGGAACTTGGTACCAGATGGTGAGATCAACAACGTCGATCGAGATCGATGTGGGAATATTTAAGCCACACGAAAAGGCCACAAGGCAAGGCCAGGCCACAAGGCAGAAAACCCCGCCGCCGTTTTCGGCGCTGACTAAGGTGGGGGAAAACTGATTGATAAGATTAGGGTTGATGGTGCTTGTACCCCTTTGCCCCTGGTACCTGATCAATGTCTTGGTCTACAGACCCTAGCTCAATAATAATGATGGTAATTGTGCTTATGGCATCCCATGAAAACACAGATTGCTGGAGCCTTACTCTATCTAATCCCTGGCTCGAAAGCGACAGGTTGTGGGCCTACACAGACGTAGCACAACCTGACAACTCCCCCACAACTACCAAACCTCGAGATGGCAGAACCGGGGACTCCGTATCCTTTTGAGCTTGATCAAACAATAGTATTGAAGAATACCGTCCATCTTGCGGGGTAAACCTTCCGATTGAACTCTGGCAGCGGCACTAGTCATTAGCTTCTCTGTAGTGAAGCTCGTATCTCCCGTGCCAATTCCAAGCGAGTCCCCGCCTGCACCTCTGGAGTCTGGATCCTGGATATTTGTACTCTATACTCCGTACTCTATAGTTAGCCTGTACGGTACCTGCTTGAGGCGCATCAACGACGTCTCTTCCTTGCTCCGAATAGACCGGAATTGAGATGTGAATACCGTGAATAGCCAGCTGCAGGGGTCGTATTGACCTTTCCTGGTTTGATGGAGGAGCTTAATTTCCTGGGTAATCTGGGGGGTTCTACGGCTCTACAGGGTGTTTAGTTGTGTACAGAATAAATGAGTCCCCATCCTGGTCGGGCTCTTTCGGTCTCACAACGCATATTGAGAGCACAGGAGTGGGAAGAGGACCGGGTCTACGGCCAACAGCGCCATTTGCGAAGGAAACACCCCGATTGAAGGGAAATACTGGCCATAAAAGAGCAAAAGGATTATGCCGAGATTGCGGTGGGAAAAGCAATATAGAGGTTTATTCATTCTTGACTCTGTATTGCAGCGTTTGGTTGAATACTTGGTACGGTAGTTATGGAATGGAGTAGACTTACTTACCTGGCGGTTAGAGAGGGGAGCGAGCCCTTCGGTAGTCCATAATAATAATAATAATAATAATAATGCAATATAAACAGCTGGGATGGTCAGATGAGCAGAATCAATAAGATGAGATGAGGGATAATAATAAGAGGATTTTAGCATCTAATTTAACTCATCAGTTAGCACCTTCGTTAGCGTCTTGCCACCAATGCCTTCACTTTAGCGCCGGCTTTCCTGGCTGGCATTGAACCGGATGAGGCTTTCTGCTCGTCTCCTTCCCTCTTTCTCTCTCCACGAAACATGAATGGATAATTTGGCACTCGAGCATTGTGGTAACCCCCATGACAGACAACATACTACTTACTTACTCTCTGTAGTCTCCAGGTTGAGGTTGAATCTTGAATCAAATGACCACCCACAAAGCTCCAAGGACTACTCCCATATCTACTAATCTGAATAATCTCCACCGCCGAAGACACCGTTCCCTGCGCAATGCAGAGGCGGGTTTTCCAGATCAGGACACAGGCGAGCTATTCGGCATTTCTGGATTGGGGCAGAATCCATGCTCCAGACAGACTGACAACTCCGGAGTCCTACTCCGTCCTCTCTCTGGTCATTGCAGGGTCTGTGGCAGTGGCACAGTTATCAATTTAATTAAGGGATTGATTCATTACAGGCATCAGCCGCTCAAATGCCGAGAAACAGAAGATGCTGAACGCTGGATGCTGGATGACCTGCAGTCAGCGTCACACCAGCAACAAGTGAACAACACTAACTATCTGGGTAGTCTGGGTAGACGCTAGACAAAGCAGCTAGAGGAGTACCCCCGTAATGATAAACAGATCGATCGTGGATGACAGTTGCCTCTTGGCGAAACAGTATCCCCAGATTAACACAGCAGAACGGCAATTTAACCGATTCCTGATCCGTCAAGGCATCCCCAACTTCAAGGCCTAAACACCTTCATTTCATCTCGTTTCGACTAACCGACTCAATCATGCTCATTCCTGCGAGGCTGTGATGGCCATTCCTTCACCTCTCAGTGTGGGGATTCAGCCCTCCCTCATGGGGAGGCGAATCGCCTCAAACGGCAAACGGTCCGCAAAGCCGTTCCCCCAGTATGAGGGTAGACTGTCGGTTGGATGAGGAGTAGTATACGGCCATGCAGACTAGGTCAACAGGCTGGACCACCGAGGGCAGCGATGGAATCTCAAGGCTTCATCCGTGTGTGCGAAAGATATAAAAGCAGCTTTCTCCTCGCCCCGATCTCTCTCATTCCATCCTCATTCTCATTCATTCCTTACAGACCCCAGTTCAGTCAATCAGTCATCATGTTGCCCTCCACCATCTCTTACCGCATCTACAAGAATGCGCTCTTCTTCGCTGCCCTCTTCGGCGCCGTCCAGGCCCAGAAGGTCGGCACGTCTAAGGCCGAAGTCCACCCTTCCATGGCCTGGCAGACCTGCGCTGCTGATGGCACCTGCACCACCAAGAACGGCAAGGTCGTCATCGACGCCAACTGGCGTTGGGTCCACGACGTGAAAGGCTACACCAACTGCTACACTGGCAACACCTGGAACGCGGAGCTGTGCCCCGACAACGAGTCCTGCGCCGAGAACTGTGCCCTCGAGGGTGCCGACTATGCCGCCACCTATGGTGCCACCACCAGCGGCAACGCTCTGAGCCTCAAGTTCGTCACGCAGAGCCAGCAGAAGAACATCGGATCCCGTCTGTACATGATGAAGGACGACAACACCTACGAGACGTTCAAGCTGCTGAACCAGGAGTTCACCTTCGACGTCGATGTCTCCAACCTCCCTTGCGGTCTCAACGGTGCTCTGTACTTCGTCTCCATGGACGCCGACGGAGGTCTCTCTCGGTACACCGGTAACGAGGCCGGTGCTAAGTACGGTACTGGATACTGCGACTCTCAGTGTCCCCGTGACCTGAAGTTCATCAACGGCCTGGCCAACGTTGAGGGCTGGACTCCCTCTTCCAGCGATGCCAATGCCGGTAACGGTGGCCACGGTTCCTGCTGTGCCGAGATGGACATCTGGGAAGCCAACAGTATCTCCACCGCCTATACCCCCCACCCTTGCGACACCCCCGGCCAGGCCATGTGCAATGGCGACTCCTGCGGTGGTACCTACAGCTCGGACCGCTATGGTGGCACTTGCGATCCTGATGGGTGCGATTTCAACTCTTACCGCCAGGGCAACAAGAGCTTCTACGGCCCCGGCATGACGGTCGACACCAAGAAGAAGATGACCGTTGTCACCCAGTTCCTCACCAACGACGGCACCGCCACCGGCACTCTCTCCGAGATCAAGCGGTTCTATGTCCAGGACGGCAAGGTCATCGCCAACTCCGAGTCCACCTGGCCCAACCTGGGCGGCAACTCGCTCACCAACGACTTCTGTAAGGCCCAGAAGACCGTCTTTGGTGACATGGACACCTTCAGCAAGCACGGCGGTATGGAGGGCATGGGCGCCGCCCTCGCCGAGGGCATGGTCCTGGTCATGTCGCTGTGGGATGACCACAACTCCAACATGCTGTGGCTCGACAGCAACTCCCCTACCACCGGCACCTCCACCACCCCGGGTGTTGCCCGTGGCTCTTGCGACATCTCCTCCGGCGACCCCAAGGACTTGGAGGCCAACCACCCGGATGCCTCCGTCGTCTACTCCAACATCAAGGTCGGCCCCATTGGCTCCACCTTCAACAGCGGCGGCTCCAACCCCGGCGGTTCAACCACGACCACCAAGCCTGCCACCAGCACCACCACCACCAAGGCGACCACGACGGCGACGACCAACACCACCGGTCCCACCGGCACTGGCGTCGCTCAGCCATGGGCTCAGTGCGGTGGCATTGGCTACAGCGGGCCCACCCAGTGCGCTGCCCCTTACACCTGCACCAAGCAGAACGACTACTACTCTCAGTGCCTGTAAATGAGTCGGGAACTCGTTAATGTACTTAGCTAGGGTTTGATTGGAGGGGTTGGGATTTGTCCATGTCTGTCTGAGAATGAGTCTGAAAAATGTTTTAATAGTTCAGTTTGATTTTAATTGATGATTGCTTCAACTTTTTCTTCTTTCTTTAATTCACTTAATATTTACTTAGGACCCTATACCTGTAACAAGTTCTACATTCTGTAGCAATGTAAAGTGAAAACCAAAAAAAAAAAAAAAAAGACCGCATATTCCTTAATCTATATTCCTTAATCTATATTCCTTAATCTATATTCCTGTGCTTTGACTTCCAACTAACTAACGACTTGGTCAGTGCCTGCAGAAATGCACACTTAGCGCTACCGACTAACATGACTTTGTCTCCCTTAGTGCTTCCTCCACTCATTTCTTATTCCCCAGACCCAGAAACCCCCCTTGGCCTTAGTCCAGAGTCCAGAGTCCAGACACCAAGCGCTGACTGTTGGTTGACTTGCTGAGCTGACTGCTTCACGAGTCCGTCCGAATCTTGCCGACGTGCTTTCTAGAAAGGCGTTGTTTCTGCAGATGCCATCGCCCTGTTCTCCATCCTGCATCCTGCATTCTGCATCCTTTCTACCGGTCTGGGGTATGTATATTGTATGCACTACAAAGGGTGAAAGACATGATTCCCTGCTGCCTCGTGCCTTGACACTTGCAGGATCCCTCCGTCATCTGACTTGTGTGCTCCATCGACAGAACCTGGATAGGCAAATGCCAGTAAATTAAGAGTCCGAGCACATTAAGGATGGTTCTGAGATTGAGACTCGGCGGAAAAAATAAATAAATAAATAAATAAAATAAAAATAAATGAAAAAAGGTGCGCGGTTCTGGATAAATCGACATCCCCCTGTCCCCCGCAAAAGCCAGAATGCTTCGGTTGTGTTGTCTTTGCTTGTCGGGTGTTTATATTGATAGTACTATGGTACTTCAGTAACTCGGCTGGATATCGATCCTAACAAACAGCAAAGCTATTCCCATTGCTAATGCTTAATTTGAATCTTTAACATTTCCTGTCTCCACAGTCGTAACAGCCCATATTTGCAGCAGAACTACTCCGTAGAAGTCAATAGGACGTCGCATCAACGGAGGATGCGATATTAGCCTGAATTTCCCATGCTGCACAAGCGCTGTTAGTCCTATACAGACACCCACGGAGCAAATGACATCGGCTACCCAAGGGAGATAGATAAATTAATATATGCAAAACGCACCGTTCCCTCCCCAGTCACCACCCAAAGACCGAGGGCCATCGCCTCGCTTACTGTCTTACGACTAACAAGTTGCCTAACCCCGAGTCTCCCTCTTCCCCCTTGAGAGCTTAACCCGTCGATCCGGACTGGTCCGGATCTTCGTCCCGGTGGTCTGATTCTGACTGAGTCCTCCTGTTCTTGCTGTATGCTGTATGCTGCAGCCTGGATGACTATGCTTCCTGTGGGTGTGAGCCTGTCTGGCCAAGTAGTAGCTCCCTTAGTTCTCGGTTCAAGAGTTTGGGAAGGTTGAACTGGTGGATTACCGCCGTAGCTCCTTAGCTGCCAGCCAGTCTAGTTAGAGAGCAACGGGGTAAACATTCCCCAACTTCCCAAAATTGGCGTTCCAGAATGCCAGGAGGCGCTCCGGGATCATCATCATCGTCATCATCATCATCATCATCATCATCATCATATGTCTATGGCTTTCTGCTTTCTGCAAGGAAACGCTCGCGCTTCTTTACAGCCGGTCGGTGTCATCCACCCCCAGAAATTGGCAGCGCAAGTGCCGTGACGAATTGGTCCGGGGCAGCGCCTTGTTGCTTTCCGTTCCGGTTTGGGATGGGGGGAGGCTGTTTTCTTTCTGTCCGTATCGGGGTCCGGTCCGAGCGGCCGTTGGGGTTGGGAGGTTAATGAAGAGGGTATTTGGTGGTTGCTGTATATATAGGCTTGGGGAGTTGAGAGTAGCATCGAGGTGACTTTGAGACACCAAGACCAAGACAAAGAACGACAGACAAACAAAAAGAAAAGAAAAGATGAAGACGACTACTCTTGTTGCTGCGCTTCTGCCTCTGGTGCTGGCGGCGCCGAATACCAAGCGCTCGTCTGGGTTTGTCTGTATGTCTTGTCTCTCCTGTTGTGCTGTTTCGGTTTCTTGTGCTGCAAGGACGTGAGGAGAGCTGACCAGATCAGGGTTCGGTGCCAATGAGTCTGGCGCTGAGTTTGGCGAGAGCAATCTCCCTGGCATCCTCGGCAAAGACTACATCTGGCCCAGTGCGTCGACCATCCGGACGCTGCACGATGGTGGCATGAACGTCTTCCGTGTAGCCTTCCGCATGGAGCGATTGATCCCGAACAAGATGACTGGGTCTCCGGATGGCACCTACATGAATGATCTGAGATCGGTTTGTTCTCCTTGCTTTCTGGTGTCGTTGTGAGATGGCGTAGGCCTGACTGTATGGCAGACCGTTGAAGCAATCACCAGCTTGGGAGCATATGCTGTGATTGACCCCCATAACTACGGAAGATAGTAAGTATTCTGCTTGTATTTGAATGATCTTTTTTTTTTGTTTTTTTGGCTGAGCACCGTGCTGACTCGCATAGCTATGGCAACATCATCACGTCGACCGACGACTTTGCCGCGTTCTGGAAGACCCTGGCATCCGAGTTCGCGTCCAACGACCATGTCATCTTCGACACCAGTATGTCTTTTGTCTTTTTTGTTTTTTCTGACAGAAGCCAGCTGACCGTGGCAGACAACGAGTACAACACGATGGACCAGACCCTCGTCCTCAACCTCAACCAGGCCGCCATAAACGCCATCCGTGCTTCCGGTGCCACCTCGCAGTATATCTTCGTCGAGGGCAACTCGTGGTCCGGCGCCTGGACCTGGACCGACATCAACGACAACATGAAGGCCCTCACCGATCCCCAGGATAAGATCGTGTACGAGATGCACCAGTACCTCGACTCCGACGGCTCCGGCACCTCGCCCAGCTGCGTGAGCTCGACCATCGGCAAGGAGCGCATGGTGGCTGCTACCCAGTGGCTCAAGGATAACAACAAGAAGGGCTTCCTGGGCGAGTTTGCCGGCGGGCCCAACGATGTCTGCAAGAGCGCCGTCACGGGCATGCTGGACTACATGTCGCTCAACACGGATGTCTGGATGGGCGCCGAGTGGTGGGCTGCCGGCCCCTGGTGGGCAGACTACATGTTCAGCATGGAGCCGCCATCCGGCACTGGCTACCAGAACTATTTCAATCTGCTGAAGCCTTACTTCTCTACCTCCTCCTCCTCCCCCTCCCCCTCCACCACCACCACTACCAAGGCGACTACCACCACTACCACTGCCGCGGGTCCTACCGGCACCGGGGTCGCCCAGCCCTGGGCTCAGTGCGGCGGTAGTGGCTACAGCGGTCCGACACAGTGCGCGGCGCCGTACACTTGCACGAAGCAGAATGACTGGTACTCGCAGTGCCTGTAGAGCAGGGCTGCAGGACCGTCGGGCCGCTATACATAGTTTTATTCCCATGCGTATCTAGATGACCAATACCAATGCAAAGGATCAACAGCATATCCCCTCCCTTCAACCTTCCCTCCACCTTCAACTCCCCTCACTTCAACCCCGCCACCATCTCCTCCACACTCTTCATCTCCTTCCCATTATTCTCCCCAACATCCAACGCAACCAACACCCGACTCACACAGTTATACCCAGCCACACCCGCCGTCAACTCCACAATCTCCCGCTCCCCCAGCCCCGCCTCCCCCAGCGCCCCAAACGTCGCCTCCTCCACCGCCACCCGCCCCGTCATCTCATCCGTATACCGCACCACCGCCCGCTGCACCGCACTCAGCACACTCGCCTCCAGCGCCCGCCGCCCCGCCTCCTCCACCGTCGACGGCATCTCCCGCACCGCCTGCAGCGCCGCCGCCGCAACCCCGTCCTTCAGCGCCAGCGGCGCGTGCGCGTTCCACTCGTACACGGCCCCCGTGAGCACCGCCACCCGGCACACGGCGAGCTCGAGCAGGGCGCCCGGGAGGATGGTGCGCGTGCGAATCGCGCCGAGAAATGAGTTCCAGCCGTCGGCGACGGGGGGCGAGTGCAGGAGCGAGAGATCGAGGGGGATCAGCGGGCGCGGGTGTCGGCGGGCGGCGATGCGGGTGTAGATTTCGGTGGTGGAGGGGTCGGCGTCGGCTGGGGGGTGGGAGGGGGCGTAGGGGAGACGCATTTTGATTTTGATTTTGATTTTGATTTTGGTGTTGAGGATTTCAGGACGGGAGGTGAACGAAGGAGTATGAAATCCGGGGTAGAAAAAAGAAACGGGTTCGATGTTGTCGTCGTGGCGGGTATGGGTTTATCCCCGGATGTGACTTTTGCCGTGGAGAAATGGGAATGGGAATGGGAATGGGAATGGGAATGGCTTCGTGGTTGTTAGTCTGTAAGTTACTTTGGTACTCGTTAGCATACGGGGGTTCCTGTTTCTTGGCTGGATGGACGGAATAATTGATTCCAGGTGGAAATATACTTAAGCTTAGGGAGTTGACTGGATGAGGATCAGGAGAGATATCAGTCGGGTGGACAGGATGAGGTCAAACAGCTTGTATATACTTACTTGTTCCTTGTTGAACAATGATAATGATACTAATGATACATAATTAGCATTGCTGTAGTTTAGCCTACTACTACTACTACTACTACTACTACTACTACTAATCTGAACATTCCACACAGTTAGGTTGTTATTCCTCCGTTCTGTCAAGTTGCTGTCACTACCTTATTGCCTTACTGCCTTACTGCCTCAGGCGCCCATATACTGCCGCCACTGTTTGCCGGCTCCCCGCATTTTGCTGTTCGGAATCGCAGTCGGAAGAAGACTTGGGGATGTTTCGTGAGGACGACTTGTCTTTTGACATAATGCTTCTGCTTCTCTATGAGTGTTGCTGCTCTCTTCACCCGCTCAACCAAAGCGCTCTTGAAGCCTAATCGCTGGCGAAAAATGAAGCATCATCTGGTGATCGGCACGTGGACCCCTCCAGGACGTCTGTACACCGTCGCATTCGACGATGAGGCCCTGACACTGGAGCTGGTCAAAAAGACGGAGATCCCAGAGGCGGAGCCGATTTCCTGGCTGACCATCTCGGTATGATCCCTGCCATTGGAGAGCATCGTGCCGTTTCTAACCAGGTCTCTCAGCACGATAAAAAAACCCTCTATGGAGCTGCGATGAAGAAATGGAACAGTTTCGCCATCAACAGCCCAACCGACATCGTCCACCAGGCCTCGCATCCGCTTGCCGGTCATCGTGTGTTTCTTTCTTTCTCTTTCTCTTTCTCCCCATTCCGTCAAGAATCCCGCTAATTCGCTCGCAGCTCTCGCATCCAGCAGCGAGACCAACACGCGCGCCATCTTCGTTCTCGCCGCACACAAACCCCCCTACAACGTCTACGGCGCCCCCTTCTACAAACACGCCGGCTACGGCAATGTATTCGCCGTCGACCCTGCCGACGGCCGTCTGGTCAAGAACGTCCAGAACTACGAGTATCAGGAGAACACCGGCATCCACGGCATGGTCTTCGATCCTACCGAAACCTACCTCTACTCGGCCGATCTGCAGGCCAACAAGATCTGGACCCACAAGAAAGACGCCGAGACTGGCGAGCTGACTCTGGTCGATTGCCTCGAGGCTCCTTCGCCCGACGACCACCCCCGCTGGGTCGAGATCCACCCCCGCGGCAAGTATCTGTACGCGCTGATGGAGGCGGGCAACCGCCTGGGTGTGTACGTGATTGACGAGAAGCGCAATGTGCCCGTCTTCACCCACATCACGTACCCCTTGCTTCCCAGCGGTGAGTTGGCAGCCCGAGCCAAATCGTCTCCCGAAAAAAAAAAAAAAGAATTACTAACAAATCCGGATTCAGGCGTGCCCCCCACCAACAAGTACCGCGGTGATGTCTGCTTTACCACCCAGAGCGGCGAGTACCTGTTCGCAACCACCCGTGGTGCCTACGGCCATCCCTGGACCGGCTACATCACGGCCTTCAAGCTGGGCCCCAACGGCAACATCGAGCGCCAGCTGTTCATCCATCCCACATCCAACAGCGGTGGTCACTCCAACGCCGTCAGCCCCTGCGACTTCAGCGATGAATGGTTGGCGCTGTGCGACGACCAGGACGGATTCGTGGAGATCTACCGCTTCAAGGATGAGGCGCTGGCCCGGGTGGCTCGGCTGGATATCCCGGAGAAGGGATTTGGCATGAATGCGGTTTGGTATGATTAATGAGACATGTTATATAACAATAATGGGATAGACCTGGGACAATCATGATTGTTGTAGGTAGGCTTTCCCTACCATTAGTCCGCACTAGAAATATATCTATTCCTCTAGCAAGAGGATATAATAATATTAGTAATCTCTATAATCTGAAAAAGCTTGTCTATCTATGAAAGCTGAGTATATGTTTAGAATAGGCTAGCTGGTAGGTGGAGTCAGGCAAATAGTTAAGTGCTGACATAAAGCCTCATCCCTATGAATGTATATATGTGACTTTGAGCGCCAAATATGAGAAGACACAGATATAGTGTTTGATCTCAGACAGCTCGCAATGCTGCGTGGCCAATGAAGATACCAGAGAGCATGGGAGAGGCCGGCCATAGACCATAGGCGGGGTTGAGATAGCGGCAGTGGCAACCAGGATCGACTTGGAGATTTCCGCCGGCGAAGGTCATCAACACAAGAATATGTCGACAGAGAATATAATACTGATAGACTAAGCCTTTCCAGCGAGCGCGGGCGACTGATTTACCTTTACCTTCAATGATATGTTTGCAAGTTGATGACTGACTTTCTAGAGATCCAATAATAAATATGGTCAAGTAATCAGTAAGCCCCTAGTACTACCCCTTATTTAGATATTTATTTGCTCATCATGTCGCCAGGATTAGCAATTACAGTTTTGGTAATCTATACCGGACGCTTGAGCCTGAATTTGGCACATTATCAATAATTCATGTTGCTAAGGCCTCATGCATAATGACCTTGATGTAGATGATGACCATCTGCTTTGCAGAGAGATATTAACTGTCATCCAGATCATGTTGGGTCAACTGAAGCAGAAGGTGTTTGTCAATGATATGGGTTGCGCCAGTAATTTTACGTCCTTCTAAGCATCCTTACTTGAAAAGCTGATTATGATATCAAGTTCTACTCTGTTCTCTCAACCGATGGCATCCGCATGCCATGGAGGCATACTTTGATGGCCAGGAGCTGTTAATATGCCGCACCAAGCCCTATGATTTTACATTTTTGAACACAGCTGGGTTCAAGACCTTTGCACAATGGTTCCTGGGCGATCCTAGTGGTGATACGTCCAGAGAAGCGGTCCGGACTCAATGGGACAATCATGGATTGAGGGTGCTTGGGTTAGGTGTTTTCAAGGTGCTATAACATCCTTGCGTGTTATTAGGTTTTTGGATGGATTCATATGTTTTGGTCATTTTGTTTCTGTGCTTTGTAGTTTCATCATGGTGAGTGCACTTTTCATATGCTCTATATCAGCTCCAACCAACACAAAAATTCTCATTTGCCAGTCTTACAACACATCTATACTCAGCTGCCCTTAGTAATTAATTAGGAAGTTAGATAGACCTTAGATTTAGAGTTAGGTGCTAAGGGGGCAGTGTTATAGGTAGGCTTACCCTACCCTACTATTAGTCAGTGCCCACCTGCTAAGACCTTTACTAAGCTCACCTACATGAGCATCACACACCTAGCACCTAGATAGAAATCCAAGCATCTTATTCAGGGATATTCTACCCATATGACAAATACAATGGGAATTTCAATGGAAATTGTCATAAGAACTACTGATACTGACTAACTAGGGTCTGGACACCTTTTTAGTGCAACGGTAGAACCCCTACAACAGAAATGATGATATAGGGGTGTATAAGGCTGGAATGGAGCTGTATCTCCTGGCGATTATGATGAAGTGGTTAGGAGACTTGAGCTTGCCAGAGAACGGTTCTTAGATCGAGAATCGACAACTCCAGAGGAGCGGCTGTTGTGGAGGGAGGCATGGCCTTTCGAGGATCACACTGGAGGACACTAATTTACTTATACCGAAACACCGCGTTCTCTCACTTATTAGTATCTTTGCTGCTTTCTTGAATGTGTGCTGGCTTTGTGCCGTAGCACACGATGACTAACCATCCTTCCGCGGCACTCCCATAGTTCGGGTTTCCGGTCGGCAGTCGTGATCGGCCTCAAATGCGTTTCCGGAGGGGTCGGAGGGATCTGGGGTATAATTGCACTTTTCAGGCGCAAGTCAGTCCGTTTTTCATCCCTTGTAGGGTTGTTTCTGCTTTGATTCTTGGTCTTCGGTTCACAGGATTGTCGTCTTCTCAACCCGCTCCTTCGAATCATCTCTATAGCACATCAAAATGGCGACCCCTGGCCTTCTGTACGTCACAATGCACCCCCGCCCATCTCTGCCGGCGGCGCAGTTCCACGACTGGTACAACACAGAGCATGGCCCTTTGCGTCTACGCTTGCCCTTTGTCACCAATGGCTTCCGGTATCGCGCGACCGACGGCCTGGAGCCTGAATGGGTTGCCCTGTACGATATTACCGACATGGTAGAGTTGACCCGCGAGACCTATCTGGCGCTACGGTGTGATGGAATCAAGACCCCGCGCGAGAAAGCCACCATGGCTCAAATTGCCGTCGATCGCCGACTCTACGACTTGGTCGACGACCAGAAGGTTCCCGACTACCGCCCTCTCGAGAACGAAACCGATGCCGCTTCGGCTGGCTCCGTTCTCATTGCCGTGTCCGTCAAGGTTCCCGCCGATCAAGAAGAGGAACTCAATCGGTGGTATGACGAAGAACATATTGCCATGCTGTCTCGCGTGCCAGGATGGCGTCGCTCTCGCCGCTTTGTAACGGCGGCTATCGACCCCAATGCCCCTCGGGAATACATCTCGCTGCACGAGTACGCCCCCAAGAATGGTCTTGAAGGCCCCGAGCACAATGCCGCCAAGAGCACTCCCTGGAGCAAGCGCATCAGTGAGATTGCTATTGAGAAGAAGCGCCGCGTTTATCAGTGGGTCTATACTTTCGGTCCTGCTCCTCGTGAGCTCTCCTCTCTCGCTTCCAAGGACGTCGTTGGACCCTGGAACTCCAATGACAACCGCACCCGGACGCTTCCCTCGGAGGCACGCCCTGCTGTCGAGTCTTTTGTTACCACTGAGGACGGCGTTGCCATTCCATACCGGCTCGAGGGCAGCACGGACCCCAATGCTCCTGTCATCGTTTTGAGCAACTCTATTCTCGTCGACTGGTCTGTCTGGGATGGCTTCGTAAACGCCTTCCTGTCCGATGCCAAAAACCAGAATTACCGCATTCTGCGCTACCTGACACGTGGGCGCCTTCGAGAGTGTGGTGAGAAGCCCATCAATATCGATGTCTTGGCCTCCGATATCATTGCCCTTCTAGATGCTCTGCGCATTCCGCAGGCCACTTTGATCGGTGTCAGCCTGGGTGGTGTGACGGTGCTGAACACATCGCTTCTGTACCCTGACCGCGTGACACGATTCATCTCGTGTGATACCAACAGCTCCGCTCCCGAATCAAACCGTAAAGCGTGGGGTGATCGTCATGCTATGGCACAGAGTGAGGGCGCTGTGTCTCCCACCACTCAGGAACCTATCATCGGTGAGCAGTTGGCGGAAGTCACGACCCGGCGGTGGTTCGTGCCTGAGACATACGAGACTCAACCGGAAGTGGCAGCTAAGGTCAAGGAGGTGGTTCGTAACAACAGTCTGGAAGGATTCCAGAAGGGCATGCAGGCATTGTGTGCGTATGATGTCCGCGAACGCATGGCCAATGCAACTGTACCAGGTCTGTTCGTGGCCGGCGAGGGCGACGGCATCCTTCCCCAGACGATGCAAAAGATGGCCAGTGACCTGAAGGGTGGTGCGGAACTGAAGATCATCCCCAAGGCTGGTCACTTGCCGATGGTTGAGCAGCCCCAGGCCTTCACGGAGGTTGTCAACGAATTCTTACGTGCCTGAGTCTATCATCGTTTTCTGAACGCGCCTGATGGCCAGCATATGACCCACTTGATTTTTTCTTTCTTTTTTTTGAATATAGAATTGGGAAGAATTACTTGTAAATGAAAACTATTGGAATATATAATATCATTTCTACCGTGATTATACGTGTTCTCTCACGCTGGTTGATTTCGCCTCCGAGGTTTGTGTTACCTCAAAGGTGCGATGGATGCTCAACCCAACATCCCCACCTCCTGAGGTTCGTGGTAACCTTGACCGATCGAAATTCAACTGCTCCTCGCTACTGTTCTGACTTGAGCCACTCCAGGCGCCATCGGGGGCATGAACGGTGGTCACGGTTGTGACTAATTTATCTGGTCGAAATCGACCATGAACGTCGGTGTCCATTGACCCTAGCGGAAGGGCACGTTCGCGGCTGACACCGATGCGACGCGAGGCGGATTGTCCGGGCATAGGCGACATGTAATCGTCCGTGGTGCTGGAACCTCGAAGCAAGCGGAGAAGTGGACGAAGGGTGGCCAGACTGCCAGCGGAGATTCCTAGCCCGACTTCGACATTGGACCAGATCGCAATCTGTGACTGTCAGCTATTGAGACCTTTCAGGGGTGGAAACAGTAACACACTTCAACAGTCGCGTCTAAGAAGAGTCAGTTTCATCTGCGAATCCAAGGGTCTTCGAGTTTACTTACAGAGGAAGTCCCAATCATTGAAGGTGTGCACCCAGGGTATTCTAATGATGACTGCAGACGATGCACTAGTGATTCAGTCAGCTAAAAAGTCGTCCGAACAAGGCTAGGAAGCCCCTACATGCAAGCCATGCTCAAGATCCCAATCACGGCCACCTTCGTTTGGCGGCGCATGTGCAGCTTGCGAACCATGAAGATGGGGAGAATTCCCACGGTGAAATCGCACAGAGCGGCAAAGACGCTATACACGTATGTCATGGCGATGACGATCTCCATGTCCATACAAGAACCCTTGATGTTGGGATCAAACGCCTTCCGAGTCCAAAAGTATTCGAGGGGCTTGCACTGCAGCAACATGATGAACATGAAGGCGAGACCGGCGACGACGGTAAGCAGGATGACGATGTACAGGATCCAGATGTGGAGGCGTTTGACGGTGATGCGACGCAAGAAGATGCAGACCGATACCTTGCAGCCGACGGAGGAGAAGCAGTAGGCGATCTCGCAGAACCACCAATACTGTTCAATCATATCAATATGCCGGACTAGTCACCGGAACGCGATGGTACCAAGTTACCTTCATGGCCGTTACGCGCTCATGCGCCGTCAATATCTCGAACCTCTTCCCGGTGCCGTAGAGAGCACCCCCGATCATACATCCGGAGAACATCGCATAGAATAACTTCGCAATTTCATCAGCTTGGGCTTCTGGGGACGGGTTCGCATCGAATCTACCATCGCAATCACCATGACGGCGTCATCCCAGCCAAATGCCTTCACAATTAACAGTCGAACATAGCAGCGCAGAATCACAGTCACCGAGGCCACCGCCATGAAGACGGCCGCAACGGCCATGACTTCGGTGCTGCGGTCATTACCATGGCCCATACTGGCGAGACGATATCAAGACATGGTTTCATAGGGAAAATCGGAAGGGGCGTGTGGGGAAGAGGGAACCCAAGCATATATCTACTTTGCCATTTATTTTTGGTTCTTATGATTCTCCATTATTAACACAACGTGACAACAGACTAATGACGGGGAACTTAGAGAAGAGACCATATCCACAAGTGGCACAGCGTCAAAGTTCCTGGCAAGTTTGCCTCCCATTGTTGGAACTCCAACGCTGGTCAAGGGCTTCGTCGTATCATGGGCTGTTTTTCTCCGTCAGTATGGGGCTCACCCATGCTAGCGTGGCAGCTACACTTCAGAACCTCCATGTCTAGTCCAATCTGGTCCGTTTGCTCCGCGCAGAAACTGCCATAGAAAACGCATGCTCCAGTGATGAGCACGTCCCATTTCCATATGCAGGTATTACGACTACCTCTGTTGAAGTTTCCGCCACAAGGGGAACCTCGAGATTGGCTGTCGATCTCCTTGTACGGCCTGAGCGCCACGGCCTAGCATTTGGGTAACTTCGCCCCCCCTGGTTCTAGAATTGAAGGCTGCAGCCCGAGAACACCACCGGCACTTTGAACTCTTGAAGAACTGTCAAGTGTCAACAATAATCATAGTGAACAACAGTCAGTTGCTTGGTGATATTCTATCCTCCCCGGGCATGTTCCGCGAATGGAACTCTCTGCATCCTCACTAGTTCGTCCAGCTATCAGGGGTCACCTTTCTGGATTGAGGATTCACAATTTCCCATGGATACTTGAGACCTGCCTAGTGCCTACCCTACACCAGGGGCATGGCAATTGGCAACATCCTGGTCCCTGGCAGCCACAACCCACAGATGAAGAACAAGGTTGAGATTTATTTGGAGTCGAAATCCAAGAGGATGACGTCTAAACATTGAGCCTCCCACTGGATTTACCACAGCGTCAGCAGCAGACTTCTACACATTTCCAAGTGAAACAACGTTCGGATCTGATCAATCTATGCCCAAAATGGGTTGATCAGGGCGGACTTGGCTTCTCGCTTCTCATCCCTTACTCCGTACACAGCTGCACGGAAGAATACAATGGGTTGTTGACTCGGGGATTTGTACTACGGTACTTTCCTTCTCTGTGTGCCAGGCTTTTTGGGTTCTTGGTTCCAACTGCCAACTGCCAACTGCCAACTGCCAACCTTTTATGCCGGAACAATTCAACAGTCGACATATGCACATTTAACATGACCACATTATTGTTGTTTTGTGGGAACGGCGGATACTTCGCCGCGCCTTGTTAATTAAACGGACGGAGCCACTCAGACTCCACATCCGCGAAATTCGGGATGGAATGAACTTCAAGCAGCGAGTCATGTACAAGCACACACGTCAACCCCTGGAACCTTGTGGCAGGCGAAACCAGAATCTACCGACTCAGAATCAGAGCTCACTTGACTTTGAATCTTGACTAACCATAGTTCGTCAATATCTCCGTCCGCAGTCAGCAGTCAGCATCTAAATAGTGAACGTTCAAGGGTCAACCTGGCGTCGCTTAGCAAGTTAGCAGCATCCTTCCCATGGACCTGGAAATGAGATCTGGGTTCTTGCAGAAAAGAGAGCAAATAGCATATCGATCCTTCTCTGTCTGAGTCGCCTAACGGTCTCCGATTCCTTCGTGTTTTCTAGCGTGGCCAAGCCACTGTTGATCATCTGGCAGTTCGGCTACTGAGTAGTGAGTACTGGTAAGTAGTGTTACTGTGCTAGTCTCTATTCTATTTCTGCTAGAGCTGCGAGCCTGCGAAGCACACTGACTAGAATTGGTTTAGTCTTGAGTGATGAATCAATGGCTTTGTCAACTTTGAGACTAATTGTAGTCAACTTAAGAGTTGTCTGGCCTACCCCTGTTGAGCTTTCTGCTCGCGTCTATCTCTTTACCTGTTTAACTGGTTACTGGCGGGCTTTAAAACTCAGGAGGCAACGCCAGCTTTTTCCGTGGAGATCCTACGAACAAAGCGCTGCTATTCTTATTAGTATTATTCAGAGCTTCCAGTTCGACTTTTCGACTTCCAACCTATCGTGACTCATGAAGCCTTTCATACCCCCATGCGATGATCAACGCGATCCATAAATACCCACTAACTATTAGAGGTATTCTGCAGTCGTGTAAAGCAGAACGCAAACCAGCTTTTGGTATAGCGTCGGCCTACTTAGTTGAACCCTATTCCCAAAGCAGTTATATCACTGTATTACTAACTTTGTAAGTTCCTTGAAAAGGGAATGAACTTATTCCCTACCTTTGTAATATTAATGAAATAAGATGGTAATGAGGGTTATTTTAGGTATGGCGTGGGTTGCTCTGAAGTTTAGATCAACTTCAGGTTATCTATAGAATTTATATAGTAGTTAGCAAAGGCTCCTTAACATCAAAAAAAAAAAAAATAGACTACTCCGTAGATAACTTATTAGACATAGGAACCTACACAGTAGTAAGCTTCTAGCTCCTCCCTAGTATTATTATTATTAGTGACTGGTCTCCCACCCTAGGACCTACCCTGATGAATGCCTATCTTTGGCCTACCTCGGTATTGAGGGCTGAGGCCCTACTGATATATATTTCTCCTATAGTCCTACGGTCTACCTATCAGGCCTCTTATCTGACATTATAACTAGGAATTAGGAAGCTCCTGATTTCTTGGGTACTATTTAGTTATCGGAATTTATTTTACTACTGAGGTTGAATAGATTAATTACTAGATTTGTGGCCGGCATGGTAGGCCTTACTATCTAGGGAAGGTGGATAACATCCACTCTCATTCTGCTTTACTCTGTAGTCTGTAGTCTGTGCGGAGTACGGAGTACACGACTGCAGATCGCAGAATACCTCTGTACTATTATCTATCCACTGGCATCTCTGCCGTGGGAGCCTGGGAGAGTGGGAGTAAGTAGTTCAACGTCCAGCCGCACCGTGCACCCTCGTATTCTTATCTTGTCTTGTCTTGTCTTGTCCTCCTTGATTGCATCTACTCCATTTACTCCTTTTGGCAGCGAGAGAAAGGCGTCAATCTGCGGTAGTCGGTTCGAGAACTTTCACCGTTCCGCTTCCACACGACCGGTCTTGGCTTCTGACTTACTTCCCAGTTCCCGCGCAATTCAGGGGGGGGGGACGGGGAAGGGGGCTGGGACAGCTCAACTACGTACTTGAGCGTGTGTGAGGTTGGGAAACTGCGAAGCGGAGCGCGGTCTTCGTCGTCGTCCCTCGCTGGAGAAAGGTGTTGCTGATCTTGCCAGCTGCGTTTGGTTTACCTTCATTCGTGCTGGATCACGCGGCAGTTCGGGGGTGGGGTAGACCATACCTGCGATTCCTGACGGCTTATCGCTCATTCATCAGGGGATGATCTGTTGATACTTTGGAGGCTGTGGGATGTAGAATGGAGATATCTGCGTCATGGATGGTGTTTGGACTTACTCCTCGACTCGACTCGTAGATCAATACCTGTGCGGCTGCCTTGGATTGAGTTAGGAGCAGAACCCGGATATTGAAGATTGTTTTGATCATCGCGGTAGAGCCTGATGAGGACAATGATAGGATCTATTACATATGAGTAGCCTGTATCGAATCCGGGAAGAAACCCCCGGTCGCGTGATGAGTGCTATTCGCCCTGGCATGGTGGTTCATTTCTGCTTGCATTTGCTATCTACGTATATACATGGCAGCCTGAATCTATACTCGATCGCGAGATACTGATGCATCTCGCGCGCCTGAGCTGAAGCCGTTGCGATATGTCTCCATGGAGCCGTGCTGCAGATCGCTTCGCACGCAGCGCGGTGTTTGGGACAGTTAACTTTAGACACAGCGCAGACCTTCCAGCACATAGGAGCATCGCTTGAGTATGATTGAGAAGTGTTCCAAGGATTGCTGGCTGAGTGAGGTCCGTCCGAAACAATGTCGTGATACTTCCACAATCATGACGTAGCCCGACGGCTCGTTATCTCAACGCAGCCAATCTCACCCCTTCTGCAAAGATCCCACGATAACGAGAGATGCGCTTCATGATGGGCAGGTTTGGGCCTCGTCGCGGATTCCCCGTCCGGATATCCCTCCCCGCCTCGTTTTGTCGACGCGTATCCCTCCATGCGCACGGTACGTTTTGGCCCCCCCAAGACCCCCTTTGGTTTGAAAAAGAGGAAGTATAAGCTCACTGATGTCCAGGGAAACCGGCGACCGAGGAAGACCTGTTCCGATATAACAATGGTCGGTTCCTGGTGAACGAGGGGTATGAGCTTGCGAAGCGGTATTCGCCGTTCAACGTGGACGAGCTGTGCCGGGTGGTCTCCTCGCTTCCGCGCATGGCCGCGCCGATCGCGAGAATCGAGAAGAAGGAAGGTGGGTATAATAAGGCGCTGCTGATGACAGCGGAGAATGGGGAGATGGTGCTGGCGAAGGTGCCGTGTCGGAATATCGTGCCACGTGGGTATGGGACGGCGTCGGAGGTGGCTGTGTTGAAGTTTGGTGGGTACCGACGATGCGGTATTCTTTTCGGTTGCTGAGGGCGTTGCTCATGGATCATAGTCAAGGATCACTCTTCCACGTCGGTGTCAGAGGTATTGGGCTGGAGCGCAGACGATACCAATCCTGTCGGCTCGGAGTATATCCTCCTCGAGCCATGCGAAGGTCAACAGCTCACCAAGGTCTGGGAGAACCTGGCTGAACACGACCGTGTCAAATTGATCCGCAATTTCGCCTTCCTTGAGAGTAAGCTGGCAGCAAACGAGTTTCCCGGCTATGGCGCCTTGTACCTGCGGAACGCGCTCCCTCCGCCGCTGAAACAGCCCGGGCGCACCATCGCGGTTGATGAGACATATTGCCTGGGACCGATGTATCATGGATCGTGGCCAGGAGGGTTTGCAGCCGATCCAGAAAATTATGCGGTGCACTCGGGTCCATGTGAGCCTCTCTCCCTTTCTCTTCCCTGCCCCTGATCAAGTTCTCCAAAAACGCTCACATCTTGCGCGTGATGGCTAGGGAAGACACTCCAGGATCTTGGAAAGGATCTTGTGCACCAGGGAATTACCCAGGTAGCCAACTACAAGACGTCCTATGCCGGCCGGGGCCCACACTATGGCGCGCCTGAAGAACATTACCGTGTCCTCGAGACCGTAATGCAGGTGATGCCCATCTTAGCCAAAGCCGACCCGATACGCCGCCATGCGGAGCCCGTGCTATGTCATCCCGATTTCCACCCGGGAAACATCTTCGTGTCGAACGAGGATCCGACGGAGATCGTGGGGGTGATCGATTGGCAGTTCACGGGTATCCTTCCGCTCTTCACGCAGGTCCGCTGGCCACTGTTTCTCGCGCCTCCAGAGGGCTACCAGACAGGCACGAGCAACCCAGAGTTAGCACCGGAGTACGGCACAGAAGACCAAGAAAACCACGCCGAGAAGGGACGGAAACAGGAACTAGCGATGAGAGCGAAATGCTACGAGGCCGCGCTTCTGAAAAGCCATCTGGAGTCGTACCTGGCTCTGACGGAGACAGACGTCGCCATACGTCGCCTGTTCACTTCCTGTCCCTTCACCTACCGAGACGGCGTCCTTCTTGTCCGGGATAGTTTGGTGAAGATCTGGCAGCATTGGGCCCATCTGGGTGTGCCAGACGAATGCCCGTATCGATTCACTTCAGAAGAGGTTGCTCGCCACGAGCACCAGATGAGCGAGTATAACGACTGGCTGAAACTGCGCGAGCATACCCATCAGCTCCTCAAATCGAATGATGGTGGATGGGTGACGCCAGAGGCAGACTTTGACAAAATTCAAGCACGGCACCAAGCATTGTACCAGCAGTTCGTGAAGACAAAGATGCAGAAGGGAAGGTCTGAAGAAGATGCAAAGAAACTGTGGTTCTTCCGAGATCGGGGGTAGCCTTTTGAATTTGTGGGGTTTCATGCTAAAAATCGACAAAAATGATCATGCACAAGGCAGTAGATTTTTCAGTTGACATCGTAAAAGGCCTATTTCGCCGGTGACAAAGTATATACATGTAATGAGTCTGGCAAGCGCCTCCATCTGGTAAGTTTGGCTATGATGATTTATGGCATCGTTGTGTTGGAACGTCGGAATTGAAAATCCCAACCAAAAGAGCCACGATCGATGTACTATATCGATTCCACAATGGGTTCGAAAAGCGCTCCTGAACTTCTCAGCAGCTCGGGCCAGGCAGGGAACGAACCCGCTAGTCGTTCAGACGAGTAAACCGTCGGTTGTTGACGGTGTAATCATGACCTTATGAATCCACATGGTCAATGGTCAACAGAGGATCGCCTGAGGTTTGATGAAGTAAGGTTGCCCTCGAGCGAAGCTCTGGCATGTTGTGCTCGAAGAGTAAAAGTATGGCTGAATTTTTCCTCACGCCTCTGCAGTAACCTGTAGCTGCTTCTTCTTCCCTTTCCTGTATACACGTTCGTCGTTCGGATCGAAGCCACCATTGCCCCAGAGTGCCCAGTCCTCAGTCTCCCTCATATAGTCCTCGGGGGTAAAGGGTGTGCCGTCGGCCTTCTCCTTTTCTAACAGTTGAAAGAAACGATCGTAGTCAATCCGAGTATGCCATTTACCATTGACATGGAAACGCTCAGATGCAATGAGCACACAGCAACTGTGCGCATGTTCGGCGGCAATGCCATAGTCTAGACCACGGCGCTGCAACTCACTGTTAAGAGCAGTCACGAACTCGGCGATCTCCTCGTAGAACGGAACATTCTGCATCGTCAAACCGGCTCCGGCGCTAGTGCTTGTGCCACAGTATGTGACACCCTTGATTTCAATAAAACACGGCAGCGCCTTCTCGACAAGGTTGGCATAACCAATGACTTCGTCATCAATGTTGAATCCTTTAACCAATGTAAGGCGAAACACTGTACGCTGAACATGGCGCTTCTCCCGTAGGATATCCAAGCAGCGCTGGAAACGCTCCCAGAAGTCACGGTGAAGGGGACGGTCGATCTTCCGGAGACTCTCGCGGTTGCTGGCATCAATGGAGACATAGAGCTGAGTCACGCGGTGCAACGTTTCTAGCTGGTCGGGGTGTTGAGCGTTGCAAACCAGAAAGCTAGAAATGTGTTCCTCGTGCAACATATCCAAGAACTGATTGATGTGAGGATAGAAAATCGGTTCACCAACCAGGCTCAATGCACAGTGCCGAATGCGCATGGCCTCAGCAAACCGCTCAGCTCGTACACCAGGAACGCCACGCATCATCTTGATCTTCTTGTAGTGGCCTTCTTTGACTCCTTGGAAGATCAGCTCCGGTGAGTCAACCTTCCAGCGCCACGTTGTTCCAACAGGATTAGTACCATGACGCCAGCAGAAGATACACTTATTGCTGCAGGACAGGGATGGTGTAGCCTCCATGCAGAGATGGGACCGAATGCCATAGAAAGAGAATTTGTAGCATGAGCCTCGACCACGGAGCGCAGATTTTGTCCAGCGACAGATCTTGACACCAGAGTGAGAGCCAACAATGGTATAGCCTTGCTTGGTGAGAGCCGCGTAGGTGGGTGACGTTTTAGGAACCATCTCCTTCTCGGTCGCTGGAGCCGGAGCGGACTGTTTGGTAGTGGTGAAATCAACTGGGACAGGAGCACCGGTCGTGTTCTGGGGATCGGCACCAAACTTGATATCTTCCAAATCAACAACATCTTGAGCCTTGCGCCGCTTGTTGTTTCCCTTGACGCCGTTCTCCAGGTCTTCGTCGTCCAATTCCTCGTCGCTCTCGACGGCATCACCACTACCGGGGACACCTTCTCCCAGCCCGCCATTTTCTAGAATATCGAGCAAGACGTCCTGGAGACCCTGCGACCATTCCTTTAGAGCAGATTCGGCATCGCTCTTCACGTCACCGAAACCCAGGGGATATGCGCGCTTTCTACCAGTGAGTTTGGCCATCCATTTATCCAACTCTTTCGCCTGCGAGCAGAATCCCTCCTCTTCAGTGGGCCAACCTTCCTTATCTCCGAAGCCAAAGACGGAGTAGCCAGCAAGGCTAGACAGAGCGCCCGTATCAATGCGGAAGTCGTTGTGGGTCTCGTTGAGGTGATCAAGGAAGGTGTTCAAGATACTATCGATATTGTAGGTAGGGATCAACAGGCAGTACACATAGCGCGTTCCGGGTGAATTGGATGGGGGCTTCGGTGCAGAGGTGAAATAGTCGTCGAGATCGATATAGGAGAGATCGTGGATCTGAGGCGGCAGAAGGCCACGCTCGCGATCCTCCAAATCAGCTCGCTTTTGGGCCGCAGCGCGCAAATCTTCGAGCAGGGTTTGAGCATATCTTTCGGTGGTCGTTGTCAACGAGGCGAAGAAGATAATAGGTTGGATGAAGGAGATGGGTTGTCCTTGATCCGACTGTGCGCGCCGTCCTGCAACCTTGAGAGGCTTTTTACCAGACACTCTCTTCGGGCCGGAGGCAGCCTTCGACAAAGGTTCATTCGATAAAGATGTCTGCGATTCAATGTTTTGCGTTGCTACTGGTTTAACGGCCTCGTTAAGTAGAGGTTTATCGGGCTTCTCTGGCGAAGCACTTCGAGGTGAGGGCGGGACGGACGAGGAGGCTGTAGTCTTGGACCTGGTTTGGAATTTGCGATAGAATCTGATGATCACGAAACCGGTTGAAAAGGCCACGAGAAATAGTAAACGGTACGAATGCCAAAAGGTCAAGAGACCTACACCGTGGGGATTCTCGATCAGTAAAAGTCCGGTATTGTGTACAGGAAATGCAGAGAAATCCGACTTTACATACCTTCCGTCAGAGAGTGTTCGGTCATGATGATTCCAGAGAATCGAGATGACAATGTCCTCGTATCTAAACCACCAGTCGGAGCGTTGGCCTCATTTGGCGCAGAAATTGTGAGAAAAGATGCGATGGAAATTATGAACGGGCGGGCGGTGATTGAACCAAGTGGGGAGAAGCCGAGGGGCAGATCAACTGTCTAGTTTAATCGATTCTTGGAGGCTGTTGGAGCATTGACTGCTTGATCAGTGGTAAGTGGTCTCAAGACAGTCTAATATGACTGATCTTTCGAAAGAACACAAAAGTCTTCGAAGCAATGACGGATGAGGTGTTTTGAATCTCGACAGTGTTGTTGAAGTTATTCAAAGAACTTGTGGGCGAAATTTTCATTAGTCAGCTGTGATTGGCTCCCGCATTGTTTCTCTTGGTAGAGAGTACGGAGTTGAGAGTACTACGTACGGAGTAAGGGAAAAGGGTCAAGATCTCTCCTTGGGTACTTGATACTTCGAAGATTTGATTGATGTTAAATGAACCCAATAGAGAGAGGCAGTTCTCTGTTTTCTAGACACCGAGGAAATATCTGTACAAGGTGTTGTTGGTGACTCCAAACATAACTACAGCCCACCCAGTTGTTCCCAGTCATATCCAGTTGGCCAAAATAGTGCCTCGTTTGCTTCACAGCTAAGTCCTTCTTGATCAATCGTTCCCTCATAGAAGAATCATGCCTTGGGGATCCATTGGCCATCGATGTATCTTATGAGGTGATTGCGTGCTACTGGAGAACATCAACTGAGCCGTCCTATCTATTCATTTGCTGGATTTGTCAGCCCCAACCTCTTGCTTTTATACAACATTTTAATCTGGACTGTGTGAAGGTATCACAGTACACAATCAGGAGTCATCGATCATACGTCTCCTATCAGGATGACTGCCATTGAAAAGAGACAATACGGGGAGGAAACCTCCAGCGACGTGGAGAAGCAGGTTCATCCTCCTCTGGCGAGAATGTCCTTGACTCGGCGCCTCGGACATCTAGCTGCCACATTTCTACTGGCATGTCTCCTTTTCATCACGACTGGATCTCCCAGATCGACGGCTCCTTTCAGTATCGAGCACAGAGTCGACACAATCCTGTCAACCACTCCATTGATCGGTGGGTCACTACGAGTCTGATCGCTCAGAAGACAGTATTGACAAGTGCTTGCAGATGGCCACGACGACCTTCCTATCTTCATTCGTGCCCGTTTTAACAATCAGATTTACGGGGATAACTTTACTATCCCTTTCACCAAGGGCAATCTCACCGGCCATGTTGATCTACCACGACTCTCTCAGGGCAAAGTTGGAGGCACCTTCTGGAGTGTGTTTGTCTCATGTCCAAAGAACTGGACGAATTTCTCGGATGCGACATATACCACAAGTAGGATTCAATCACCACCTAATTTCTATTGATCCATACTCACAGACAAACTTCAGGTGTTCGCCAGACGATGGAGCAAGTCGATGTCATGTCACGGTTGGCCAAGGCTTATCCTGACACTTTTTCTCCGCCTCCCAATGGAACTACTGCGCTTCAGGCGTTCCAGGATGGCAAGATCATCTCTCCCATGGGAATAGAGGGACTTCACTCAATCGGCAATTCCTTCGCCTTGCTGCGGAATTTCTACCAACTGGGAGTATCCTACGCCACGCTTACGCACAACTGTCATAACCGTTACGCCGACGCGGCTCTTGCCGAGCTGCCCACTGGCGGTGTTAAGATAGCTGATCCACACTGGCATGGAGTCAGTGAGGCTGGGAAAAAGGTGGTCTATGAAATGAACCGACTGGGTATGATTGTCGATCTGGCGCATGTCAGTGTGGACACAATGCGCGATGTTCTGGGCGCAGGTAAGGACGAATGGACTGGCAGTCGCGCCCCAGTCATCTTCAGTCACAGCTCAGCACGCGCAATTTGTCCACATCCTCGTAATGTTCCCGACGACGTCCTGGAGCTCGTCAAGGCCAAAGACTCGCTTGTCATGATCAACTTCTCGCCCGACTTTATTTCATGCACTGCATCGGACAACCCAAGTGAGCTACCAAAGACAGATCTGGCCCATGCCACTCTGGATAAAGTAGCAGATCACATTATGCACATTGGAGGTCTGATTGGGTTTGATCATGTTGGTCTGGGCAGCGACTTTGATGGCATTCCAACTGTCCCGCAAGGACTGGAGGATGTGTCAAAATTTCCGAACTTGGTCGCAGAGCTTCTGAGGCGAGGAGTGAGTGATGAAGACGCTGCTAAGGTGGTAGGGGGCAACTTACTTCGGGTCTGGAAGCGAGTCGACGAGGTTGCACTGCAGATGCAAGAACAAGGAGCGGTGCCTGCGGAAGATAAGCTCGAATAAGCTATATATTAAGTTAGTCGTGCAGGATGGCTTGCACATATATCATCGGTACTGCTGGAGATTCGGGTAGTGTGACTTGATCCTGACCAATATGCATTTTCATTCTCAGAGTCTGTTGGAATAGCTGTGTACTGGTATGATCCCAACGATGCTGTAAAACAATCTATATACGTTGAGTGACATTAGATGTGAAATCTTTCAATCTTTCCGCTCCAGGCTATACCAAGTCTCAGGCGCTCTTGAGCCTCACACAAAAGACGGTTTCCCCGACATCTCAAACGCTTTCAACAGATTCCGCCCCTGGTTCCCCATGAACTTGTACTTGCCCTCTCCCTCCGCACTCGCACGGACTTCCTCCTCCGTCGCCCACACAAACGCCTGGTGCTCCGTCTGCTCCAGCTTCACCCCATCCTCCCAGCGCTCAGGCGCAACACCGACCTCAACGTCCGCGGACGGCACGCTGCCAGTGGCTGGATCCGCCTCGTGCACCTCCACCAGGAACGTAAACTTGGCCACACGGTGCACCTCGTCGTGCAGGACTCGCTCCCACTCATCCACTGCAACCAAGTCCACGAATCTCGAAACATGGAGCCCGCTCTCCTCGAGGACTTCGCGCGCTACGCCTGTCAAGAGCGTGGCGTCGGTGCGCTCGCACATCCCGCCGGGTCCTTCCCAGTACCCGGGATATGAGTCAGTTTCAGCGCGCTGGAGAAGAAGAATGCGAGGGCGACTTGTGTCTTTGGGAATGGAGTCGGGATAGGACTGTGAGAAGACCAGTCCGCTGACCACAAAGTCTGTGAAATGAGGTTTGGACGCGGTGAATTCGGCCAGAGGGGCGTTGTACTCGGCGAGGTGAGGAGGCACGGTAAAACTGGAGATGTTTGTCATGCTTAATTGGTGATAGGATATGGACTGCTGGTGATGCTTGTAGGTGTATGTTGCGGCCTGATCGTCGAAGAGTTCGTGGACGGATTCCAGCTTTATGTTTCTCGGTTTGGCGCTCACTGACTCATTCTATACGAGATGCGAATTTTTGTTCGGATTCTATAGGCAACCGCGTTCTTTCTCTATTGTTTCAAATATCCCCTTGAATATCCAGATGACTACGATCTCTCTCTCTCTCTCTCTCTCTCTCTCTCTGTCTCATATCAGCAGCAAGCGGGGCGAGCTCTGCTCCGCTTATCTTACCAGTACACGACGCGCTAATCAACATCGCAGCGCAACAGATGGCCGTTGTTAGGCATCTTTGAATATATATACACATATCATGTATCATTATTTACAAGCATCGGGGAAGAAAAATCGCCAACGGCTCATGCTTAGTCAAATCACAGTTTGCTTCCCGGCAGCTGGGGGATCAAGAATCCTGCAAAAAATTTGCCAATTTGCTTATATTCATCGAGACTCATGACAGCAGAAACATCTGACGACCGTTAGCATGTATTTGAAGAAATTTGGTAGGCAAACTTACATTGATCTGGGCGGACAATGACAATAGCGCCCTTCTCGGGCTTGATACCGAGGTACTCATAGCATTGGCCATGGCCCTTGTTGTAGCTCTCATCATCGTAGTAGATCTTATGAAGATCTAGATGTGTGTCAGCATGCTACACGCCAGATTGAGTCTGTGGTTAGGCCGTGACCTACCTCTGATTTGATGCTTGCCGGTGATGGGATAGAAGCATTCCGGGATCTGCTCCAATTCAACGGAATGACGCTTGCCATGTCCTACCAGGATCGGCTCGATAAGGCTGTCAATATCCTTTCCCTTGGGACGGAATGTGTGAATGGGGCCTTCGCTAGAACCGAGATAGTTGCCAATCTGCACGAGTCAGCAAGAGCTCAAAACGAAGCAATAGCATCTTGTCACTCACAGCTTTCAGCTTGGTCTTTGTCTCAGCGAGGCTGATATCACCGCTGAAAACCATTACTCGCCAGCGTCCATCCGAAGTAAGTGACTGGGCCAGCTGCACCGGCTTTGAGTCACTGAAGCGGACAACTTGAGCGCTTGGTAGTCTCATCCCAACAACCACATTGGCCGCGAGCTTCTCAGATTCATCCACGTCGGAAGTGATGGGAGACTTGTCGTACCGCGCCGTCAAGCCGGCGGTGTACTTGCCAGACTTGATGAAGCCTTCTTGAAATTCGGCGGGGGAGGTCTGGCCTCCCGAGGAAAAGAGCTTCGAGAAATACCGGTCAAAGTTGATCAGGTCGATTGCGACCTTTTGACGCTCCAGTACATACGTCTCCAACAACGAAGGCGGAGCGAGTCCCTTTAAGACCGTGGCTAGTTTCCAGCCCATGTTATAACCATCCTGCAGACTCACATTCATACCCTGCCCTGCCTTGGGAGAATGGGTATGGCAAGAATCGCCGGCAAGGAAGACGCGGTTGTCCTTGTGGAAGAAGTCGGCATGGCGCTGGCCGATCGAGTACGCGGACCACCAGACGGTCTCGACAAACTCGATCGAATGCTGGCTGAGGATGTTCTTGGCCGCCTGCTGGAGATCCTCGAGCTTGACTTCCTTGGCCTTGGTGCCGGCCGGCAGCTCAATGTAAAACCGAGTCAGACTGCCGCCTTCCCGGGGTATGATCATCAGATTGCCCGCCTTGGAGCGGATGGTGGTTTTCTTCCGGATATCTGGGAAGGTCGTGCGAGGGATCATATCCATGACACCCCAGACCGCATCGCTACTATCGCCAATCATGTTGTAGCCCAGCGATTTCCGAACGGTGCTATGAGCACCATCGCATGCCTGAACCGCATCTGGGTCAGCCAAAAAAAACAAAACCACACTCCGATTATATCAAGGATCAAGATAGCCATACCAGGGCATACTTCGCCTCGAACGTCTCCTCCCGCCCGTTCCTCTCCGCAGTCACCTTGACGGGATACGCCTGCGCATCCGCCGCCAGCTGGCTATCCACCTCGACACTGGTCACGGTATACCCGTAGTCAATCTCCTGGCCATTCCACTCGCGCATCTTCTCAATCAGCAGGCCATTGATCCGCGCCTGGTTGAGGATCACATGCGGCTGGTGCGACAGACCCGGCTGCGTATCCGCCGTCCGGCCAGTCCGCTTGATCACGCCCGTGCCGTCGTCCGCCCAAAACACCACCTCCAGCACATGGTACGCCTCGCGCAGCAGCTCCTCGCCGATGCCGAAGCTCTCGAAGATCTCGACCGTCCGGCACTGCACGCCGTCCGCCTGGCCCATGGTCATGGGCCCGTCGCGGCGCTCGAGGATCTTGCATCGGATGCCGTACCGGGCGAGCCAGGTGGCTGCGCAGAGGCCGGCGGATCCGCTTCCGCAAATGAGCACGTCGACTTTCTCTAACATTGTTGTGGTATATTTTTCTCTCTAGGGCTGAGGCCAGAGATGTTTTGGTTCATAAACATTTGAGAGAGACCCTCTTTCCCCAGATTCATGGGTTTGATCTTCCTTCTTTATGGCATGCTCGGATCCGGGGCCGGAATGCATCCCGTGCGCCCCGGAATCTATCCCGGACATGTCGGCAGATCGCCTCGGTCAACTGCCAGCCAATCAGCGACGGTTGATCCTACTCTATACCTCGTAGAGGTATAGATAGTAGACTGAGGGAAATGCCTGAAGACTCACGACAAGGATTAAACCAGATTGGGGAACGTCTAGCAGGGGTTCAAGGCAAGCGAGGAACAGTGCACGGGTTACGTATGTCTTCTCTACGTACCACATGAAATGTCAATAGCATCAACATCAACTGAGCGCAATCAATACTGCGGGCTGGTGAGAAACATAGTACATAACTGACAACCCCCAGAATTGCACTACCCTTGGGTACCAACAGAAGCATCATTAAGTGCGTCTAATCTCATTATATAATCATCATCAACTGCCCACTCTGGCACAACATGGGACAGACCGTCACGCGTTTCCAAGACGCCAGCGCCGATTGCGGGTCAGGTATCTCCCACCCCGTAATTTTCAGACAAGATGCCAGATGAAACAAAAAGAAAGAAAAGAAAAGAAAAGAAAAGAAAGATATGCGGTATACTACAAGAAGTACTCACTGCGGCCCGGCCGCGAAGGGGGAACATGTCGTTGGTCATCGCTGACAGCACTGAACAGCTTGAATGTGGGCTTCAGATCCTCGCCGATCTCGCAGACAGACGCCAGATTGCCGCACCGGTAGCAGTAGTTGGGCGCACTCCAGACAGTCACCACGTTCTGGTTCGCGAAGTGGTACTTGTAGCCCTCGTTCACCAGCTGATGCGCGCGGGCTATGAGCGTCAAGTCATTGACGTGACAGAACTCATCGGCAACCTTGTCTCCAAACAGCCAACCTACCGAGGTGGTAAGCATTTCAACGTCACGGGCGATAATGAGCACAGAAAATACGTACCAGCTCCTCTGGGACTAACAGCCCATGTCTCCACGTCGTCTGGATCTGACCAGACAAGGTCACAGAATGCACCCTCGTGCGGGATCTCCTGCGCTCTCGCGACCACGCGAACCTGGTCGAGGGTCCGGATCTCGGGACTCAGCCCACCATGCACACACAATACCCGTCCGTCGATGATAGCACCTAATGTCATGAAGTCGAACACCTGGCAGCAGGCCTTCCATACAGAGGCATTCCCGTACTTTTGAAAACACTCCTCATAGAAACCGTACACTTGCGTGATCTGACGAGACTCGTGGTTTCCACGGACCAACGTTACCCGGTCAGGATATCTAACGAGCAACGAACATTAAAACTCCGAAACCAACCCGCCACAGAGGGCATCACAAGCACTTACTTGGCCTTGAGACACAGGAGCAATGTCAAGGTCTCCAAACTGAAGTATCCTCGATCGACATAGTCACCCAGGAACACGAAATTCCGCTTGAGCTGTAGATCATTCGACCCCGCGCTGGAGGACTGACTTTGTCGATTCACACTATTCTCATCATCCTCTTCCGACGGAGCCGACGCGTTTTTCAATTTCTTCCGTAGCTTAGGATCCGTGATGGTCGACGGGGGCTCGATATCGTCCGACGTGATCACCGAGGCCTGCGTGGTGGGAGCGTCGTCCCCCGACCCGTCGGGCATGCCACCCGATACCCGGAAAAGCTCCAGCAGATCGTAGAACTGGCCGTGGATATCGCCGCAGACGGTCACGGGCGTCGAGACGGGCTGAATATTGGATTCTTCCAGGGGTTGGCTCTGTCAGAGTGGGGGGCGCCAATTTTATCCCTTCGCGACTCACCTTCCATCATGTACTCCTTGACAATCTCGCACAGCTGCTTCATGTGTTGTTCGGAGAGGTACTTGCAGTCCTTGGCTGCCTCGAGCCATTCGTCTGGGCCGGCATTGCGCCTTAGTTTGGCTGGGCCCGGCTCAGGGATCTTGCTATCCACCATGCTGGAAGGAAGGATGGATGGATGGATGGATATAGCGATGCGATGTGAAATTGATTTCAGATAGGTAGACTTCAAAAATGGCGTTCGTGCACACAAAGATATGAAGGCTGGTGTATGACTGTCGCTCTCTATCAAACTATTATCAAAGATTCTGGACTGCAAACGAAATCACTAATAATAATCAGAAACACTGGGCTTGAACCTCATGTGTATTTCCTTTCCCCGCAGGATGTTGGCTAGGATCGCGTGCTTGGCGGCCCTCGCCTCCCGTAGTTGACTCGCCGCAGCATCACCAGCTCTGATAGTTGACAACTACTCGACGGACATTCACTTCTTTTTCTTCTTTCACATTTCTGTCACCCTCAACCGACCGTGCAAATCGGGTTAACCTCTACCATCTCAGTAGTACCAAACCTTCAGTGCCACTCCAATCGGAGTGTAGATCTTTCCCCTCCCTCACACTCGAAATCGATTCATCATGACGCAGATTTCCCCTGGCAAGCCAACAGGAGGTGTCCTCCAGATCCCAGCGACCGCGACGCAGAAGAACTCATCGTCCTCTAGAAAGAATCCCAAGCCAGCTGCTCCGCGACTCAAACTACTAGTGAGACGGCTACCGCCCGGCCTGACGCAGACCGAGTTCGAGAATGCGCTGGGATCCGAATGGGCGATTGGTGCTGGGAAGGTGGATTGGTACCAATACAAGCCTGGCAAGATAGCCAAAGAGTCAGTTGTTGAATTCTTTCGGATGTGTAAGACCTGCGAGCTAACGGTGATACGATTATACAGTCATGCGAAACCATCGAGACCCTCCCGTGCCTACATTCACGTTACGTCCAGCGAACACATTGCGTCTCTTTCAGATAAAGTCCGACAAACCCCATTCATAGACAGCCGCAATACCGTCAACGACCCGGTGCTCCTAGGGCCGCCATCGCTCGAATTTTCTCCGTACGCTAAGATCCCCGGTAGTCGGGTCCGCAAGGATGCTCGCCAGGGAACCATCGATCAGGACCCCGAGTTCATTGCTTTTCTCGAGAGCCTTACACAGCCGATCACGAAACCTGCTCCCGTTGAAAGTGCCGAGGCAGATGAAAAGAAGGAAACGGTGACAACGACGCCTCTCGTCCAATACATCAAGGAGAAGAAGGCCAGCAAAGCCAAGGAGGCCGCCAGTAAATCCTCGAGACACGCCAAGGGCGACAAAGATTCCAAGTCCGAAAAGGTGCAAGCCAAGAGACTCCTGCAGCGACCGGATAAGGATACTTCCCAGGCCTCGCCCGAGAAAGCAGAGAAGAAACCCAGGACAGCCGATAAGGCAGCCAAGGAAGCGGTCAAGGCAGCAAATAGGGCCGCCAACGTCACCGTCAAGCAAACCGCCAAGCCAACAAGCCAAGTAGCGAGCAGGGATGCTTCCCAGCCTGCTTCGCAGGGTGAGCGGAGAAGGGAGCGTGGGAATATCGCCGCTGCGGCCAAGATTTTACAGAGAGATCTGGGGCTTGCGCCTTCAGGCGCACGCCGCAGAGGTGGGAAGGGTACTCCGACAGATACAGAACAGAAGAAGGAGGCGGAGGCTACTACAGAGGCTGGCAAGAAGGATACCGCGACCAGATCTGGAAAAGCCGCTTCGCCTGCCCAACCCGCGCCAGCGAAGGGCCGAGGAAACGCTCCTCCTCAGACAAGCGAACCCGCGTCATCCCGTGGTCAGTCCAGCCCAGGCACCCCTCCTGCCAACGCGCCCACAGCACCGGCCAAACAGTCGAAATCGGGGCGAGGAAAGCAAGCCGCAGCGGTCGCTTCTTCGACGGCTACACAGGCATTCCTCAAGCACGCCAACCCGTCTCAGGGGGTCACCGAGCCATTACTGGAAACCGCCTTCTCACCTTTTGGAAAGATCGTGAAGGTGGAGATCGACAAGAAGAAGGGATTCGGGTACATTGATTTTACAGAACCGGGTGGTCTACAGAAAGCCATTGCGGCTAGTCCTGTGACTGTGGCCCAGAGTCAGGTCGTGGTGCTTGAACGCAAGGTGAATCCGGGCGCTGAGAAAGGCCGCGGGAAGGGTCGCAGTGAGCCCCCGGCCTCCAGTGCTGGTAGCACCAACGGCAACCGAGGAAAGTCTGGTGGAGGTGGAGAAGGGGGATCCGGCGCAGCAACACCGTCTTCATCGCGAGGACCCCGCGGTGGTCGTGGATCTAGAAACAAGGGTGGTGCCAAGGGCAGTGGGGGAAACGCCGGTGCGAACGCGAATGCTTCTGGAGGGAAGAGCTCGGAGACGAAATAACAATAAACATGCCGAGATGATTGATGTACGGTAGTAATGCAGTGATACCCATATATGACTTGATGACAGGCGCTTTGTTTCATGGTCCGGTGCATAAACACTGATGGCTAGGTACTTGGTAGATCAACATGATCTACTACTGGGCGATACGGCAGAACAAGCCTTGCACGACGTGAATTATCGGAGATATTAATCCAACGCTCCGAGACAGAAGCTTCTGAGCTTTTTGCTAAATTGACTACGATATTACAATTAAAATGACAGCACGGAAAAGGGAAAAAAAGTTGATGAAGACTCTCAAATCATATTGGTATCTATCTAGAAAAGGGTAGAGCAATTTCCAATCTCATAATCATTCAACATAAAAAATGAAAAAGAGGCAGACACCTTTCAGACCTCCTCGACGCCCACCAAATCCGACCGACCGAAGTCAAGACGTCAGGACAAGGTCAAGATCATCACCACTCCCTGGACCATCGCAGCAACCAACAGCCCAAACAGACTCCGTCTTGCGACAGAATCGTTGTGAGCGTCGGAGCGCCGCGGGGTCGAGGCGGGAGTAAGAACGGCTTCACTTTAGGGCATCGAGGACATAGCAGTCATCAGCAAGGGTGGAGATTCTGTGGCTCTTTAGAAGAGCTCAGAGGTGGGACGTCTACTCTAAAGTGATTCTTTGAACTGTGGCAGTTGTTAGCAAAAGGATTCATTGCAGTGTTTGGTTTGGGAGGTGATTCCCAAGGTAGGGAGGGGGATCACTCACGTAGAGTCGCTTGATTTTCATAATGACTGGGGGATTTGGAGGTTTATATAGAGCTGGTGGTGCACTAGCGAGCGCGCTAACCGCAAGCGAGAGTGTGCGGTGTTTGCTTGGTTTGTCGTGGTTGAAGCTTAGCGGGCCAATCAGAGAGAATGAAAACTTTTCCCGCATCCACTGGCTGGTTCCAAAGTTCTGGCTGGACTCTTTCACGCTCACCGGCATCCAGTCAGTAGTAAAACTTCAACTTCAGGCATGGCTTTGTTGCTCACTCAGCTTCTCAGTGGTTGGTGCTGGTTACTTGGAGATATCATTACGAATGGAAATTGACTTTTTTTCTGCTCTGTTCTACAGGATGAGGCGGTTGAACATTGTTGAAGTCTAGAAGACTCTTTGAGCGAACTTCTCTACTCCGTACTACGTACAGTGTGGGCTCGACTTGGCAGTCGGAATTGGGTATGATGCTTGGCTTGGCCCGCTGCAATGGACTACACAGTACTGTCTCGTGTCTACTCGCCTAGTAGTAGTAGTAATAATGATAGTATCCTACAGAGGTGCCGATGATCTACCGGCAAACCGAGCTGATCCGGCTTTTTGTGGCAGACGGGCAACTGGCAAGAGTGAGGACTCGTGATAGGTCAGATTATTAAATATCGAAGCATCAGGCTTGTATCAAGATGCAGGTACAATGAACTCCGTCTAGTTGTCCTACTATCTTGCTGGACAGGGCGTTTACAGTATCAATGTCTGCCAGTCAACAAGTCAACAACCCGTTGTGCAGTAATGGGTGTAATCAGTATTTAGGCAGCTAGTGTCGATGCTATATATCGTTCTAGGACGGGGAAATGGTGAGTATCCCAGCGATAGTGCAAGTTGGCTCTGTGCATGTCTATTGGTCCTTTGGTTCCTTCCATCTCTTTGGTGCGGATCCATCTGCCATCGCTGGGTTTCGAACGAAGGATCTCTGAGAAAAAAAAAATAGAAGAAAAGATCGGGGGGAGGGATTCCCTTCGACTAAAAAAGGAAAATTATATTCTAGCTTATTAGGCATTAGAGTACATATCGAAGATCATGCTGATATTCCATCAAGACAGTAATGCTGGCTTGAGTGCTCTAGTTTTGCATTTTGGTAGATAAATAAGAAAATCTATGATGCTGATGTCCTGTTATACTAGTTCATGTTCTAGTTCTGCTCCCCCAAGGGTCTTCTTGCTGTGTTGCCAAGTCAATACCAAGTTCAATGCTACAAAGTACAAAAAGTGGTTGTGGATATATATATCCAAAGTGACTACAGACGAACCATCCTAGTAGCACCAATCAATATGCTCGTCGCACTTCACAATAATACCCAACAAACCCATCCGATCCCATACGTGCATCGGACTAGCCCCGATACCGACAGAAAAATCTATAACACAAGCAGTTGGTGGTCAACTCTCCCTCCGCCTGCGCATCTAAATACACCAGCGAACGACGACGATAACCGATAAGCCGAACCGTTTGGCCTGAATGCGGGGGAAAGCTTCTCTCCTTGCATTGATTCCAGTTACAGTGCTAGTCGCGCTGTAGACACTTATCACCGAGTACTATTATTGCCAGTCTACCATGCATCAGTGCTAGGTGGAACGCTTCACCCCTGCCCTGCTATGTTAATCATACTCCACATGTGGATCGGCGGCCTTGCTACGCCTCGACACCAGACATGGCGTATCCCAAAGAGCATCCCGCAAGTCGCCCGCGAGCCTACGAGGCGTGCCTCCCCTGCAGGACATCCAAACGGCGATGCAGTGGCTTATCCCCATGTCAGACATGTCTTCGAAGGGGACAGGCGCACTCGTGCATGCCTTCCAGGCGGACTGATCATGTCCCAGCTCGGCGACCAAGTACATCAGACGTGCAAAACACCTCTGAACTGCGAGGTCGACCGGATGTCACAACACCCCGTCTACGTGGGTAGTGCTGCATCACTATAATTTCTGTAGTTGCTCCGCGACACGGTTACGCAACACATTGGCCCGTCCCAATTTTCCCACAATGGCAGGAGCGAAGACATGCTCGAAACAGAGGCTCCCGACGATGCTCCGTCAAATCTCGAGGACACGCTTGATCCAGACCAGCGATGTGGCTTCATCCGGACATGCCAGATTGCAGTATGAGTGCCATATTCGTCCAAGTGCACTGGATCAAGTGCAACTGCGTGATTGGATACATCAGTTAATGGCATGCCGACAGACAAGAGGCTTTCTATACACCATGCCGGATTTCGATATGACGAATACCACAGGTCGCCAGACTGGACAGGACACAATGGCACTGACAGACGTAATGATTGCCATAGGAGCACAGACACAGGCCCAGAACCCCACAACCAATCGCATCGAACGCATTTTCTTTGCTCGCGGACAACGCAGAGCACCTGCTAAAATGCTAGAGAGCCCCAGCCTGGGGATGGTGCATCTCTTCCTACTGATGGCATTTTATATGCTTGGAGCCTGTCGCAGGAACGCTGCGTTTGTGTATCTTGGAGTGGCCGCTCGAGGAGCCGTGGCGTTGGGTCTCCACGCTGATAAGTCGAGTTTTCTACCGGCGGCCGAACAGCATCGAAGGTATCTCCTTTCACACATCGATAATTCGATGGCATCAGGGCCCGTTAACTCACTGGAGCAGGGCGTGCGTTTGAATGCGCCTATGCAATTTAGACCTTCTAGTCAGCTCTATCCTTGGCAGGCCACCTGCGACATCCTCTCTACGCTCCGAATATGGAGCCAGTATTACTGAAGCACCCCATCCCACCGGTCAAGTAGAAGGCCTGAAGGCCTTGTATCATCTTGCACACATACTGGATGAAATCATCGCGCGGCTGTACGGCGAAAAAACAGCATCGGCACAAGTAGCCGAGTCACTGTTGGAAAAGCTCAAGCAGTGGAGCGACAGTCTTCCAAAGTCGCTGCTCACACCCCAGACACGCAACAGGAGTGTCTCGCTGTACAAGAACGTATAATAGGCAGCTTGGACGTCGCCTGTTCGTACCACTTTGCAGTCATCGTCGTGACAAGACCCTTCCTCATTTCAACCCGGAGGAGGATGTTCTGGGGGACATTCCGGAAAACACTGTACACACGCGCCTGGCCGTCGCTTGCACGAACTCGGCGCTATACATGCTCCAGACCTGTTTGGAGATCCACCGCTCAGAACTGCTACTCGGAAATATGTGCATTCTCAGGTGTGTTCCAAAGACCTAGATCCTTGTTGCATGCCCCCCCCCTGCTTACTAGACCAACAGAGCCTTCATCTTCGCCGCAGCCCTCGTCGTCGGCTTCTCCCTCTTCTCCCAGAAAGATCCCAATCCCGACCTCGAAGAAGCTCTCGCCGGCCATCAACATCCTGCACACGTTCTCGCAGCAGTCCACTCAGGCAGCGCATTACTACGAGATCCTCACATTCCTCCACCACGCGATCTCCGAGCAACGCCAGCGGCTTTCGTGCCAAGGACACAGCACGAGCCAGTACAGCAGTAAGCTGTTTAGTCTGAGCAGCTCTAAACCCGCACAGGAGACACCACAACACGAGCACTTCCAAGCGGAATAGTGTATGCGCCCGAATGAAGGAGCTGGGAATCTGCCTTCGCTGACTAGTCCATTCGATATGAGCAACGTGCCCCTGGAGTGGGATAGCCTTCCTTTCACGGAGGAGACGCTCCCGCTGCATGATAGACTGGGTGATGCGAATCTGTTGTAGTGGGATGGCTAGGGAAGGAGAAGGTCTCTCGGGAGCTTGGTTAACATCGCTGCTCACCCCATCCTACATGGCCATGTTAAACTTCACACATGGGCTATAGCCATTGCAACACATTTACTCCAACCGAGACCCCAAGCATCCACATCTACCACTCTACACTTTACAACCCCCTGTCCCCCGATAAAACATACCTAAGCATACCCCATCCAGCTCAACACAAGCATCACAAACCCCAACCACAGCACCGACGTCTTCACCAACTCTATCTCCTCGCCATGGCGGCGCATCCAGTTCCGCGCGCGGCCCACCCACACAGACCGCCCACTATCCGCGACGGCGGACCACAGGCCCGGGAGCCCGTCCAAACTGCGCGCGTTCCACTGCTGCTGGTACGCGCGCAGCTGGCCCTTCTCGACCTTGTTGGAGGCCCAGTGGCCGATAGTCTCGCGGTCCTTGAAGTAGGGTTTGGGCTCATTGGTGTCCGGGTCGAGGGTGAGGGCGAGCTGCGGGACGCCGTACCCGCAGGAGGTTTGGACCTGTTAGACCTCAGCGTTAACATTTTATCATCAACGTCAATAATGATCCGCCACAAGTAGCGAGAAAAGGTTAGTGACCTGCGCAGCGCAGTGAAAAAACAATCATGGGGGAAACCCCCCCCCCTCTTAGAGAAAATAACAAAACGGAAAGAAAAATCAAATAATCAACCTTAAACACATCCAAGCGTATCACCGCCCTCGCACCCACCACCCTCTTTCCACCGCCCATGCGCGCCACATACTCCCCAAACTCCGGCTGGTCCCACTCAATCACAGTCCCCGTGCAGAAGAAGCGCAGGATGCGCGGCGCCGCGTCGAACGAGCAGAACATCACGGTGAGGCGGCCATTCTCGCGCAGGTGGCAGATTGTCTCGTTGCCGGAGCCCGTGGCGTCGATGTAGGCGGCCTCGTTGGGGCCGAGAATAGCGAAGCAGGCGTCCGGCAGGCCCTTGGGCGAGAGGTTGACGTGTTTGCCGCGTAGTGGGGCCGAGGCGACGAAGAAGATGGGTTGGCGGAGAGCCCAGGCGCGGAGCTCGGGGCTGATGGAGGGGTAGAATTGGGGCATTGTGGTTTTTTTTTTTTTTTTTTTTTTTTATTTCCCTGTAAAGAGTGTACGGAGTAAATAGATAGTAGTGACTAGTGTAGTAGTAGGCAGTAAGGAATTGGAGGTTGAGTTGGTATTTGGGATGGAGTGAGGGAAGGTGAGTTTCGATATGGTTGAGAGTTGGTGGTGAGTCATTTGTTCGGTGAGGTTGTGTGACTTTGACCATTATTCCTGGCATGGAGGATCCTGCAAGGTCATGATGCTATACTGCTATGTTTTGCTATACATTTGAACGGTAAACTGACTCAATTGGAGGTAGTAGTGATTTGGGGGACTCATATTTCTGTTCTTGTTTTGGCTATATGGCTGTTGAACTTGTCTGGAGAAGGGCAAGACGATTCAGACTACATATACCTCACTGCACGTTGTATTTCCGAAGTCGTGCTTCCGCCGTTTCCAAATTCCAGCCACGTCCCAAGGAAGCTCCCTGTTCCCACAAAGCCACAACGGCACCCTCGGTCTGAAGCTATTGTGATCTTCACGGTATTTTGTGTTTGGACGTAGAAGGTTTTGAGTCCGTGGCCCTTTCGCTGGAGCAACAACCAAGAGCTGCCGTCCCCTTCTCAGGGGTTCAACTGTTTATGACCTCAACGCGGTGGAGGCACTGTCAAGTGTCAATTGAGAACTGTCAATTCTGTCCCACTCGAGGCTATCTCCTGTGACTACGGAGTATGAGTCCTTTCTCATGCCCCTCCAAGTGATCGTCGTGTGGGTCTCCATGTTCAAAGGGGCCCGAGAGTGTCGACAAGTCGCGCAAGAAGAATGCAGGTCTATCCTCCCCGGAGGAGGGGGCGCTGATTCCAATTGCCAATGCGAAAGTGTTTGAACTTTGAAGCATGAAGTTGAGCTCTGATCACAGAGACCGAAGAGCAAGAACATGACTAGACTAGAGAACTAGTACCAAATGGCGAAATCAAGGGCACGTTTTGATGGCAATTGGGGAGCATCCAGGTTCAGGCTCTGCATCTCTTGCTAGTTGCTACTTGCTAGTTGTAGTTGCTGAAGAGTCGGCGGGCGATGGCCAATAAACAAGACCCCTGCAGATGATCATCGGGATTGGAAATCAAAGAACGAACGCGCAGAAGTTCAGAAAGGCCACAATGGCCGGTGTGATTGGAGATGTGAACTTCTTGGCCGTTACTTGGACAATGGATACGCCATTAACTACGGAGTAGGTGGTATTATTATTATTGGTACTACTCCACCATGTATCATTAGCATGATTGTCAGCAGTGAATCATTGGAAGGACGAACAGTAGATATCTACCCCAATACTAGTCTACCATGTACAGAGCCGTGGAGTTAATGTCGCTTTGCCTCGGGTAGGCCATCCCATAGCCTATAGGGTACAGAGACCTTGAATACTGGAGACTGAGTGACTATGGCGACCATTCCAGCGATGAGTTTATTCAGAACCATACGCGTACAGGGATACCAGTTCGTAATCATCGTGTCAGCAGTCAACTCTCAGTCTCCGCAGTACAGACTGTACACTGTACAGTAACTTAGTAAAATAGCGCGAAGATATGGCACAGACCACAGTAGTGGACAGTCTTGCCTGGTTCGGTAAAACTTCCGCCCGTCAAGCGCAGATAACAAATGGCACCGGGGATGGTTTTTTGGACTCCCCGAAGGAAGTCCGGCTACTACTGATTGTTAAGGTCCTGGAGAAGTAAGCTATTAGGGGAACATCATCATCTACTTGGTGTGATCTTCCATACTGTCAGTTAGTTACAGTATAGGGGATGGAAGGGACAATGGTATTGTATTATTATGCAGATGCATCATGCATGTCCCAGGATTATATTGAAGATTATGCTGTGTAACAATCCAGCTGATATTAACTTACACTAACACAGCATAAGGTCCTGACTGCATAAAGCCATAAGCGCCTTATTTTGCAAGTGTTTCACCCCTATACAACGAACCGCGGTACCGATGTCATATACGGAGAAACACGACTACCTAGTACTCTTGAGTATCATTCGAAATAGTGATCTGGTAGATAGCAAACCGCAATTTCCTTCTCGGGCGGAAATGACCCCGCTGGTAGAAAAGTCGCCGAGTCGAGGTCCCTATGTTCCTCCGTGCTATCTACTTACTCCTAGTCTACTGCGACTGAGGTCCACTACCGAGTACCAACTACTCCTACTACTACCACTAGTACTCTAGCGATGGCCTCAACCACACTTTGAGTGGCACAAAACGGATTGAGGCAAAACTAAAGACGTCATTACGACCCCGCTTTGCTGCGGGGATCTCCATCATATGTGATAATGTGTGTCTTGATTGATACAGTCTCCGTACAATTCATTCCATTTCAATTCCATTTCCATACCTTCATACCTTACTGACCTTACTGTTCAGGACCAGTTCCTTACAGTAATACCGGTTACAGATCGTCTCAATTGTATACCTCCCCTTCGCCCCATCCAGACTTTCTCTTCCTATGGCTGCTCCATCTTAAATACATTCATTAGTGCGTTTATTCCCCCTGCTCGACCTTCCTTTATTCTCTCCGCATCTGTGATACCCCTGTTCGATTCACCATGTCTGACCTTTTCACCACCATCGAGACCCCTGAGCTCAAGTATGAGCAGCCTTTGGGCTTGTATGTTCCTCTTTCTCCCGTCTAATGATACTTTTCCTAATCGTGCTTGATCTTTAGGTTCATCAACAACGAGTTCGTCAAAGGTGTCGAGGACAAGACTTTCGAGACCATCAATCCTCACAACGAGAAGCCCATTGTTGCCGTGCAGGAGGCTACCGAGAAGGATGTCGACATCGCTGTTGCTGCCGCTCGCAAGGCTTTTGAGGGCGAATGGCGCCAAGTGACCCCCTCGGACCGTGGCCGCATGCTCACCAAGCTGGCTGATCTCATGGAGCGCGATATGGACACTCTGTGCGCCATCGAGGCTCTTGACAACGGTAAGGCCTTCAGCATGGCCAAGGTTGATGTCATCAACGCCGCCGGCTGCCTGCGCTACTACGGTGGCTGGGCTGACAAGATCCACGGTCAGACCATCGACACCAACCAGGAGACTCTCACCTATACTCGCCACGAGCCCGTCGGTGTCTGCGGTCAGATCATTCCCTGGAACTTCCCCATTCTGATGTGGGCCTGGAAGATTGGTCCCGCGGTGGCCGCCGGTAACGTTGTGGTCATCAAGACTGCTGAGCAGACCCCTCTGTCGGCGCTCTATGCCGCTAAGCTGGTGAAGGAAGCTGGCTTCCCTCCCGGTGTGATCAACGTCATCTCTGGCTTCGGTCGTGTTGCTGGTGCCGCCATCTCCAGCCACATGGATGTTGATAAGATTGCCTTCACTGGTTCGACCCTGGTTGGCCGCACCATTCTCCAGGCTGCTGCCAAGAGCAACCTCAAGAAGGTGACTCTCGAACTCGGTGGCAAGTCCCCCAACATTGTCTTCGAGGATGCCGACATTGACAACGTAAGTCGTTCCTCCCATCTTTCTACACTCGCCCCAATCGGTGAACTCCAAACTAAAAAAAAAAAAGGCCATCTCCTGGTGTTGGTTCGGTATCTACTTCAACCACGGCCAATGCTGCTGCGCCGGTTCCAGAATCCTGGTTCAGGAGTCCATCTACGACAAGTTCCTGGCCCGCTTCAAGGAGCGCACCGAGCAGAGCAAGGTTGGAGACCCCTTCCACCCCGAGACATTCCAGGGCCCCCAAATCTCGCAGCTGCAGTTCGACCGCATTATGGGTTACATCGAGGAGGGCAAGAAGGCCGGTGCCCAGGTCCTCACTGGCGGTATCCGTCACGGCGAGGAGGGTTACTACATCAAGCCCACTGTGTTCGCGGACGTCAAGGAGGACATGAAGATCGTCCAGGAGGAAATCTTCGGCCCTGTCTGCACTGTCCAGAAGTTCAAGGATGAGGAGGAGGCCATCAAGATCGGCAACAGCACCACTTACGGTACGTCATTTTGATCTCTTTCGATTGACATTGACGGTTTATCCCTTGCGACTAACACTCAATCTACAGGTCTTGCCGCTGCCGTCCACACCAAGAACCTCAACACCGCCGTCCGTGTCTCCAACTCCCTGAAGGCTGGGTAAGTCGCTGTCCCGAAATCCCTTGCTGAGCACACAACTGACATCCCGCTAGTACCGTCTGGGTCAACAACTACAACATGATCTCGTACCAGGCTCCCTTCGGTGGCTTTAAGGAGTCCGGCCTCGGCCGCGAGCTTGGCTCGTACGCTCTCGAGAACTACACCCAGGTCAAGACGGTGCACATCCGCCTGGGTGACGCGATCTTCGCTTAAAAAACAAAAAACAAAAAACAAAAAAAAAAAAAAATAATAACGATGTTGTAATGAGCTTTATATCATACCCGCTGGATCTAGTTGGCCATTTATATCTGTATACAGAATCATGCTGAGACATTGAGCAAGCAGCCATGATTGCTCAAATCAATTGGATACGATTCATGAATGATTTTATCCTGATCTCTATTGCCCTGTTTCCGGATATTTCTAAAAATTTCCCGACCTCCAATACCATTTGTAATAGATACCATAGGACTCCATGTTTTCCCACCAGTTCCATGGATGTACCTATGGCAACTGGAGGTGTATCGGGATAGTACACCGCGAGGACTGTTCTCGGGGTATATTGCCCCGATACATGGGATGGCTCGGTATATGTAACAATCCGCCAGCGAGGAAGCAATGGATGTTAGTAAGCTATTCAAATGATACACCTTATTTCACAGTCAAAGTACGTGGAAATTATCCACCTATATTTGTAATGTAATCTGATCTGGTCTTGTTCAATGTGAACTGTCTGAAGAAGCCGAGGATAGCCGAGAGCGAGTTCTTTGCCCCCGACGAGATTAATTTACTACATGACTCTCAGCAAGACAACTCAGGAAAAGTTGACCATCCATATCTACAGATATAATTATTGATATCTTTGTGGTACTTTGACAATGGAATAATCCGTGCTCGTTGTGACTTGGATGATTGAGTGCCCTTATTTCATTGAGAGGTGATATAGGTGAGAGACCTGTGGTTGACTCTCCTCCAGCAGTGCCAAACCAACCACCCAATACACGATGACGATATCAAACTGCACCAAGTTATGCAACTTCTTGACCATTCTGGCTGTTCTGTGAGACCCAACAGACAAGCCGAAAAGCTCACAACATCCTGTTTTGCTTAAAACACAGCAAGCCAACCCCGCATTCCCAGACCGAGGCTCTCGAACATGCTCCCTCGGTGCGACAACAAGCCATACAAGGGGACGCAGACCTATTACCCCCTTGACTCAACTCAACTCAACTGGACTCACAATGCGTCATCCGGTCTGGTAGTGCCAGCATATCCAGCTCGATACCCCCAGTCTTGCGGCCCCAGTTGTGTTTGCAACCACCACTTGACAACAACATGAGGACCCGGCCCATTCGCATCGCAGGTAAGCGCTCACAAACAAACCCTCCCCACACACAACTGACCTGATTGATCAACAGGCGCATCGGGCTCCGTCTCTGACCGGCGCCATGCCATCGCCGAGTTCGCCCACAACTACCCCCAAGACCCAGTCGACGTGATCGTCGCCGACTTCATGAGCGAGGCGAACATGGCCACGGGCGCGGCGCGCAAGGTGGGACGCGAGCGTGAGCACGCGCCCGATTCTGCCGTGCCGGGGTACGAGGCGTCGTTCCTGCTGGCGCTGGAGCCGGCGCTGGAGGACCTGGCTCGGTATGGGATTAAGGTGGCGGTTAATGCGGGGAATTCGGAGACGGAGGCGTTGTATGAGGTTGTGACGGGGATGGTGCGGGCGAAGGGATTAGGGCTGAAGGTATGTAGATTGTTGCTAAGCTGGTATTGGATGATGGGTGTGCTGATGGGGTGTGGTTCTAGGTGGCCTGGGTGTCGGGTGATGAGGTTCTTTCGACGGTTAGGGAGGCGTTGGCTGAGGGGAGGTCAACGTTCAAGAATATTTATACGGGCGAGTGCCTCTCGGATTGGTCTTTTGAGCCAATCTATGCGCAGTGTTACCTTGGGGGTCTTGGGATCGCGGAGGCCTTTGCTGAAGGAGCTGATATCGTGCTGTGTGGACGAGTCTCGGATGCATCGCCTGTGATCGGTGCGGCATACTGGTACCACGGATGGACTCGCAACGACCTCGATCAACTGGCCAACGCTTTCGTCGCTGGTCATTTAATTGAGTGCAGTAACTATGTCTGCGGGGGTGATTTCACTGGCTTCAAAGCGCTGGAGAACGCCGGTGGTGATGGCTGGACCAACATCGGATACCCCATCGCCGAGATCTCGAGGGACGGCCAGGTGGTCATCACAAAGCAATCATACTCCACCGGCGGCGCCGTCACAGTCGACACATGCTCCTCGCAGCTGCTCTACGAGATCCAGGGCCCGTGGTACTTCAACTCAGACGTGACCGCCATCCTGACAAATATCCGCTTCGAACAACTCGGGCTCAACCGCGTCGCCCTGCACGGTGTGCGCTCCGCGCCGCCTCCTCCAACCACAAAGATCGGCATCACCGCTCGCGGCGGCTTCCAGGCCGAGATCTCATGGTTCCTAGTCGGCCTCGACATCGACGCCAAGGCACGGATGCTGCAGGACCAGATCCGCGCCCTCCTCGCGCCCTTTTCGTCCAAATTCTCCGCCCTGACCTTCTCCACCCTGGGTTCCGCGCCAGACGACCCCCGCGACCAGGACAGCGCCACCGTCACCTTCCGAGTGGTCGCGCAGGCGCGTAGAGCAGACGACCTGGGTCCCGCCCACTTCCTGCGCCCCATCACCGACAATATCATGCAGGGATACCCCGGCGCCACCTTCCACCTCGACCTGCGGCAGGGCTTCCCCAAGCCCGTCTACGAGTACTATGTCTCCCTCCTCCCACAGAAAGACATCAACCACCAGGTCCACCTCCCCTGGAAGAACAAGACCGTGGATATCCCCCCGCCCCCGATCACCTGCCAATACGACTCCCGCCAGCCCTCGCAGGCAACCACGCCCGCCCCCGCAGACCCGCGCACGGATTTCGGCCCCACGACCCGCGGACCGCTGGGCTGGATCGTGCATGCGCGCTCCGGCGACAAGGGGCCCGACGCGAACTGCGGGTTATGGGTCCGGCACGCGGACGAGTATCTCTGGCTGCAGTCGTTGCTTTCGTCGTCCCAGGCGCGGGAGCTGCTGGGCGCCGCGTACGATGGGAACCCGGCGCTGGAGGTGGAGCGGTTTGAGCTGGCGGGTCTGCGGGCGGTGCATTTCCTGTTTCGGAATCTGCTGGATCGCGGCGTGGGCGTCACGACCACGGTAGACTTTCTGGGGAAGAATGTGGCGGAGTATCTACGGGCGAAGTGGGTGGATATTCCGGTGAGGTTCTTGAATCGGGGGAGGTTGTAATCCTTCTCTTTCTAAGGAGAGAGGTGTCATGCAACAGAGGAAAGGCGTTTGATGACGTGGAAGAACGAAAGATTTCCCTGCTGGGCTTGTGATGATTGCGAGATAACGTGAATTAAAGTAATTATTGAGATACCATATGTACCAAACGCCCGATAATGCAATACACGGCTCACGGTCTTTTCCGAATCTCGCATGTTCACAACTTACCTCCGCCTGCGAGAACTCTGTATAGGTTCAAACCCATCACTGTCATCATCAATCTCCTCACTAGCCACGCTCGCCCCTCTCGTGCCACGGCTAGCCTTCGCTGCTGGTTTGGACGATTCCACCCCGCGTGCGCGTGTACTCGTCTGCGAGCCCGTGAAATTCAGCGTCATCTGCGTCTGGCGTGCTCTGCTGCTTCGGCCCGTTGCTGCTGTCCCACCCACCGTCGCCGACGACGGGGCTGGGGATGCTGCGCTGCGTGTTGAGCGTCGCTGGCTGGTGGCGGAGGGTGCAGCTGGTTTCCGCGTTCTGGTGGCTGGCTGCTTGACGAAGAGGGCTTGTGAATCGTCATCGTCATCGTCGTCGACGTGTTCGTCGATGTCGGAGAGGATTTGGGGTGCGTTGTTGTTGTCGTCTTCGTCGTCATCATCGAGCATAACCACGTCGTCGTTCTCGTCGTCATCTGATATCACTTGTTGTTTCCGGCCGCGGGTCGTCTTGGCCGGGGTGGCTTTCTTCGTCGTTGCGGCTTTGGCTGCGGTGCGCGAGGTGGTGGTCGTAGTCGCCGTCGTTGCGGCGGCCCGTCCGCCTCGGCCGCGCCCACGACCACGAGTCGAGGCTGTCTTCCGGGTAGTGGCCGTCTCGGTTCCGTCCTCTGCGGCTTCTTCTCTGTTGGGGTCGCCGCCTTCGTTGTCGGAGTGGATGAGAGCCCCTGGCTGATCCTCCCACTCGCCGTCGAACTCGGTGTCCCAGCCGTCCGGCTTCGGCTTGAACCGCTTCTTGCCGCGCGTGCTCCGTTTCTTGATGCCCCGGGAGAACATGTCCTCCATCTGCGTGCGGTATTTATCCATGGCCTTCTGGATCGAGCTCTGGGCTATTTCTTCGTCGTCCATCTCGTCGGCTTCGCGGTCCAGGTTCATCAGGTGCTTCACTTGACTCTCCAGCGACTCGTTGACGAACATCTCCATCGCGTGCTTGTCATCCTTGTCGATGAACTGCGCGACCGCGTCGCCGAAAGAGTTTTGCGGGAGGATGGTCAGAGACTGCGCGGCAAGAAATTCGCGTACCAGCTGTTCCACTTTGACCGTGTCCAGCGTGGAAAGGTGAGACATGGCCGCCTCGTCGACGCCGTCGTCCTTCTTGCGCGTCGTGGCGTTCTTTTTCTTGCGGTAGAATTGTACCACGTCGTTCACGTTGGCCACCTTGCCCACGAACCGGTTGGAGAAGCGCTGCGGGTTCTCGCAGTCATAGCTGCCTCCGTCCGGTGTGGATGTCTCGACCCGCAGCCTCACCAGTGGTAATGGCACTTCGCGTTCCTCGTCCTCCTCATCCTCCGCGTCATCCTGCATCTCCAACCATTCGGCTTTGGCTTCTTCAATCAGCTCCTCTACGATCGAGATCAGGAACCGCGTGACTTCAGTTCGGTTGTTTTCTTTCCGTGCCAGCTTCTGCGCGCCTTTCTCCTCCGAGAGTACAATCTCCCTGATCGCGAAGGGACGGACGGACTTGAGGCGGATGGGCTCGCATTTGAACTCGCGGCCTGTGATGCTGAGGATTGCGACTTGCTTGGGGACCGCTTCGCCGGGTACCAGCGACGTCGCCACCGAGGAGCCAGGCTGCATCACATGGAATTTCGTTTCTGGGTTGAGCGTTGGATTGATAAGGCATTCGTGCTCGTGACCCCAGATTACGAGGTCGAGGAATTCTGGTAGGAAGTTCTCTGGGAGATATCCTGTTTCCGTGTATGCGTGATGGTTCTGATGTACGCACATCAAGTTGAACCAATCGTTTTTCTGAATCGAGGGCTGATAGAACTTGACTTTACCATCTCGGAATGTTCTGAACAAGCGCTCATCCCGCACATTGCTCATCCCATACAAGGCTAATTTGGTGCGCCCTTTTTGCAGCAGAACTGGCTTGATGTGAATATTGTCGGACTCTGGCGTCCTGCCGTAGTAATTCAACAGCCCTGATACTTGGAGTAGATCCAACGCTGCGAGATGACCCTCGCCCGAGGGATCATCATGGTTTCCATGGATGGAGAAGATCGGAATGGCAACGTTGATGTCCAAGTCTTCGTAGTTGACGTGATTGAACGCTCCTTGGAAATTCTCACTCGCATCACTGAGCATCTCCAGCTCACACGGTTTGTCACCCAAGCAGTTCATTCGAATCGACCGCATGACTTGGTACATGGATTTTCGCGACGGCTTGTTCTCATGAAATAGATCGCCGGCCAGAAGTACCATGTCCACGTCTCGCTCCCTAGCCAGACACATCACTTCGTGGAAGCTCTTCCAGCTGTCGTCTCCTCGTATCGGATCCCGCTCATTATACCCGACATGATTATCTGTTGCCACGAGAATGCGGATTGTTTCCGCCTCTGTCACAATCAGTATGATAGCTGTGATGAAGCTTAAGATATGGCACTTACCACCGAGATCAGGCATTCTGAATCACCGAATCTCTTTCAAATGACACCAGAAGCACTGGACAGATTGAGAAAAGCCAAACAAAAAAAAAGAAGCTTAAATATTGAAAACTACAAGGAAATGGTTGCTAAGATGCCTAGAGTGCTGCCTATGTCGGACAAGCACAACCAACCACTAGGATCACACATAAAACCATATGAGGATACTCTATATGGGCTTCAATAAAAAAAAACAATGAATCTCAACGCACAATTGCCCTTCAGCATGGTCATCGTGAATCTCTCCTTATGCTTGCTGGCTAATCAAATCAATTTCGCCTCCGAACCACGAGCGCGTCACGTGTCTCGGGACGCGAAAGTCTCATCCCCCGCCATCGCTGACCCCGATCTCTGTCTGGACTTGACTCATTGCTTGATTCCTTTTCTTCTTCACCTGGACCTCTGTATTCCATCTCAAGCATCGACGGACTCGCTCCTCTTTCATTCCCATCTGTGCTCTCATCATACCGGCTGATCCAGAAGTCATTGCTGGTTCGGTCGCCTCTATCGCCTCTACCGTCACCTTAAACCTTTTTATGCAATCAGAGCTTACTGCAGTTCTCCAACAGAGTTCCCAAGCAGAAAAGTCCCCCGGAGAGACCTATAATTTTACCCAGCATGGACATGAACTTTGTGGAGAGAATCACCGGGTCTCCGGCCTTCCGCATCATGTGGAAGTCGGAGACTCGAGCGCTGATCCCGACTCAATCAAGGACACTGGCCACTCGTCCTTGAAATCGGTGAGCTCTGAAACGTTTATCCCTTCGTCGCCATCCATCGGTGGGGCCAGCCAGTTCGGGAATATCATCCCTCAATCTCCCAGCAAGCAAGCAGACTTCCGTTCTAAGAGAGTGGCTTTCGACACTCAACCGCGTGTCGCTCTGGGAGCGTTGCCCAATGGTACGTCATATTCCCTCTATTGAATGCGTGCAACGTTCTCACGATTCGATATGCAGAGGTCTTGACTCATATTCTGTCACACCTGCCCCCGCCGTCCCTGTCGTCCATCGCGCTGGTCTCCCGTCGTTTCCATAGTCTGGTTACTACGCCTCACGCCTGGAGAATTGCATTCTCCCGCTATTTTCCTGGCCCTTATACCGTGGAGAATGGCGCTCGCCTTTCGACGGCTGATGCCTCTGACAATGTGGCTTCGAACAAGCGGTACTTTTCGAGATTGACTGCGCTTGCTTCCTGGAGAAGCGAGTATATCCTGAGAACCCGCTTGCTGCGGTCACTGTCGAGAGGCAAACCGGCCCAGTTCGAGCCGTCAAAGAAAACCGGTACTGTTCGGTCCGCGAATGTGCGTCATGGTAGCGCTGTGGTTACCTATACTTCGCAGCTTATGTATCCAGTGAGTCACCTGGGCGGCTCATTTGGTGCGGAAGATGCCAAGAAGGTGCCCCTCTTCATTCATGGTGCTTCGGAGCAGGGCATCGCGTCGGCCAGTGATCCTTCCGCAGTCAAGGCGGGGACGTGGGGCGTGTCTGATCATCAAATGTTCCGGCACTTTGCGGATCTGTATCCTGGGGATGCCGAATATGGACTTGGAGCAGGTGATCTTGCCGGACAACCAAACTCCATGGATGTCAGCCAGCCGTATGGTATGGTCTACGGAGAGGGCTGTCCACAAGGGCGCAGTTACTTTATTTCCACTGCTGAGCAGCGCGGCCGCTTCCTCGACCTCACTGAATCAAGCTCTCATCCAAAGCAGGGTATACCCGCGCTCAACCCGGCGACAACATCTATCACAGCAGTTTGGATCGCCAAGTCTTTGCACATTCTCAAGATGACTGGAGGCTTGATGGGGATGCTGACTGGCTCATCAGCTGGTATCCTCAGCGGCTTTGCTTTGGGCCCTCATCCTACCTACGAGAAGCGTTTTGAAAGGGGCCAAGTGACCGCTAAGTGGGCCATCTGCCCCGGTGTCCCTATTATCGGAATTGCGATTGACGATAATTATTCCAAGCGACGCTCTTCCCGGGGGAGAATCTGGGCGATGGTTCTTAACGCTCTGGGTGAGATCTATTATCTGACCGACATCCCTCGTCAGCCCGAGGTTGCAACAAAACTGAGCGTGGAGGAACTCGACCAGCTGGCTTGGAAAACAGGCCGAAGCGTTCGCTGGGAGCTTGTTGAAGCGACTAGGCGAATTGCACGATCAGATCCCTTCAACAGGGAGCCCGTGGATGGTAGCTATAGTCCACACTCTTCGTCGGACTCGATGAAATTGGATGAGCAGCAGATTGTTGCTGAGACCAAGGAAATAGAGCGCTTTTTGAAGTTTAGACCGAAGCATTTCCGCAAAGTCTGTGATAGCTGGGATATGCGGCGTCAACTGAGAGTCGATTTCGCTGGTGACGACGGCCACGGGGCTGGTGAATCCGTTCTGGTCATTTCTCGAGGCGTGGGCGAAGGCGAAAAGGCTTCAATCCGGCGGTTTACTAGGGTGATGTCGAAAGACGGCCTATTTGCCGCGCCAGGAGCTATTTCTCAACCCCATGAAACGACACCCCGATCCCTATTCGGTGGGCCTGCGCATACACCCATACCGTCCGTGGTTTCAGATACAGGTAGCCTGCCGCCGTCAAGGGCATCTACTTCTATCAGTGAGACCCGTTGCTCGGTCGCAAATACTGAATGGCGCATGTCGGACTTTACGTTTGGCGATCGGAAGTCTGTCCAAATCACCACCAGCGCCTTAGATCAGTCAACCTATGCTGTGTTGACGGCTGATGAGGATCCACTGCTGGGGATGTCTGGCAGCTCGGCGTTCTCCTCAGCCATGTCTTCTCCTTTACCGCATATGCAGCAGTCGTCACCCAAACCAGAAGTACCTGGTCAGCGAGGACGGTATATTGCTGTTGGTACCAGCACGGGCTTGGTGCTCGTATGGGATATGCGGGCGCCCACGGCCAAAAATACGGATATGATCAATCCTGTCTCTCCGTTGAGAATCATCCAAACCGATTCACCTCAAGTATCGTGTGTTGCCTTGACTTCCTTGTACTTGGTGCATGGTGGTAATGACGGTTTGGTGCAAGCTTGGGATCCCCTTGCTTCAACAACACGCCCGATCCGGACGATTAACTCCCGGTTCTCCTCTCGTGCTCGCCGCCGTTTGGTTCAAGCGGAAGCCTCGGTTCAAGGTGTTGGAAACAACTACTTTGCGTGCGGTGCTATCTGTCTTGACCCGGATCCGACTGTGCTGCGAGGCATGGTCGCTCTGGGAACACATCTGCGGTTCTGGGCTTACAGCTCCTCTGGCGCAGATCAGTACAAGAGTAGCAAGCGTCGACTTCGCCGGGGACTCCGTGGTAGCAACACGACTGCCGAGGGTCAACGATTCAGCAACAGTGGTCGCGGCGCTATCAGGGACTACATTGCGGATGAAAGAGTGGAGATGGAGCGGCAGAAGATTGCGGATGAGAAGGAAAGAGCTCATCTTAGCAATCGGTTTGGCGTCGATCTTTTGGGACCCGATGTTAGTGAGGAGCAGCTCCTTGCCTATGCGCAACTATTGAGCGAGGAAGCCTTTACTAGCGAGGCGGGCAAACGTGGTGAGATTGTCGAGAGCTCAATGGTCAGCACTTCTCCTAGTGATACCATTGGCCGAAACGACAGCTCGGTTGCTGCGGATGACTATTCATCCTCATCCTCTCCTTATCAAAACACTGAAGATGATCTGGCCCCAGATATTGCCGAGGCTATCCGCCTGAGTCTGCTTGACGAGGGTCCTCCTTCCGAGACGCCATCATTTTCACTGAAGTTCTCTAAGGACTTTCAGTCAAGCCACAGTGACATTTCACCCTCGGAATTGGCGGTTGCTGAGAGCAGCCGACAGCAGGAGCTTGATGATCTGGAACTTGCGATTCAATTGAGTCTCGCAGAGAGCCAGAGCCTTGAGCAAGCGGAGAGTCAGCAGCGAGATGAATATCCCTCATCAAGTGCGTTTCCGTCGTCATCTGACAATGGTAAAGGGAAAGGAAGAGCCTTATAAATGTTTTCCCCATGGTTTTGGATTTATTGTTTCGGTTCAGTTAGTTAGACCATTTCTAGTCACCGTCAGCCGTATCTGTCATTCGAATTATTTTTATGCATACTATCAGTATTTATTTCAGAGCGCACGCCTGATAGATAGATCAAATCAAAATTTAAAAGCGAAGTCTGTAACGTTTACCGTATATACCAAGAGACACATTAATGTACTTTATACATCAAGCAAGGAGGTTTATACAAGCCGCTTGAAGAAATACACAGGTAGAACATCTCAACAAGATATAGGGCACGAATCCAAGCTAGACAAGAGGCGAGGGAAAAGCAAATTACAGCATGAAGAAAGCCATGAGCGAGGCGCCGGTCAGCAGACTGACGAAGGGAACAGTCATGGCGCCCGCAGCATTCTTGTCGGAACTGGAGCCAGAGCCAGACTTCGAGCCCGAGGAGCCACCGCTGGTGGAGTTGGAAGAGCTGGAGTTGGAGGAGCTGGAGACGGTGCCGGAGGTGTGCGCGCCGGGGGTGTTGGACTCGGCGTCGGCGAGGGCGGTGAGCTTGATGCCGGTGATCTGGTTGCCGTTGTGATCGTAGATCTTCTGGGGGATGTCGGTGGAGGAGACGTCGACGAGCTTGCCGGTCCTGGCGCCGGAGTAGCCGTTGTCGATCATGTCCTGGACCTTGGAGGGTCTCTTGGGGAGGTCGAAGGAGTCGAGGAAGGTGGAGTTGGAGATGAGGGACTTGGAGCAGGTCGGGGCCTGGAAGGAGGTCTGGGTCTTGTTGGAGGCCTCGATGAGGCTCATGTCGAGCTTGGAGTACTGGGCCATGAGGTTGTCGTAGTCGACGAGCAGCTTGGCGGAGCCGTCCTCCCCGAGCTCGACGAGGCCGTAGTTGTTCTCCTCCTGGGTGTACTCGTAGACGAGGCCACCGGAGAAGGACTGCGACATCTCCTTGCTGTACAGGGCCTCCACCTCAGTCCAGTAACGGGGGCGGACCTCGTTGCAGCCGAACTCGGAGAAGAAGACGGGGATGGAGGCTTCGGCGAAGTCCTCGGTCAGAACGTCGTAGCCGCTCTTCTTGAACGTGGAGTTGCCGCACCACGAGTACGAGTTGAGGCCGAAGAAATCTGAGTGGGAGCTGGGGGCGTCCTTGTCCTCGCACATGAAGTAGTTAAGCGTATCCGCAAGGATGGGACGGATATCGGCCGCAGAGTAGCCAACGGGGATGGAACGGTTGAGGTTCTTGGCGATGTAGTCCTTCATGTCACGTTGGACGGCCTGCGTAGGGGTCAGCTAATTGTGTATCTTTCTCTTGTGGTTCCACAGTGGATGGACAAAAGTAACTTACGCGGACGTAGGCGGGGACGTCCTTGACGCTCTGCTCGTTGATCACCTCGTTTCCGGCGAAGAAGCCCAGGGTGTTGGGGAAGTTCTTGAACGCCTCAATAACACCGAAGACCTGCTTGAAATAGATCTCATTGTAGGTGCTCTTGGGGTCGGTACGATCCAGGTAGCCACCCCACAGAGGAGAGCTGACATCGAGGATCATGTGGATACCAGCCGCGTTGAAGATCGATGCGCACTTGTCATGGTCGAGACTGGGAGCCAAGTTATAGACACGGATGGTGTTGACCTATTGCGCGAATCAGCGATTTGATCTTATCGGACTTTACCAACGGTACGGAACTTAAACTTACACCCAGGCGTTGCATGAGAGCAGCATCACGCAAGCAGGCATCGGGATCGCTGAGGGGATCCTTATCCTTGGTGAAGCCAGAGGAACCGCCAGGCTGGTAGCTGTTGAAATAAGAAGCGAAATGATCAACAAATCCGCCTTCCACGGTAGGTAAACGAGATCGAGATCGATCATCCGAGAGGTAAATCCTTACTCGACACCGAGGACTTGGAACCGACTGCCGGTCTTGCTGTTCACAAAGTCCTTTCCTTGGACCTCAATGGGCACCACGGCGTTGACAGTGGTCGCGAGCGCGCAGACCGCCGTGAGAAGGCGAATGTATGTCTGCATATCGATTCAAGGATCAGCGATACTGTCGAAAAACAGGCAGGAAAAAAGGAGAAACAACGCAGAGAGACTTCAGCTCCCAAATGATGCGCGACGTACCTGAACCATGTTGGAAGCTGCAAGATATTATCGACCCAGAAGGGTTTAGAAGAATGCGATACAACAAGTTTTGGAACGATTGAACAGACCCTTCCACAGGAAGCGCCAAAATATCAATAGAGGGGCTTGAACTAGTCGTAGTACTAGTTTGTGGGGACCCAAAAAAGAGTGACTGAGGTGAGGGATGCTGGATGAAGCCAGACGCAGAGGGAACGAACGTGGTGGGTTTAAAAGGGCATCACACAGACGACGAGGCAGGGAAAAGGCACCAGGAGGAAGAAATAGCCACAGGCTCAGGGAGTAAGGGGAAGAAGAGAGGACTGAGTGAGTGAGATCTTCATATTGGAAACAGAACGGGGGGCCAAAGCAATTATCGGGTATCAGCGCCCAGACGTTTAATTTAAACGATATCAAGTTATCAACATTCTGATTCAACACTAAAAGCTGGGCGCCATGAACGATTCAGATTCAGGGACAGTGGAGCTGACTAGCAGGCTAGCTGCACCAGCGTCTCACTTGAGGCTTGGGCATTGGTTCGGTCTCTGGTCAGAAGGTTTGAATAGACTAGTTGGATGTTGTTAACTTGTTGGAAAAGGGTTTGTTCTTGGTTGTCTTGGGTTCATCCTGACTAGACTAGTTCACAGAAGGGAGGATTAGGATGATAGAATAATCCCGTCCATTTCTCATGTTAGTTACTGCTGGTCTGCTTAGATACCTAGTAGATAGATAGATAGATAGATGGATAGATGGATAGATGGATTAGTACTAGATACGCTCCGTACTTACTACAGTATATAGAAAGGACCATCATTGTCAAATTGTCTTTGCACCTTACTAAAAAGCTACTAGTCCGTTTTTTTTTTTAAAATACAACCCAAAGCTAAACCCATCGGAACAGTGGTGATTCGGAAACAAGAGGGACTACCGGCGCTCAGCAACCCAGGCGAAAGTTGCGGTATCTGGCCCAGGTTCGGAGGCAAAGGAGACCGACGACGAGAGGCAAAAGGGGAGAGAACATAGACAGAAATAGAACGACAAAAGTCATGGCGCCGAGAAATACCAAGATCGTCCGCCACGTCGGCGGCCAAGACACGATGCAAATGTACAGGGGGTGGAAGGTGTTACACAGGTAGTGGAGATGTTGAGACTGGCGAGCGCCGCACATCACAAGGAGAAGGTCGATAGGCCAGACTCGGAGAAATGACCAGGCCACGGCCCAGCGTGGACCGGCAGCGGGTTGAAGGGCCAAGACTCCTATGCGGCAGGGAGGTAGAGAGGATGGGAGCGCCGCAGTCTTGGAAATTAGAAGGGAGAACATTTATTCGAGGTCGTGGTTGTCAGCACTGCCACCCTCGCTAGTGAAAGAACCCAGCTTGAGACCAGCGTCCATGGCAACCATCTCAGCCAAGATCTCCAGCACGTCCTTGGGAACGGTCTTGTCGTATATCGAGATCAGGTCCTTGGGCTGGGGGTAGACCTTGAGGGCCTTGTAGAAGCACAAAGCAGCTTCAATCTGGTCCGAGCCTATATGATGAAAGACAGATGTGTGAGCTATGTTGTTTTCTGATCCATCATAACTGACCGCGTCAAAGAAACATACCTTCGGCACACAGACCCTCTCCGCGGGCGACTTGACCCATGAAGTAGGCCTCCTTCTCCTCGAGGTCAGTTGGGAAGCCCTCATCCTTGGCCTGCTGCACTGCCTTCTTGATGGTCTCCCGCTGCATAGCTCCCTGGGCCTCAGCTTCCTCCTTGACGGCGCGGGCAAGGCGCCGGTTGTTTCTCTTCAGGCTTTTGCGGAACTCCGGATCGGTCTGTCTCTTGTGGTCGAAGTAGACAGCATAAGCTATAATGTGATTCCGATCGGATTAGCCTCGATGTTGCGACCATGCGATCGATGGGTTCCTCGGTTCTTACCCAGAAGGCCGGTCAAGATCGTGCCGGCGGAGGCGGCCACCAAAGTCGACGTTCTCATCTTGGATAGAGGGAAGAGAAGAATATGTGGTTTTCAATACAGAACAGTAGAGTAAAGCTTGACAAAGAGAGGGAGATCCTCAGGTAGTTCCAGCAAGGGATGGCGTTTGAAGGCTTTGTAGATTCAGTGACGCTCATCTCGAGTCCTTGTAACCGGGCAGCCGTAATAATTTTGAAGCGCGGGATCATTGTTGTTCCGCCTCGGGGTTTCTGTCCCGCTTGAGCAGCCAACAGGACAGCTCCAGGGACCACCAGCTGTCAATGACGCTGTGCTTCCTCCGAGCCCGACTTGTTCTTAATCATCGTCGGGGATTTCAACGTACTTGTGTCGCATCCTTTTGCATCAAGCATGGAGAGCCGCGGCTTGACCCTCCGCAGCAAGACGCGCCGTGCTCGTCCCCAGATTAGTGCTCCGAAGCCCATATCCGGGCCTCTTCCACCGAACAATAAGGCTGCCGATCCAAGCCAGGGAGCTACAAGCTCGAGCTCAGTGTCGCGCGAGCGCTCGAATAATAATGGCGCCACCTCAGATCTGGTCAAGCGGAGGTACTCTACCCGATTCAACCAGGCTCCTGAATTCGATACGAATGCCCCTCCTGTCCCTGGTCTCCCGACCGCAGCAGGAAAGAATGAGGGCCTAAACCCCCCAGAACCCAACAGGAAGCCATCGACCGACTCGTCTGGGCCCCCGAAAGTAGATTTGAATGCGCTGCGGGATCCGAGTCTGCCAGTAGACAGATGTGAGTCTTCACTTTGTGGTCCCCCTGATATGGTAGTTGCTGCCGAGGCTAACTCGGCTTGTCAACTATATAGATGTCGCAAACCTGCTTGCCAATGCTACGGAGGAGGAGATTGAGGAGTACCAGAACAGCCTTCGGAAAGTGAGGAACAGAACATCCACCGACCTTCAGCAGAATGTATACCAGAACCGTACCCAGTTCATCAAGATTAGCAAGGAAGCAGAGAAGCTTAAGGGGGAGATGCGGACTCTGCGCACCTTGATGGCAGAGCTTACCACCGCACTGAACCAGACTACTGTTGGAAATGCGCCGAATCCTATGTCTCCGACGAGCGATGACTGGCTACCGAAACGTCACGCGAACCGTAGTTCAGTCGCTAATCTCGAGAGCATGTGGAATGTTCAACTTCAAACTCTCTGGAAGACTGTTGAAGGTTCGCAGAAGTTCTTACCCGTCGTGCCGGGTCGACATATCGTAATGGAAACAGGCCAATGGGTCGAGCTGGACTCTGCCACCTGGAAGCCTAGGCGACCCGTTCACATTGTTCTTCTGAACGATCATCTACTGGTGGCTGCGAAGAAGCGCAAGCGTGTCGATCAGAGCAACCCCAACCATCGAGGGCCGGTCCCCACTAAGTTGGTTGCAGAGGAGTGTTGGCCCTTGCAGGACGTCGACATGATTGATCTTGGCGCGAATCTTGGCAGTGGTCCAGCCCGTGAAGAGGCCGAAGAGCGAAGCATCGCAAACGCAATCAACGTCCGTGTTGGTTCAAAAATCTTTACGTATCGTCATGACAAACGGAGCAGCTCCGAAAAGAGCGAGCTCCTGGCCACCTTCCGGAAAGCAGTCGAGGACCTACGAAGAACCTTGCGATCTGAAACGGAAGCAGCTACGAAAACGAACGATTCATTCGGATATGCGGGCGCCAGACATTCCTCTCATTCAACGAAGCCAGATCTTTACAACACAGCCGAGAATCCTCGAGACAAGCCCGAGGTTCGCATCGACGTGGATGGGAAACAGCAGAATCTTCGATGGGTGGAGGCACAAGTGGACGAACTTGACATTGACATCGCACTCCAACGGTTCGAAGAAGCGGTCTCAGGTATCGAGCGACTTCGAAAGCTGGCCAAGGGTCTCAAAGGAAATGCCGTTGCACAGGAAGTGATCAACACCAAGGTTGATGAGCGCGCCGCCAAACTGGCCGCAGTCTTATCGCGATTATTGTCCGACACCCATTCGTTCCTGATGACGACCAAGACGAATGTCACTTGGTTGAACCGCCTGGGTTTTGAGGGCCAGGCTCGGGAGGCCTACTTGGAGGCACGATCGAAGGTAATATCCAAACGGGTTCGGTAAGTTTGGAGTCATGTTATGATTGAGGCTGCAGCAACTGACTAGCATAACCAGAGCATGTGTCTTCGAGGGTGACCTGCCTCTTTACATCTTTCAAATTTCCTACGTTTACTTCACCCTGATCAAGAACACTATCAGTGTCTACCAGCAATGCTTCCCGTCCGTCATGACCAGTGCTTGCATCAAATGGGCGAAACACCACTTGGATGGGTTTAATGACCTCCTAACCCGGCAACTCAGCAGCGTACAGCGTGGCACGAGCGTTTGGCAGAAATGTATCGATATTGTTCATGAACAAGCCGATACGCTGTCTGAGGTTGGGGTCGACTTCACTGATCTTGTGGCTAAGGGGCTAGAGATACAGGATGACGGTGGGGAGAAGCCGAAGATGACTCGGTCCGAATCTTTGATATCGGGACTGGCGGACGCTGCGCGGGATCATGGGTTTTGAAGTATACCAGAATCAAGGAGTTGGGACCTGTCATGGCAAGACAACTAATTTTTATACGATCTTCTTACGAACTATAATGCACTACACATGATTTTTTACTGATGCGTGCACTACTCAGAAATAAATTCCCGAAGGTAGATGGTATCAAACTGGAACCATATGTTCCCGCCATGAGATTGGATCCCTTAACATATCATATACTTCAAGCACATATTTAACACCCGCACACTAACTACATCGACAACCTAAGTAGCGGGAGAATAAGGGGGACGACATACCTTGAACAAATTCAGATCCTTATACAAGATTGCCAGCCTGGTGAGCTTTCTGCTGCTGGTAGAAGATGCGCTGGTTGATGTGGAAGAGGAGCTGGAAGAGCGGGTTCTGCATCGTCCTTGGGTGCAGGGCCTGCCAGCCCTCGTTGACGGCCTTGAAGACCACGCCTGGGTCGGCGCGCGCTTCTTCGTCACCGATCCCGAAGACGTACTCGTAGATCTGGGTGATCTTGCGTGGAATCGGATGTGATAGTGTTGGAGGGATGCTGATGGGTGCCACATTCCCTCTGGGATGCGAGGAGTCAGGGTCGGTGAGCGAGATTCTCTCATCAAGGAAGGAAAGCATGTCCACGCCTTCACCGTAGTATAGATTGTGGGCGCTGAGGGATATCGAAGAAGCTTCGTGGACTACCCATCAGTCATGGTCGCTGACACTCTTGGACAGCGGTCTCCAAACGATTTCTCTTCTTCCAAAGACCTGACAATTTGCTTGCTACTTGTGAAAATAAAAAGGAAATAGCATAGCTTAGGTATGGTAACGTATGCATCGCTTTTGATCAAAATAATATACAGGTGAGAGGTGTCGTCAAAATCTCTATATACCATCCAATGCTCAGAGATCTATGATGAGCGTCTATCCCAAATCAGGTCGCCTACATGGAGTACCATTCATAAACATCTTCATCTTGCTGCTTGGTCTCTTCGTCAAAAGACTGGTCCCGCCGTAGTAGATGGGCGTCCTTGTCAAATCGTGAGGGTGGCGACCAAGCCAAATCCCAGACTTTCGGATCGCTCATGACACTGTCGGATTCCAACAGGCCAAACCGGAAATCAAGAGGCTCGCCTCCGTCACCAGGTTCTGACGGAAGACGCATGTAGTATCGGACACTATCTGGAATCTCCTCTTTGATGTGGCTGATCATGATCAAAGCCTGCTCGTCAGATAAACCGCGGTGGCGCACGCTGTTGGACTTGTCGCTGGAACCCCGGAGCCATCTGTCCTTACCAGACATGCGCCTCGTGACTGTGGTAGGCTTTCCGCTTGTCTCGCCCGCCTCGAGAAAGTGGATACATTTGTCCCGCAGTGATGCTGACATGTTGGAAAATGGTTCGTCGAGGATGACGATGTCCGGCTTGTGAATCAAGGCACGGATGAAGAGGACCAGCCGTTGCTGAGCAGTGCTCAGCTCTCCAAATCGCACCGAGTCGGCGTACTCGACATCATAGTCTATCGGCACATACCCTTTGTTGTTGAGCGTTCCGATTTTGGGGAATATCGCCAACGATTTCGCCGACACCTCTGGTGGTTTCGTTGCGTGGGCAGCATCCGGGTCTAACTCGGCTTTGAAGAACCTCAACGCTGCACTTACATCCAGGTCTCGATCATGATCTAACGTTGGCTTCGCAAGGAACGTCTCGGCAAAGGCAGACTCGATCGCCTCACGAATGCTAAGTTGGCGAGGGAAGAATGCGTGGATCTCGGGTGACGAGTGGCCCAGACGCGATTGGAGTTCAAATATCGAGATCCCGGGCTTTCCAGCTTCGGGTAAACGAGAACGCCCAAGAACCTTGATGGGCAAGGCATACGCCTGTGGGTGGTCCGATGTGATCAATGATAGTAAAGTGGTCTTGCCTGAACCATTGGCTCCGAGCACTACCCAGCGCTGACCGCGGCGGACTGTCCAATGGAGACCATCTCTCACCGCGTTTTCCACCTTCTGCTTCCAATTCCCAAGAACGGCTTTGTCGCCATACTGTACCCGAACACCGTCCATCTCAATAAGCGGCTCTCCTCCACGAGTCGTTACTGCACTCAGTTTTCCCTCCCGTCGTTCGATAAGGTTGAGATCCCAAAGCAGCTGACGATCTAAATATCCCGCCTCCATATCCACATTGGCCTTACTCAATATCTTCTGGTCCGCCTCGTCGAGTTTTTGAGCAGCATCCTTGTTGGTGAGCTGTCTCCAGACGTTCAATGTCTTCTCGGCGTCCGACTTCGCCCCCTGGAACAGAACCCGGCTAAAGTTCCCGAGGAGGAGAATATGAGTGATCCAATCTGGGACATTATCCTGCGGCCGTAGGGCAAGAATTAATCGTGGTGACGCCTTGTTTGCTAGGCGTTCAAGTAGACCGGAAATGCTCCGGACTGTCGCAGGGTCGAGGCCCACTGAATAAATGTCAGTAGCCGGGTATCAGTTGCAGCAGAGAGAAACTTACTGAAAGGTTCATCGAGGAGCAGCAGCTGGGGTTGGCTAAGGAGAGCCTTAGCGATCCGCGCACGCCTTGTCTGACCATTGCTCAAATTGGCAACCGGCATGTCGAGCAGCTCCCCCAGGTGCAAGTCGGTGATTACCTGCTCCAACAGCTGCTCATCCCGGATAGTACCATTCTCTTCCCCTTCCAAAGGGTTTAGGGAAGTTTGGCCCCTGAGGAACTGGCGAACAGACCAGTCGGTTTCCTCTCGAAGACTCTCATACCGGGCGCTCAGGTAGGCGCCCCGAGTGCCACCAATTGCCTCCGACCCTTCTCCCTTAAATCCAATGTACTGAATCGCATTCCCGACAAACCGTAGTCGAGAATCCTTGGTCGCGATTTCATCTGTGAGGAGGTAGGGGTAGCTGCGAGCGGTTGGCGGAAGGCAAATGTACTGGCCGCGGAGGACATCGAGCAGCTGGGTTCTCCCCGAGGAGCCGATCACAGCCCAATGTTGTAGACTTTCCTTGCCACCAGCAGCAGACGATGTTGGTTTTGAGGGTAGGACGAAATTCAGGTTCGGAAAGAGAGGGGGATTGTGCGCTTTGGCTGCATCGTCAACCGTGGGATAGTTCTGATAAAAAGTTCCATCTTGGATGCGAATCAGCGGTGGTGCTAAGGAGGAGCCATAGCGTATGGTGCGGAGGTAACTCGATGATCTGAGTGAAGAGGTGCGCAATATCGATCGTTTGAGAAGCATGGTTCTCGGCTGTTGTCGCTTGTCACTCCTCCAGGAGCCGTCGGATACAGACCTCGCGATCCAACGCAGACCAAATGACGATCGATTGTTTCTTCTCCAACGCCGAGATCGCTGGCCTTAACTCCGAGGCATCAACCCCAACTTGTAGTCACGTGGGTTTATCTCCGTTTGGGGTAATTCTACGGAGTACAGAGTAACCAGAGCACTAGATACCTCAACATCCCACATTCCTCTGGTCAAAGATGGTTAATGCTCTTGGATACACCTGCAACATGACACACATGGCATAACCAGCTGGATTTTGTGCATCCAGATGCAATGTCGTGCAGATGGAAGTACAATCCTCCATAGTCTCCACAGATGGACAACGACTGAACTCCGATAGGCATCGGCTAAAGTCATCCCCCCCTCTTCCTTGCAGGACGAGTTAGCAATGGTGATTACTGGCATCATTTCTTGGAGATTTTTCAAAGGGTTCTTCTGCTGTCACTCATCGAATCTCAGTCGGTTGTAAACGCTTCCTCTGGACACCTTCCGGGCGAGCGACAAGGCCAACATGACTATTGACCCCACCATCACTAACGGCTGGTATGTCGAATAACCCCTCAGTCTTTGCTCTTTGCTCATCTGACTGTGTCTGATATATACATGCAGTCAGGAGACCCAAGAATCGGTCCCTTCACTTCCCTTATTCCTTGAGGCAAGGAAAGTCGCCCAGAGCAATGCGGGGAAAGTTGCTGTGATAGATGCGACCAAGGGCGAAAGCTTCACTTATGGCCAGCTTCTAGCAGATACAGCAGTATTAAAGAAGACCATACTGGAGCGTTTGCATCTGAGGAACACCGGAGACCTCGAAGAAGCGCGCATTGCTTTTTTGACTCCCAATGGATACGATTATGTTGTTACTCAGTGGGCCATATGGGCTGCTGGAGGCGTCTGCGTACCTCTATGTATGTGGACCATTTAATTGCTTTGATGGAATCACTGACAGGATTTCCCTATGCAAGGTACAACCCACCCAGTCAAGGAGCTGGTATACACAATAGAGGACTCGGATCCATCTTTGATTATTCTGCATCCCTCTTTTGAGAAGTCTGAGGTGCCGCTCCGCAAGGAGATCGCCAATGATATACCATTCATGCGTCTTGAGCCTTTTCATTCGAGCGCGATTACTTCATCACTGTCACTGCCGAAGCTCAGTTCGAAGTCCTTCCTTGATCGAAGAGCACTGATGATCTACACGTCGGGGACAACCTCTAGCCCCAAAGGCTGTGTCACAACCCACAAAAACATAACTTTTCAGGCTAGCTGCCTCGTCCAGGCTTGGAAATATAGCCCATCAGACCATCTTATTCACGTCTTACCGCTCCATCACGTTCACGGAATCATCAATGGCCTCACGGCCACTTTTCTCAGCGGAGCCACAGTAGAGATGCACCCCAAGTTCGATCCACTGTCTATCTGGAGCCGGTGGCAAGATCACGGCACCTCAACAATGTTCATGGCCGTCCCAACAATCTATTCGCGCCTGAACGACTTTTTTGAAACCAAAATCCGCGGCACAGAAAAGGAAGCCGCGGCGCGGGCTGGCGCAAACGCACTTCGCCTTGTGGTGAGCGGCTCCGCGGCCCTCCCCACCCCGATCAAGGCCAAGTTCGCAGCCATCACAGGCCAGACACTTCTGGAGCGATACGGTATGACCGAGATTGGCATGGCTCTCAGCTGCGGGCTGGATCTTGAGAAGCGAATCGACGGAAGCGTCGGATGGCCCTTACCGGGTGTGCAGGTACGGCTTACCGACAAAGAAACGGGAAAAGTCATCGATGGCACCGACGAAGATGGCATCATTGAGATTAAGGGCGACAATGTTTTCCTTGAATACTGGAGGCGCCCTGAAGCCACAGCCAAGGAGTTCACGGCCGACGGCTGGTTTCGGACCGGCGACGTTGCCCGACGCGATGACGCGGGTGCGTACTTTATCCAAGGCCGCGCATCGGTTGATTTGATCAAGTCTGGCGGATACAAGATCTCTGCGCTGGAGGTGGAACGGAAAATGCTCGGCTTGGATGCGATCCAAGAAGTAGCCGTCGTGGGGTTGGCGGATGAGGAATGGGGCCAGCGTGTGGCTGCCGTGGTCAAGCAGAGGCCCGGGGTAAGTTTTTCGTCCCAAACTTCTCATTGAATATGGACTGATGTAGTCGCAGACTGAACCGCTAGAACTGCAAAGTCTTCGGGCTGAACTGAAGCTGGAGATGGCACCGTATAAGATCCCGTCAGTGCTGAAAATTGTGGATGATATCGAACGGAACGCCATGGGCAAAGTGAACAAGAAGATTATCATCCAGAAATATTGGCCGGACAAGACGACTTAAACAAATACAAGGGGAGGATTATATACAGCCGAATCCTCAATATGGATGAAAGGTTTGATCGTTTTATCTCAATGATACCCTTCCAACGCAGCCCTAAACCTATTAAACACTACAACTATCTATTCGCACATCGAAACAGTAGAAACCGGACACACTGCCCCAAAAGAACCAAGAACATAATAACGAGGTCCTCAAGGCTTGACAACCCTCATAAAGGGAAGCGTCAAATCCCTAAAGAACGTGACCGCACCATCCACACCGGCCGTGGTCACATTCCCATCCGGCAGGCCACAAACCGATGCAAAGGAGCCATACTGCTTCCGCTTCTTAACCACTAACTCTGCATACTGGTCGAGCGGACAGCTCTTGCCAGGTCCAGACCGGCAGGACGGGACAGCTGCTTGTGTTAGCTTGCATTGTAACCACCCCACAATGGGAAGGAGAAACCTACGGTAGACGGCATCGTTGAGGCGGATCCGGACGTTGACTGTGTCCTTGCCCTGGGAAGTGCAGCGGAGGCGCTCGAAGGCAATGGTCCCGCGCATGGGGTTCACGCGGCTGCTCACGTAGATCTATGTGGGTTTAGTTTCGAGAAACACGAAGCGGACAGTGTGATTTTGGGGGGGTTGTGGTTTGTGCGTACTCTGTTCTTGTCCATCTTGTCTGCGGGGAGCGGCTTCTGCTCGTCGAATACGCCTAGCAGCGAAGCGAGCTCGTTGATCTGGTTGTCGTGCGTGAAAGCCACGATGAGCGGAGGGAGCTTGTTGGCTCCAGTGCTGGTGTTTGCGGTAGCGGCTGGGCCGTCCTCGAGGAGGTTGACGATGCCTTGCAGGACGGGGAGCATGACGGTCATGTTGTTTCCCGCGCCGGGGCCTGACAGGATTTAGACCGGTTCTTTCAGCGTAGTCCTTTGGGCACTTCCACGAACGAGTTTCACGCACCTGTTCCGTAGTAGTAGCGGAGGTCCTGGCGATACTCATACTGCAGGATCTCCTTTTCAGTAAAGACATCACACCACGGACTGGTGCTGCCGGTGATCTGGGTCTCGAAGCCACAGAGGTACGGAAAGGTTGAAACCTGTGCGTCCGTGAGCGTGAGGTTACCGGAGATCTTCCGGTTCAGTCTCTTCGTGATTGCGGGAAGATAAGTGTCATCCCATGTGGAAGCGTAGCTGCCACCGCTGACGTCCTTGAAGGTAGGGCACATGTCGGATGTGGCCAGGGAGTTGCCAGTTGCAGTCTCAGCACCAGCAGTGATGACATGGATATCCCCGTAGGAGGAGTTCGAGCCCAGGTAGCCACGGGCGAAGAGCCTGGGTCATCGTCAGCATGTATGTCTATCCGATGACGGCGCTCACGTACCTAGCAGAATCGATCGTCCGCTGATAGTCGTTGGCCCACAGCAGGAAAGGAGTATTGTCCTCGTAGAATGAAGGATACCGGAATCGAAGATCGACCCCAAAGTTATACCTATTACCACTTCAGCAGAGGCTAATGGCCCGGATAACCGCGCTCCTTACAGCTCCTTGTACCCAGCGATAGACAGTTGACTTATCTGCTGGTCAGGATACCTCAGTACTGGCTCCCAGTCGGATAAGAAGCTCAGGGAGCCAGAGGCCCGGAATTTCGCCGATTGAATCTACAAAATAAGCACTTATCGCAGATGGGAAATGAGGACACGGGAATGCAACGCACAGCATCGTGCAGTGCCTGCCATTCCGCATAGGCACCGGGGTCGGGGTATCTACTGCCATGACGGGAAACATAGACAGCTTGGTCAACTGTGCATTTATCCGGCACATCAGGCGAGATCTTGTTGACATTAGGCCCTGGAGGAGCGAGGATTAGTATTTTAGATATTCCATGACTCCATTGGTAAGAAGAAGTACCTGCAAACCATGGGGAATTAGCTCCGAGATGCTGCCAGGTATCGAATGCGTGAACCGAGGCCGAATAGCCCAGACTAAGAAGCCATAAGGCTTGAAGATTGTGTCTCATTTTTTGCGTGCCACTGACCCAATCTTGCAGAGTATGAGAATTGTGTGGTTGACTTGGAGATTGAGTACGGCCTTCATGTTGCCATGCAAGATACTTATAGCAATCGATATTATTCTCCTTGATCAAAGTCAAGAGTCAGATCGGAGAAACTCCAACGCGAGACTGAGTCAGTTCACCACGCTTTCTCCACCATCTTGTGTAGTTCCATTTGCTGCCTGGAGTGGTTGATGATGGTGGAAAATAGTGTTGACTCGGCAGGCCGTTCATCTACAACCGCTCCGCCACGTGCGATCATGAACCAGGCACTAGGACCATCGTTAATCTAAATAAATTGGCAAACATCCTGATTCTCTACATGCGCATTTTCAAATTGATCAATACAGCCCACTGTCTGGAATAGGGTTTCATAGTTTGGAGCAGCCCCAAAACAACCCGGCTGTACACAGCGTGCAGGCTCAGGGCTGTGAGCCACACATGTATATCATGTCAAAAAAAGCCTCACAGTTAGATATCACATCGACGAACAGCTCACCCACCTCCCATGGAGGCTCACATTGTGGTATTGTGGTGTAGCCGATACCGTGGGCGTTCAGGGGCATCTTCGCCAGCCACATTACAATTGACCAGTGCGTGAAAATGGTGTAACGTATTATCCATGTGCTGAAAGCGACATTATCCGCATCAGTGGGATATAATCTCCAATCTGCTGCCCTTGCAGGTTGGCCGTGCCAATTGGATTGCCCATCCCCCTTGTATGTGGGAGCCTGTGCCGTCAAAGACATCAGATCCCGGTCTGGAGCCACGAGGGTAGAGGCAGGACGGTTTGTATCCAACCTGGGAGCAATCTGTAAACGCAGGTGGTGGTTGTCTCTTGTTATCGTCAGGTGAAAATATACCTGAATAAGCGTGGACGTTAGTCTTATCATCTCAACTTTCAAGTCAGGTATAGCAAACCTGTGAGAAAAGAGCAGCCTGTCCTTGACCAAATGTGCTTTAAAAAACTAAAACTACTTCTCTTAGAGCACGGTCTGGTGGACGCTCTGGCAAATTCGATCCAGACATGAGCAACACCCCGTTTAGAGACTTGGTTGGCTTGACCCAAGACAAATCCGGAGACAGATGCCTTGCTCGGCTCAAGTCTTAAAAAGGGGATGTCTCCTCCAGATACTGGATGGTTTTCTTTCTAGATTTGGTAGGCATTCGAGGAGATACATTATTGCCGGCTTATGTCTGAAAGATCCACCGAGGATCCCTATCCCCGAGAAAGTCGCCCTCTACATCGCCCATATCACTGATAACAGCAGTGATGCCCTGTGCATCCCTCAGCTTGGCCTTTTCGGCATTCTCCCGGTTAAGGACAACCCACAGCAGGCTAACGACGACTACATTTGCGACAAGATACCCTAGGGCGAACCCGTGGCCCAAGTAGTACCGCGGACTGGTTTCCGTCCGATAAAGCTGCGTCCCTAGCACTGCGCCCAAATTACCGATTGAGATCTGCATCGCGTTGGCGATGGCTCGCTTAGTCTGGCCGGATACGTTGTTGGCTGGCCAAGCGAGCACGATAGCCACGGAAGGGTAGATGCCGCCAGCGGCGAAGAAGACTCCGGCGTATGACACAGATGCTCGCTTGGAAGTGAGGAGGAGAATGTAACCTATGCATGCGAGCGTGGTGGATCCGATGATGAAAGGTGCGCGGCGTCTTGTGCGTTCAGACAGAATAGCGATGGAGATTGTCAGGATGAACCCCAGAGCATACGGAGGAACTGTGAGAAGCTGGGCTTCTGCAGCGGAGTAGCCCAGTTCCTTGATGATTGTAGGCTGATATTCTTAGATTCAATCGAGAAACGTGGCGATCTAAGGCATTGTCCTTACCATGAACAATGACAATGTATACAATGGTAGGGACATCGTATGGAAGCAGATTCCATACAGCCACACTTTGACATCCTTGAACGCATCCAGCACCGCTGTCCAGCTGAACTGCTCGTCCCGAGTTGCATCGCTGTCGCTCTTCAGGCGGAACTGAATGAAAGCACGCTCCTTGTCTGACAAAAATTCCGCAGTAGCAGGATAGTTGTAGACCCAGAAGTATGCGACGACGGACATGGCAATGGTCGCCAGCCCTTCCTACCAGACAGTCAGATTCCGTTCCCATTAGAAGAAATTTGTTGGCGTCGTACCAGAATGAAAATCCATCGCCAGCCGTTATATCCGCCCACACCGCGCATATGTGCAATGCCCTAAGGAGAGTCAGTATTACGCCATCGGTCTCGCTTCCGTTCGACGCACCCAGGCCAAAATGCCTCCAAAGGCGCCAGCGAGCGATGCAGCGCTGAAAAACAGGGCCACCCGATAGTGTTGTTCATTCCGCTTATACCACATGGAAAGATAGAAAACCACGCCCGGAAACAATCCACTTTCAGCAATTCCGAGGGCTACGCGAGGATGGAAGCTCCGCGTCTCAGCGGATCAAGGATCCACAAGACCACAGAGCCTCCCGCTCTGATCAGCACTTTGCTCATCGATCTTCAGGAAACTGGCCGGGCGCTCACCTGTCCGGGACGTGAGGAATCCGGCATAATTCTCCACCACGCCCATCAGCGTGGCAACAATGCCCCAAATCAACGTCAGCGTTGGGAGCCAGATTCGCGGCGTGGTCCGCTTGAGGACAATATTCGAAGGCACTTCAAAAGCAACGTATCCGATGAAGTACAGCGTCAGACCGGTCAAGTACATGTTGCCCGCTATGCCACCAGACCATCAGTACCGCATCTCGAGCAAGCTGGGACGGAGAATAACCTACTCATTCCGATGTCAGTCGCCATGCCCTCCAAGCGGGCGTTGCCGACTACAACCTAATCAGTACATGGCACCTACGCCGCATAGAGTAGACATACCATTGCTCCGATCCAAGAAGGACAAAAGATAGAGTATCGTCAACGGTGGGAGCAGCTTAGAATCCAGCTTCCGTAGCAGAGCCTTCTCATTGATACCGACCTGGCCTTCTTCAAGGCTACTCTGCAACTCTACCTCCCCGTTCCCCGGGACCAAACCCAGGTCTGGGTTGTTCTTTTCCTTGATCCCAGCCATGATCAGCAGGCGTAAGCTCAATCTAGGTCGATGTGACTCTGAAGATGTGCCTGACAGGGGCTCTTGTATTCTTTATAACAAACCCCGGACTCAGTCAGACGTCCTTCATCAAGCCAGATCTAAATCCATAGCGAGAGTCTAGACAGCACCTCATTGCTGCGGCAATTGCGCGATAGAGACGGCGTGGGGGAGGATGATACCCTAGACCTGAGGTTAACACATAACAAGGAAGTTGCATCGCACCGATTGACACGACTCGAGGAGATAATGCCGATCAACTTCTCCATGCTTCATCAGGATCAACTCAGCCAGTGTGGAGTGGGATTTCCCCCGTCTTGACTGCTGAATTAATGGCTGTTGTTGAGGGTTGATGAGCCATCGGACTCCGCGATGACGAGATCGATAGGCGCAGATAGAATGGGCAATCAGATATACACACAAAGTAAGCACACTGAAGATTGGGAAATTACCGAGCGATAGGAGAATGATAACTTGTTGAATGAAAGGAAGAGAATGCTAGAGGAATACTAGATATTTCACTCCACGGATTGTTCGATGGAAGCTATTGATTCTTGATGATTGCTAGTTGCTGTCTGGTTTGGGGCCAACCTACTTTACTATCATCAAGCTATTATCACCAACCGAGAAGATCTCTACAGTATAGAACCAACCACACAGCAATAATGCATATTGAAAAAGTCATTTCACATTTAACAAGTTGACCAGAATGTACTGATATGGGTATCTTCCCCTAGTATGAAGACACCGAATTCGCCTGTCCCTGAGTGAGTCCATGAGTCCATGAGTCCATCCTATCAAAATCCAAGCCTTTGACCGACGCCAGAAATCCCCACCAGAAGGAAAATAAGAGAAATAAAAGAAAGGAAAAGAAAAGAGGTGAAAGGGGAAAAAAAAAAGAAAAGAATAAACACCACAGAGAAAACAGAAAACACACACAACACACACACCCCAAACACCACACATACACCAAACATACAACACATACATAACACGTAACGGACTCATCAAGTTCATAAAGGAGATTCATCTAATCTATAGCGAGTATATCTAATATTCCTCGCGGGGCCTACAAGGTGTATGTAAAACACTGCATAACTTTTTCTGAAACGTAACATGAGGTGCTGAAACAACATCAAGAAGAAAAAGAGAAGAATTAAACAGGTTGCTGACAACAACCCTTATAATGGGGAAGCCTTATCACTCCCGTTCCTATTGAAAACAGGAGAGAACCTAGGGCGCCAGGACCAAGGCAAGCAGAGCCATACGGCAGTAAAGGCCATATCGCATCTAGAGAGAACAAGTCAGTATGGCATCACATATCGAGTTAAAAAGGGACAACTAACCTGTCGGAAGTAAGCCGCCCGCTGGTCGAAATCAACCTCCTCGGCGATCTCGGCATTACGGGGCAAGGGGTGCATCACGACCATGTGGCTCTTGGCGTGCTTCAGAAGAGCATTGTCAATGATGAAGCTGTTCTTGAGGCGCTCGTACTGGTCGAGATCGGCGAAACGCTCCTTCTGCACGCGGGTAGAGTACAGAACATCGGTCTGAGCAACGATCTCAGGAGTCAGCTCCTCAGACTCCACAGCCAGCTGTCCGGACGCGATGACCGACTGGCGGACCTCCTCGGGCAGAGACAGATCCTTAGGCGCAACAAGCTGCACCCGGACGTCGTAGAACTGGAGCAACTTGATCAGGGAGTGGACAGTACGTCCATATCTGAGATCACCAGTGAAGGTGATAGTCAGGCCAGTGACGGTGCCCAGCTCCTCGCGGATGGTGAACAGGTCAAGGAACGCCTGGGTAGGGTGCTCGACACTGCCGTTGCCGCCGTTGATGACCGGCACAGGCGAGAACTTGGCAGCCGTCTCAGCGCTGCTCGGGTCGGGGTGACGCAGAACGACGGCGTCTCCGTAGCATCCAAGGGTACGGACGGTGTCCTGCAGGGTCTCGCCCTTCTTAGTCGAAGAGTGCGCAGTCGAGATGGCAATGGTCCGTCCACCGAGACGCTGCATGGCAGCATCAAAGGAGGCCGAGGTACGAGTGGAGGGCTCGTAGAAAAGGGTGGTAAGGACACGACCCTTCAGGATGTCGAGAACACCCTGGCGCTGGACTCCGAGGCGCATCTCCTGAGCGACCGTGAAGAGCAGGTGCAGGTCAGCCCGAGTGAACTGGTTGACGGAAAGGACGTGCTTCTGTCTGAAGGTCGACCGCGAGAGAAGCTCACGGAGGGTGGAGGTCTGCACGGGGGTATACAGAGGAGGTCCGAGCTCGTGCGAAGCCAGATCCGCTGGTCTGGGCTTCAGCGACCGGATGGGAGTACCAGAGATCGACAGTCTGCGGTCCATGGAACTCTCGGGGCGAGGGTGAACCATGGGAGACATGGCCTTGACGGAGGGAGAGGCAGGAACAATCCGGTGGGCAGACATATCAGTGCCCTTGGGGGCATCGGGAATCACCTCACCGTCGAGGCAAGATGTCTTGCCCTGGAAAGTGACCCGCTGGACGGCACCCCGCAAGGTCTTGCCGTTGAAAGGAGACCAGTAAGGAGCCTGGAACACGTAGGGGCGATCAATCTCGATCTCAACCGAGCTGTCGGCCTGTTCGTGCAGCTCGAAGATCTTCTTGGGATTCTCATAGAGACGAGCAGTAACGTCCTCAACAGTCAGTCGGCCCTCAGACACAGCGGTGAAGAGCAGAGGCAGGGCTTCAGCGATACCTACGACCGGGGAAGCATCCTTGCCAGCAAGCTGGAAGGGGACGCTGCCGATCGAGAAGACGTCGATGGTGCTCAGGTGCTCCCACAGAGCCTTCTGATCCTCAACTGAGGGCAGGGAGTTGCACTCGGGGAAATCATCCTTGGAAAGGAAGAGGCAGAAGATCGAGACATCGCAGGTGACCTTGAGACCCTTCTCCTTGCTGAGAGCGATGAGGTTGATGTCTTCCTTCGACGTGACACTCATGACGTGGATGTTGCGGCTATGAAGGCTTGCCAGTAAGAGAAGCGAGGCGAGATCGGTGGACTTGGCGTCCGTGATCATGGGCTTGCTGGAGGGCCAGACGGAGAAGTGGTTCGTCACAGCCGTGACCTTGCTGATGTTGCCAGATAGGTGGTTGAAGGGAATGAAGAGAGATCCAACCTCCCCTGTCACTTGACCAACCTGGTCGGAGTTGGTGGAAGTCGCTGCGACGGAGAAGTTGAAGTCACAGTACGGAGCCTTCTGGGCATTCTGCTGGGCAACTCTCAAGGCACGGGCATCCGTGACGGAAGCCTCAACACCGACTGGCATCACACGAATCATGCTGAAACCAGCAGCAATGGAAGCCTTGGTCACAAGCTCGAAGTCCTTGGAGCCAGCGGTAACCAAGCCAGGAACGAAGGCAGCGATGTTGATCAGGCCAGGCAGGACAACCGTGCGGTGGCTGGTCTGATAATCGATAGTCTGCACGTTCAAACCATAGTGACGAGAAATGGCTTCGATCAGGATCTTCGCATTCTTCACGTTGGTAACCAGAGGAGTCTGGTAGTCAACGGCCATACGACGAGTCTGGTAACCCTTGCTCATGTAGTTGGCAGGACGTCTGAAACGGTTGTTGGACGGCAGGTTGATGTACAGATCAATGAGGTTGTTCGCCAAGTGCTGAGTAAGAGAGTACTCAGACTTGAGTTCCTCCTCCTGGCCAGGAAGGACTTCCAGGTACTTGACGGGGACACCGTGCTCCTTCAGGAAATCGGCAGTACCAGAAGTGGCAAAGAGATTGAATCCCAGCTGGTGCAACTTGCGAATGGAAGGCAGCATCTCAAGCTTCTCCTTGTATCCACCAATGGAGAACAGGATGTTCTTCTTGGGGAGACGGAAGCCAGTGGAGATAAGAGCCTTAAGGTAGGCTTCATACTTGTCGCGACCGAAAGAAGCAACTTCACCAGTAGAGGCCATCTCAACACCCAAAACGGGGTCGGCTCCGGAGAGACGAGAGAAGGAGAACTGAGGAACCTTGACACCTACGTAGTTCTTGGGAACAGTCACTGGCGGGTACTCAGTGAAGGGGATGCCAATCATCGCCTTGGTTGCCATCTCGATCAGATCAACACCCATGACCTTAGACACGAAGGGGAACGACCGGGAAGCGCGGACATTGCACTCAATGACCTTGATATCGTTGTCCTTAGCGATGAACTGGATGTTGAAAGGACCAGTGACGTTGAGAGCGTTTCCGATCTTGGCGGTGGCCTCCTCGATTCGCCGAACGGTCTCGGGAGACAGATCCTGAGGCGGCAGGATGAGGGTTGCGTCTCCGGAGTGGACACCAGCGTTCTCGACGTGCTCGGAGATGAAATGGCCGACCATAACACCATTACGGGCCACGGCATCCATTTCAATTTCCTTGGCGTTCTCGATATACTTGGTGATAACGACCGGGTGATCACGCGACACATCGGCAGCCTGGTTGAGATAGGAAGCAAGGTCGTGCTCGGAATAGACTGTGTTCATGGCAGCGCCAGAGAGCACATATGAAGGACGGACAAGAACGGGGTAGCCGACCTTGTCGCAGAACCCCTTGGCCTCCTCGATGCTGGTGAGTTCCTTCCAGGCAGGTTGATCGACACCGATGCGGTCAAGCATGCGGGAGAACTTGTAACGATTCTCAGCACCGTCGATCATCTCAGGGGAGGTACCGAGGATCTTGACATTGAGGCGGTGGAGGGGCAGAGCAATGTTGTTGGGGGTCTGGCCACCCATGGAGATGACCACACCGCTAGAGGATTCCAGCTGGTAGATGTCCAGAACAGTCTCAAGGTTGATGTTCTCAAAGTACAAGCGATCAGCCTCGTCGTAATCAGTACTGACAGTCTCGGGATTGTAGTTGACCATGACGGTCTTATGACCCTGTTCACGGAGGGTTCGGATGGTCCGCACGGAACACCAGTCAAACTCCACGGAGGAACCAATTCTGTAGACACCAGATCCAAGAACCATGATACCATTGTCGTCGAAAGCAACATCATGGGCGGAGGCGTTGTAGGTCAGGTACAGGTAGTTGGTCACCGATGGGAATTCAGCGGCGACGGTATCAATTTGCTTGACAATGGGGAAAATGCCAGCCTCGACACGCAGCCGTCTGATGGCAAGCTCGTTCGAGCTCAGGAAGTTCGCCAGCTGACGGTCAGAGAAACCAAGCTGCTTGGCCTCACGCAGGAGCGGCCGAGGGACGGAGGTGGCATTGTAGGTGCTCATGAGCTTGCTGAAATCGCTCAGGCGCTTGAGTCTGCTCAGGAACCACTTGTCAATCTGAGTGAGCTTCCAGATATCATCGACACTGTAGCCAGCAGCCATGGCGTTGGCAATGGCGAACAGACGCTGGTCAGAAGGTGTCTGCAGTTCCTCGCTGATGGACATGAGGGCACTAGTCTCATTGAAGCCCAGGTTGTGGAAATCAACGGACCGGATGGCCTTTTGAATGGCTTCCTCGAAGGTTCTACCAATGGCCATGACCTCACCAACACTCTTCATCGAAGAGCCAAGCTGGGTCGAAACACGAGTAAACTTCTTCAGATCCCAACGGGGAATCTTCACAACGCAGTAGTCGAGAGAGGGCTCAAAGCAAGCGCACGTGACCTTGGTGACGGAGTTCTTGATTTCATTGAGAGGAATACCAAGACCAAGCTTGGCAGCAATGAAGGCGAGAGGGTAACCGGTAGCCTTCGAGGCAAGAGCAGAGGATCTCGACAGACGAGCATTGACCTCGATGATGCAGTACTCCTTCGAGAACGGGTTCAGAGCATACTGAATGTTGCACTCTCCGACAACGCCGAGATGGCGGATGACATTGACGGCGGTGGTACGCAGCATATTGTAGTCCTCGTCAGAAAGCGTCTGGGAAGGTGCGACGACAATGGAATCACCAGTGTGGATACCAAGAGGATCGAAGTTCTCCATGTTGCAGACAGTGATGCAGTTGTCCTGGCAATCACGAACGACCTCGTACTCAATTTCCTTCCAGCCCTTCATACTCTTCTCAATCAGGACCTGGGGACTGGCGGCGAAGGCCTTTGTGCACAGGTCCCTCAGCTGATCCATGTCTTCGGCAAAACCACTGCCGAGACCACCGAGCGCATAGGCAGCGCGGACGATGACGGGGAAACCGATGTCCTCAACGACTCTAAGAGCTTCCTCCAGAGTGGAGGCCGAAGCGGACTTGGCGCACTTCTCGTTGATAGACTCCATGCTCCGAGCGAAGAACTCACGATCCTCCGTTGTGATGATAGTATCGATGGGGGTACCGAGGACCCTGACACCAAGGGCCTCGAACTCATCCTTGAGCTGGATACCGACTTGGAGAGCGGTCTGGCCACCGAAGGTAACGTAGATGGCATCAGGGCGCTCATGCTTGATGACTTTGCGCACAAAGTCCGCGTTCACAGGCAGGAAGTAGACCTTGTCAGCCAGACCCTTGGAGGTCTGGATAGTGGCAATATTGGGGTTGATCAGGATGGTGTAGATGCCTTCTTCCTTCAACGCCTTGATGGCCTGACTGCCAGAGTAGTCAAATTCACCGGCCTGGCCGATGCTGAGACCACCACTTCCCAGGATGAGAACCTTCTTGACAGACACACGTGGGGAAGTCTTGATGTTCTCTTCCTTGGTGCCGCCAGGGAACGACACGGGCTTCTGCAGAGCATCAGCCGAGGCAAGAGTGTCCTTGATCGTGTTGATGAACACATCGAAGAGATACTCGGTATCCCTGGGACCGGGAGTGCTCTCAGGGTGGAACTGGACACTGAAGAAGGGGCGGCTGACGTGTCGGATACCCTCGTTGCTGCCGTCGTTGGCATTGACGAAGAGCTCCTCCCAGCCTTCGGGGAGGGTCGTCGAATCGACAGCGTAACCGTGGTTCTGAGAGGTGATGTGACACTTGCCCGAGATCATGCTCGTGCAGGGGATGTTGTGGCCACGGTTACCGAACTTCATCTTCAGGGTTTGGGCACCGACGGAGCGAGCAATCAACTGGTGACCAAGACAGATACCGAAGACAGGAGTTCTAGCCTCCGCCAGGGTCTTGGACAGGTTGTTGACAGTTGTGGAGAGCATGGCAGGGTCACCGGGACCGTTCGAGACGAACAAACCATCGTAGTCCTTGCCAGCAAGCTTGGGGAAATCGTAGTCCCAGGGGACCACAAGGACTTCGACCCCGCGAGCAAGCAGGCAGCGCAGCTGGTTGAACTTCATACCGACATCCAAGCAGAGAACGCGGACAGGACGACCAGAGGGGTGTTTGAGGGCGATATCCTCGGGGGGAGTGAAGAGGCGGGGTTCCTTGATCGAGACTAGGAGAATGGTCAGGGTCTGATCCTTTCAGATACATGCAAGATCATCTTCAGTGAAACCTACCTTCGCTCACAAGGTTCTTCTTGTTCGGGTCCTCCCATTCAATCTCCTCGAAGGTTGACCGCCAGCTGTCCTTATCACCTGAGGCCACCTCCACGACACCATCGGGGATTTCCGACTTCGAGAGCATCATGCGACCAAGCATGCTACCCTTCTCACGGATACGCTTGGTCAGAGCACGAGTATCGACACCATGCATGGCGGGGATACCCTGCTCCTTGAGCCACTGGCCCAAGGACGACTCGGCGAGGAAGTGCGAGTAATCCTCACCGGCGTATGTGGCGACGACGAGAGCTGCAACGTGGATCTCTGTCGATTCGAAATATTTGGGCAATGTCTTGAGGAGCTCATCCATGGTGTCCCGGGAGGGAACACCATAGTTGCCCACCAGAGGGAAGGTGACGACCAGGATCTGGCCGCGATATGAGGGATCCGTGATGGACTCTGGGTATCCCACCATACCGGTCTGGAAAACCAATTCGCCTGACACACTCTTCTCAGCACCAAAGCTGTAGCCCTGGTAGACTGTGCCATCCTCGAGCTCGAGAGCAAACATCTTGCCGCTGCTGCCTCGTACACGGGAAGAAGCAGGGGCGATCACCGCCCCATTGCTGATTTCCATTGAAGGAAGTGGTTGCAATTCCTTGCTGATCTGGTTATAGGCCACGGCGCCTCCAGCAAAAGGGCTGGAGGGGAGAGTAACCTCGTCGTTACCGGCGGCCTGCAGCATCGTGGGTATTCTGGTGGGGGGGAGGAGAAGGTCCTCTCGGGGACAAAATTGCAGGGAGTTCACTCTACCGTAGCATCAGCAGCCTCCAAGACTCTTTCTAGGAAGTGAGAAAAGAGGAGGAGGAGTGTCTTGATTTTTTGCTGCTTCAGCACGGGAGGAGGAATATAGAAGAAGAGAAGAGGGGAAGGAAAGAAATCTCGTGGAAGAAATGGCAGAATTAAAAATTTGTGTACGGCGGGCACATCCAGCGGTCTGTGATTGGCTCAAGCAGGTTGACCGATCCGGGGATCGAAAGCAGTTCTGCCATGATCTACCGCCTGAAGACTTTTTTTTTCTTTTTTTTCTTTCTGCATTTCTTCTGTTGCCCCCACCAGTAGTCATTGTTCCGTGTGTGCTTGTTACTAATTCGGATGTGTTTGAGTCTCTACTAGACTAATTAGGAAGAAATAGTACCACTAACATCGACATTTTGGCGCGTAAGGTATTCTCCGATTGTAGTTTCGGTTCGTATCATGACTCCAAAAGCCTACTAATTTTGTTTTTCTTGCTTTTCTTCATTTTCTTCAAGACATTGTAAGCTAAGCACTCAGACAGCTATGGCAGCTGGTTGCCTTTTTTATCTCAGCTATTATGATGCAGGTGGTGCAGAGCCAGACCGTGCAGACTGCAGACGGAGACGGTGCAGGGTTTTCTATTCATCCCTCGCCAGTCGCCACTTACTCCTCCCCTAGTCCTGATCAGGCTAGGCCGCTGATCGATGCCTGAAAAGGGTGCAGGCGGTGAGCTTTTTTTTTCCCAACATGGTTGTCCCAGACTCCCAGTACTATCTAGGTAGTCCCTACTCCCTAGTCCTACTTACTACGAAATACGTACACTTTACAGTCCCTGCCTCACTGGCCTCAAGACTAGTACCTCTGTACTCCGTATCAAAATATATGTTTTACATACGGAGTATAAGGAGCTTTTTATGCATAGTGTACTTATGTCTCGGAGCCCTGTAAAAAAAAAAAAAAGAAAAAAGAAAAAAAGAACCCCTAGAAACTAAGAAGTCGTTCGAAGCTGTTCCATATGTTCCTCAACGACCTCAAGCAAGTCGCAGGCGACCTCCACCTGGCCCCGTTTTAGCGGCTCGGATACTCTGTTTCTTTCGTCATAGGCAAATTTTGGTCTCTTAGAAGTTAGCGAGCATGGTTGATCTAGATTTAGAATGCCTGCAAAGAGTCTAACTCTAAGACTCCGTAATATGGTTTACGAGTCCCAGGGATACACTCGAGCAATGAGCAACGTCCAGATGCTCCTAATCCCACTCCATCCACATGCTCGTAGACTTCAATCCCTGACCTTCCTTTTCTTTTTTTTTTTTTTCCAGTATCCGAGTTATGCGAGTGACCCTCAAAGAATTAGCATTCAGTTGTAGTAAGCAGCAACTAGTCTAGTGACGCCCGACGGCCTGCTTATGCTCTAAGCTAAGCCTTAAAATAAAGGCAACCAACCATAGATTAACCCGACCAGCCCAGATTCCGAGCCTCGATAGAAACCTGGTAGATTAATTTAGACAGCCCAGGCTTTGAGCGTGGGAGTCTATCAAATAATGAGCTATGGATAGCAGATGCAGATGAGTGCGATGATTGCCTCTCTCGATTATCTACCGAGTAGTACCACTTGGGTGCCGGCCTTGGGTGGCCTTGGATAGCCTCCGACTGCCATACGAATAATGATAGAACACCACCAATAACAAATATGATGGTAATACTAACTAGATAAGCCTTGCGTGCATGATCTTCACCTTCGTCTAACCCACTACAAATGCAAGAACTAAGAGTCTGAGAGGGTGTGCACTACTGCGTCAATTAATACAGCCAACTACTTATCTTTTTTCCTTGGTGTCTCCCGCTCTCCCTCCAAGTTTATATAATTCAAAACAAGCTCTCGGTTTGATCACGCGGAGCCCTTACTTCTTCTAGTCTCGATGTTGACTATTTACAACCTTGGTCGCCCCCCCCCCCCAATTTCCCGCAAGTCTCCTCCACTCTCGCTTTGAATTGCGGCGCGCATGCTCATGGTATCCTTCAATCATTAACCATGATGCCTTGAATAATACCTGGGTTGAAAGTGCTCGCCGTCTGAGGTCTTTGGTTTCGCTTCAGTCATGCTGGCCTCGCTCCTGCGCCCCAAGAAACGACGAGTATACGCGGACCGTTCTCCATTTTCGTCTCCCTACACCACTCGGGAGACATCATGGCCTTTTTGCCAGGATGAGAATAGGCATCCTGGGCCTGGCGCAGGATACGATGAGGTTCGTGATGCGCGATTTGCGGACGAAGCATTTGAGGATGCGGATGACGCGGGTGAGGATGCGGACGAGGACGAGGAACATCGTCCTATTGAATCAACTCCTCTACTTCCTATCTTTTCTGCCTCCCATTTAGGTACGTGAGTTTCTTTCCCTGGGGATTGTTAGCCTTGAAGAATGCGAAAATCTGACGGTGAATCCAAATGGTCACTTAGATGCGCTGCCCGTTTATGACATTACCCACGCGATTCGCCCGCTGATCGTGTCGCGCTGCGAAACCACGCTGACTTGGGATCAATTGCGCTCGCCTCAAATCTCCCAGTTCCTGGTGAAGCCGATCCAGCAGAAGATTAGAGCATTACACTTTTCGCGAGCCACGCTATACGCGCTGATGGCCAACTGCTTGCAGTTCACAAAGGAAATCCATCTCAACCCCGGAAACAGCGGCACATCTCAAACAAGAGCCATGGTGAGCGAGCTTCTTGCGATTAAATTGTTGCGGGAATACACGACAAGGGAATTGATAGACGCACTTTCCTATGAATTCCATCCTTTGCAAGGCCAGATGACCCCCATGGGCCGTGACCGTGAGGGCAATTTGAACAAGCATTCAGCATATGGCAACAAGCGATTGGCCGGTGCAGCTCGCATCTCCTGTCTGGAGGTTGCCATTCGGACCCAGGCGAAACGCTTCTTAGCTCATCCGGTCGTGGTACAGCAACTTGAGGCAATCTGGGCCGGTACAATTGTTTTCCATTCAGCCGCGGATAGTCTCCATCGTTCGCCAGTCGCCGCGCGTCGCGATGCAAGGCTAACATATGGTTCTGCCAGTCATGCATTCCCTGAAGCGGTGCCGCTTAACGGATCTCCTCCTCGACGATCAGTGACTCTCTATGACCCAAGGGACGCCTCCCTTTTTAAACTGTCCAGGCTACGAGTGCCTCGATATCGTCAATTTCTCTCGACATTGTCGTTCGCGGTCCTCTTGGGACTGTTCCTTGCAGTTCTGCAGCAGCGGCGGGTAGAGATTTCCACTCTGGAAGTCATATTCTGGTTCTGGAGCGCAGGTTTCATGCTGGATGAAATCGTGGGTTTCAACGAGCAAGGTTTCAGCCTCTACCTTATGAGCTTCTGGAACTTGTTTGATCTCGGAATTCTCTTCCTGCTGTTTTGCTATTATTGCATGCGGTTATACGGTGCGCTGATGCCCGCTCCGTATAATCGTGCGACTGCAGATCGCGCATATGACATCCTGGCCGCAAACGCAGTACTGCTCTTCCCGCGACTCTTCTCGGTCCTGGATCATTATCGCTATTTCTCGCAGCTGCTCATCGCCTTCCGCATCATGGCTTCGGATCTTGTGGCAGTGTTTCTCTTGATTGCTATCACGTGTAGTGGATTTTTCGTCGCCTTCACTCTGTCATTTGGCAATGTTGAAGAGCATTCGCCTGCATCCGTCGCATATGCCTTGTTTCAAATGCTGATGGGGTTCACCCCAGCTGCCTGGAGCCTCTGGGATGATTATAACTTACTTGGGAAGACGATTCTGACTATCTTCCTCTTCATTTGCCACTTTGTCGTGATGACCATTCTGATTACGGTGCTCACCAATTCTTTCATGGCGATTGTGCAGAACGCCAATCAGGAGCACCAGTTTCTGTTTGCAGTCAACACTATCTCGATGGTCAAGTCGGACGCGCTGTTCTCCTATGTGGCTCCGACCAACATCCTCGCGTGGGTAATCACACCGCTTCGGTATCTCATGCCTTTTAGGCAATTTATTCGAATCAATCGCACCATCATCAAGATTACACATTTACCGGTTTTATTCACCATTTGTCTCTATGAGAAGACCATCCTCAGTCGCAGAGTGATTGAGCCTATCGATCTCGTCGACCCTGCGCTTCACCCCGATGTCTCATCCCGCAGTCGTCCCCGTCACAACCGGTTCAAGGCATTCAGTTCTCGAGTTCCCCGGCTTGTACGAGAACCGTCCGTGGCAACATATCAGAAAGACCGTGCTCTCGAAGAAGTCTTCCGGCATTCCTTGGAGCAGAGTCGGCGTCCTCCACGCAAGGCTCGAGGACAAAGCAACAACATTGTCAGCAACTGGATGCAGGCCATGGGCTCTGGTCCAGTTCATCCTCCTGATGAGCAGGATTCTGACGAAGTTGATCGACTAGAGAGACCGCCAACGTTTCGGCCCCCCTTTCACGAAAGGTCTACCCGGAGTCTTCGCAATATCACGAAGTCCAACCGTTCCGCTACGTCCGATCCTCAAGGACAAGTCGGGCACATTGTATCGTCGCCTGCTACCCTCCGTCGCGAAAGATTCAATATGTCTCCTACAAGAATCAGACAGCTTTCTCGGCACACGGACATTGAGGGGGATGATGAGCTCACGAGCGAAGATACAGAATTTCGCCGGTCCGATTCCTCAACTTCTGACAGGCCGGAGGGAATAAGCCCGGGCAAAGCAACACCGAAGTTCTACAGCTCTCGTCCCTCAACCGCAAGGATGAAATCTCGCATGAACAGTCCCTCGCGACGCCCTAGGTTTCATAAACGAAACTATTCAGCTGCCACCATGCTCTACAATCCCGTGGAGTCTGTGAGCAATGACGGTGGGACCGAAATCTCTTCTATTCCTGTGCGGCCCCGGGCGGAGACGCCTGCTCCAGACGACGATGCAGCCATGGCAACATCGGTCGACCAATGGACGCAGAGAAGGCATAGTCTGGATGTCAGCAACTCTCGGAACGTGACCTTGGCCAAATCCAATCCAATGTCCGTACCTGACATGGGCGGGTTCTTAGCGACCGACTCGCAGTACCGGGGTCGTCGTCACGTATCCCACATGTTCGGGTTGGGGTCTGATCTGGGTGACAATAAAGCCATTGCGAATGGTTTCCTAGATGTTTTACCGTCCAGCTTCACGACACAAATGGTCTACGCCGCGGGTGGTCTTCCTCGACCCGGAAGCTCCAATAGCAATCAGGATCTACTCAGCAAGCTCGTCTTAGCGCGCATGAATAACATCGAGGAAGGGTTCCGGGAAATGTTGAAGGAAGTGAAGGATCTCCGGCGCGGCGAGTCAAGCCGGAGTCAGAGTCGACCCGATGAGTCCCGAAGTAATCAACGGGAGAAGAAGAAGCGTTCGGAGACTCGCGATTTGAAGAGAACGCAAGAATCTCGAAAAAGCAGTGATAGCAGCAAGGAAATGGTGTCGGATGGCTCTTCGGCAAAATCGCGGCAGTAAACCTATACGACTTGATGATGCGATACGTTGACGACTCTTCTGCTTAGAGTGATTTCATTGAATGAGTGCGAATCAACGATGTAAATCTTTTTGGTTTTGGTCTTCTTCTATCAGTGTGGCTGTCTCATTATCTTTCATGCAGTTTCGCAATCGATACCCTCTATAATGACTCCATACCACTTAACCGCTTGTAAATCTTCCAGCATCTTCCTTCATCCATCACCCTTATCCGCTTGGAAAGACTCGCTCATTCCCTCTCACGGCAGACATCGTCAGGCTAGGTCCTCTCGATACTCTTCGGCACCGTCGCCCTCCTATTCCCCACAGGGCTCTTCTCACCATACCCACCATGCACCATCGCCCTCTCCTCGTCCGACACCACATAGGCGCCATGCTTGGGCGCCAGAGACCGGAAAACCACCCACGCTCCGGCGATGACGCCAAAGATGCTCATCAAGGCGTTCCGTGATCTGTCAGCCTCGGGAAAGAAATGTCAGCTACAATCGACTAGGATGGATTGGAAATGCAAGTAGGCTACGCGCGTGGAACGAACGAACGTACTTGAGAACACCTTTGTAGCGATCGGTGAGGGAGCCCTCTGCTGCCATTGCTTTGTTGGTTGTTAGGATGATCCAGGTTAGGATTGGGTGGGATCTGGCTGTTGGTTGCACAGGTCTTGATGCGCATACGCTGAAGCTGTAGCTCTTACCTGGACTTGTTGTTGGTGGCGGATGACATCTCCATGACTGTATCGTTGTATGTGTTGTTGATGATTTGGCGTGACGCTTTGAAAGCTCAGCTGGGGACCAGGGATGATTGGGGGGGAATACCATGGGTTTAAGTATTTTCTTATTGCTGATGTTAGTATATCCTACTTCCAGCTCTAAACTTGTATTGTATGCCTTATTGAGGCTTCGTTATTTGGCCATCGTGCATTCAGGCTGCAGGAGTACCCTGCCTGTGGAATCAGGGTCGACTTATCGACTAGAGAGCTACAACACAATAGGTGAATCGGAACTTAGCTTACTACTTACCTTGCTTCACCAACGAATCATCAAATATATTTATTCACTTCTCAGGCTAGTCTATTGATTGGAAGTCCGCCAGGCAAATGCTGTGTTGTCCCGTCAGGCCTGCAGAAATGGTCGAGCGTCGCGAGCTGTCAGCCTTGTAACAAAGACAAGGGTCAGGCTGTGCGTTTGACTTGCTTGAATCAACAACTCTTGTCCCTAACACCCCAAGCCATATTGCTTACGGAGTACTCACTTCCGATTCACGCTTGATTTTGAGCTTGATTAGTGCCTTGTGAGGGTCTTGTGTTCTTGCTACCTCCACCCTCTCTCTTCGTCAACTCTACTATATCACAGTGTCAGCCTGAGATCTCTCGATAATCCTCCACGTGCAACACACAAGATGGATCCCATTCCTTCAACAGCAGATCAAGTTGACTCCGAATCTTCTCAGGAAGAACTGGAATGGCCACGCTTTCCTCGCGGAGCAGATATAAGGGGCTTCGCTGCCTACAAGCCACTACTACCAGCAAGGGAGACAGCGACTCCAGCAACATGCCCACCACTGCTCCTCCTCGACAACGCAGACACGCTCGTGTTTATTGACACGCCACCACAGCCCTCGTCCGCGTCGATTCTACCGACCTCGACTGAGTCGATCCCACATCGCATACACAGCGAGAAGCTCCTGGAAGCCGGGTCCCCGTTCTTCAAGAGGCTGTTCAACCTACGGACGCAGAGTCGCGTGATCAAGCGCCGCGCACTCGCGGACAGGATGATCGACGGGATCAAATATGCCATCGAGCTCACCCCGCCCACCGAGGGAGAGGAGGCCGTGTTGACTGTCACGGAGCTCTCTTGTCCGCTTGGTATCCGGACCTGGGCTCGCGCTCAATCCCGCTGGGGGCTACCCTTGTCTTGTGTGGGAGGGGCAGACGAGTATGAGCGATCGGGCACGGCTGCTACGAACGGGAAGGCGCTCCCACAGGAGCAGAATGTCTCCCCTTCGGTATCTTCCGAGAAAAGTTCCTTCAATGGGTTGGCCGCACCCAAGGGCTCTGAGATACCGGTAGACTACTCTCCGCTGCGTCATCGCGCGGGCATCGAGCAGATCCTGCAGGCTTTAGAGGGCTTCCTTCCCGACATCGACACACCGTGCAAGCTTTGGACTTTCTTCGGCTTGGCCAGGCTCTATGGTATCGCCACGGTGCCGAGGATCTGCCATCTGATCCTCTCCTGGTTCTATCAATCTACGAATGCCCGCCTCCTGGAAGTTCAACCGGAGCTCAGCTATCGAATTGCTTGTGGCGTACAATGTGCCACTCTTTGCCGCGACACTTTCGCCATCCTTGTCGGCGAAGAGGCCATGCTTCTCCTTGCTAACTCCAACGCGGATACCCCTGCCCCTCTACGAAGACCAGAGAAGACACGGTATGGGCGCCTCCGCGAATCACTCAATGACACGGAGCTACAGCGGATTGAGTATGCCAGTAAAGTCTTTCTGGAGCATGTCGCCAATAAATTCGTGAACTTGATGGGCGCTGACATGGCCTGGCTCAATCAGCTCTCTGAGTACCAGAAGGTCTTCCACTACCAGCCGAGAACTTTGCAAGGACATATATGCAAGGATGATTTACTCGTTCACCTCAAGCTCTTTGTGAGAAGCAATCTTCTTTCGACATTGGTGCACAATCATAGTAGCACATGGACCCCAGGACCATTCTTCCCTGCAAAAAATAAGGGTAATGCTAATGCTGATGATGACGGCTATCCATCGAACACATTTCGCGCAGCATACAAAAGCATGTTTCTGGCCGAGCGCATTATGAGCAGAACATTCTGGCAGAATCTTAAATCCGAGTCGCTCGAGAGTAACTGGCGATGTCGCCGTCAACCGTCAATCATCGCTTCTCTTGCGAGATACTTACCACAATTCCTGGACCGCGAGGACTGGATTAGCAGCGCTGTATCGCCGGAAACACTCGGAAACAAGATCTCAGACTTCAATGTCTTCTACGACATGCACCTTCAAAACGGTGGTCTGGGCACAACCGCAAGCCAACCTCGATCGACAAATCCTTTCAAAACTGGGTTCACTCAGTACAGCGGAGCATCTGCGCATGAAGTTTGGGAGGGGAATATGTTCTCAACCTCATCTGAAGGATTTAACAGAAGTGTCTTCTTCGAGCAGGTGCGGTCGTACGTGGTCAGCTACGCCGACAAGATGACCACGCCTCCTCATTCGAATCACATCTACGAATTCACGGACGTTCTGACGTGCCTCACGGATAAAGAATTCAAATATCTTCCCCTGTGGGCTGGAGGCAATGATGACGGCTCTGGAGGCGTCTTCATAGACGAGAATATCCCCGTCATGGAAACGGGCGGGTTCTCGGCGCCAGGACCGGCCATCCATACAGGCAGTACTGCGTCGACTATCGACTCGTATTCCAACATTGCTCCCTCGGACGCTGATAGCACGGTCGAGGGTGTGTCTCACAGAGCTACAGAAAGCCACACCACCGAGGTGGTGTCGTTATCAACTGAGAGCGAGTTGGGAAGTAGCAGAGACAACGAGCACGACTTGACTAAGTGGCAGACGGCAGACGACGATGGATTTGATTTCAGTTCTGCGGACGATGATGCGGCGGATTTTGACTCCGACAGTGATTCCGCTGATACCATTATCATGGACTCGATGGATCACAGTGGTTTCGTGAGTGATTTCGAGGACCTGCACTTGAGCGATCGCGCGTCGTCTCTTTCGCATTGATTTTCCACTACGATTATGGGTTGATGGGGAGTTTACGTTCTTGATTAATGTCTAATAGCCTATTGACTGACGATTACCGATTCTTTTGATGTGTCCCCGTATGCTGAGTCGAGCACCAAGGACTTTCCGAAAGTCGTATCACTTCGCATCCATAACCAGAACTTGTAGAAAGGCTCCGTCTCAGACAAAGGGAGACGATCAGTGCTTTGAGGACAAAGGCATTATTACCGAGTGGCTCAACAATTGCAATGTCCTTTAAACCCATCTTTGTAACATCGATCTCTTGTTCATTGTGGCCCGAGTATTGTCTCATAATCATATCTTCATAGACTGCACAGACAGAGATAATGCCATTGATTTCATGGAGAATACCGGGGTGTCAGAGACACAAACCTTTGATCTTTCCCTTCTGTTGCAGGCGGCCTTTGAACGATAATGCTCTATACATCGACTGAAGCAAGACATCAGGAGAAAGCACCGAATATCCAAGATGGAGGCACGCCGATGCGAATATAAAAGCTGCTCGGTTCTTCAGGCTTGGCTTCATGTCTTCATACTCACCAGCTCATTGCTAACCACTCCACCTTACTCTTCCCTCGACTTCTATCAAACTTCCTGCACCTTCAGTTCCTACACCATGCCTCTCCAAAATCGACTCTCCCGCTTTTCCGTGGGACATGCATCTAACGAAGACTTAAGAAAGCAGGTCCTCACACGCAGTCCTCGCCTGTCGCGTCAGCCAAGCGCCCCTCGTACGCGCAGAGACCCTAGGGTACCGGCAAGCGACATCCATCCCGCGCTGAGGACAGTAAGTGAACCACCCCCCCCAATCCTTCACCCTAATAACATCCGGCTAACCAAACCTCTAGTACCGCGAAGCACTCAGCGTCAAACCAGTCATGGACGTCCTCGACGCAGAAACTAAACTCTGGGATCTGACTGAGATCTGGTACCAGATCCTCAAGCTCCATTTTGCGCCGGAGGATGGCTATACCATCAGCCCGCACCCGGAATCAGCCATCCCCGAGACACCGGAGTCGTACGGACTGCACGCAATGTCGGCCAGTGGGCCTGAAGCGGAGGGAACAGGTACCTTCTTTGTGATTGTTTGCTCGACAGCCGTGCACCATGATAATTCCATGACGCGGGTACGAGCGGCTGCTGAGCTGAGGAAGATGCTTGCGGATGTTGACCGCCGGAGAAGCACGAGTGGGCAGTCCTCTCGGCTACGAGGGGCTGTGGCTGTTGGTAATTCGGTGCAGTTTTTTAACTGGGGTGAGGATGGTGTGCTCAGTGTGTATCCCTGGGGGACGCATCCTTGGGATATTAGCCGCGATCATATTGCGGTGCAAGGGTGTCTTGATGTTCTGGTCGATGGTCTACCTTTTCTCTAACGTTGAACAGTTAGGCATATAGGGGCTCGGAGCCACCTTTGCTCTTCTGCGTAAGGAGACAGTATATCGCTGTGCAGGTACGTCTTCTCCCCTCCGGTTCTGCCAGTTGTTCAATTCTATCTGAGGTATTGCAATCTTCTTGGGAGGTTCGGGGTTAGCTATAACAATTGAAAGTGTGTTCATGTTTTCTGGATTGTCCTCTCGTAGATCATCAGGTCCTATTGCTGTAGATCGATATCTTTCACGTGACAGAATCCGGGGTTCTTGGCGCCGACGTCACAGAATTCCAATTATCCTGCATATCCTGTAAATCTGCCTCATCTTGAGACAATTGGGAGAACGACCAGAAGAAATAATTCTACCGAGGAACTGTCTACTTCTTCCGACATCACGGAGTAGTCCCAGGGCTCCATCTGTCACCTTTTATCAGGTAAATTCGAACGTCATCGTCATCATGGCTTCCTCTTCGCAGCCTTCAAGCTTTCTACTCTAGTAGGTTCTACACCGAATGTCAAACATTGGGGTCTTTATTTCTCTCAGGGCTAACATCTGGACAGCTCCTGTATAGCACACCGCACAACAATCCTCGCGGAGCACTCATCACCCGGAACATCCTCTACCGCCGCCTCGTCCCTAGCCTCCATTATTCTCCCCAAGATCACTCACGACCAGCCCCAGAAGCTCACCTACACCCACGAACGTCTCTTCGTCCACTACATCGCAGACTCCCCCTCCGGCTCCTCCGACGATGGCAGCCGCCAGGAACCCAACTCCTACGCTCCCCTGAGCTACATCGTGGTCGCCACCGCCGAGCAAGGCCGCCGCATCCCCTTCGCGTTCCTCCTCGAGGCAAAACGCAAGTTCCTCGCAACCTACCCGCCCTCGAGCACTGACTTCTCGTCTCTCCCCGCCTATGGCTGCGCCGCGTTCAACACGGAGCTCCGCTCCCTCCTTCAGACGTACAACACCGCGCCACCTGCGGACTCGCTTGCTTCGGCCCGCCGCGAGATCGACAGCGTCCGGGACATCATGACGGAGAATATCGAACGGGTGCTTGAGCGCGGTGAGCGGATTGATCTCCTTGTGGATAAGACGGACCGGCTTGGTGGTAGCGCGCACGATTTCCGCGTGCGCAGTCGGGGACTGCGGCGGCAGATGTGGTGGAAGAATATCAAGCTCATGGTGCTTTTGGTATTCGTGGTGGTTTTTCTGGTTTATCTGTTCGTCGGCATGGGATGCGGCTTGCCTGCTTGGGGGAAGTGTGTTGGGAGCAACAATTAGGGGCTATGACTGGTCAGGAGGTTGGTAATCTACATGGTGTTGAGTTGTTGAGTAGCAGGGTATGATCTTCCTTTTTTTTTCTGTGCAAATACCCTTCTACCTGTAATAAGTGTGTTATTTAGTCTATGCACTGCGCATCTATGACAGCCTTGATGATTGTGTTTCTGTGGGTTCTCTGGCGTGGCCTGAGCACTGTGGTTTATTGTCTTTGTACTTTGATAATTTATCAACTTGAGCTATGATTATTAGACTTGACTGTTCCATTATTGATGGCTCGTGAAATATGTTGTTATGTGTATAATTGGTGGGTGTTCCATTTCCGATCGCTAAAGCACCACCTATTCGCAGCAATATATGTTGCAGGGTTCTTTGGTGTTGGTGGTACTCCCCATGGAACAACCACAACATTGAACCATGGACACCATCAAGTTGTTTAAATACATCAGCACTAACTGCCATTTAAAGAATTAGACACATTGGATGTTTACTAGGTATCTAGGTAGTGTCCTCGACGATATAGACCCATGCCATAAATGCTTAAAGACTTAGAAGGTTAAACCAAAAAATAGAGAGCTCGACAACAAAAATGATAGAATGATATTCCCTAACATGTACTCTAAATACCGTAGTACTTCTACGCAAGGTATGTTCCTCACTATCAAACTCACAGCTTCCTAGCCAAAAGCTCAGTGCGAGTCTGCAAGCGAGGAAGAAACAACCTCTGATTATTACCAGATTGGTTGCTTCTGGGATTCAATCTGCGCCAGCCGTATACCTCTTCAACCATGGATGGGGTTGATGAGGAGATAATCTGGCGCTGTGTGCAAGGGAAAGGGAAAAGGAAAGGGAAAGAGAAGGGGGAGAAGGGAAAGGGGGCACTACGAGGTTGTAGTATCCAGGGATTCTTGAAGGGCAGTTGGAATCGCGGACTGCTGCGTTGGGTGGGCTGAAGATTCCGGATTCCGGCAACTGCTGTCGTATCCGAAGCCGTGGTTCTGGGTAGACGTTTGAAGGGAAGAATCGGAACCTGTGCTCGGTTGCATCGAGGACAAAACCCGCCAAGCGCACTCAGACAGCAAATGTGAAGCGGACCTGGAAACTCGATTTGAATCCTGGGGTAAAATTACCTAAGATGCGGGTGCAAGTTGGGTCAGGGAAAAAGTCAGGAACGCGGACTGATGTCGAAAGTCGCCCAGAAAGAACCAAACCCGAAGATGAAAAAGAAAATTTTTGCTCTTTTTTTTCCTTCTTTTCATTCTTTGTAGCATGCACCCTGTCTTGGAAGACGAAAGCCTGGTCATAGCAGGTTTATTCTTTCATTTTGAGTATCAAATGTACTCCCACGCCATCGCCCCTATTGCAACAAGAAACACAAGAAAAACGTCCCTTAAGCAGAAGCCTTAGCAGCCTCACGGCCCTTTCCAATGCGCTCCAGAATCTGCTCGCGGTCCTTGTCCAGCTTGAGCTTGGTGATGACGACCTTCGAGGGGTGGATGGGGAGGGGGACGCTCTGGCCGTTGGACTTCTCGCGGACGACACGCTCGACGTGAACGCACCACTTGAGACGGTAGACGGAGGTGATCTTGCCCTCGCGTCCCTTGTTGGAGCCGCGCACAACGGTGACCTCGTCGTCCTTGCGGATGGGGATGGAGCGAACCTGTAGATCAACGGTCAGAACGAATTATCCTAGCACAATTGGTCCCGATCGTTTCCAGCCGGAGTCTGTGCGAATTTCTATCCCAGCCAAGAAGCGTAGAATGCGAACAGCAGCGGGAAGGAAGAATCGGTGTGGGAGAGGTGGCTTGACGGAAGGCGTACGTTGTACTTCTCACGGAGTTCCTTGCTCAGGGGAGCGCTCATGATGACACGGCGCTCGCTGGAGGGAGCGCTGAAGTGCGCCTTGCGCGACTTCCGGCGGGAAGAGGCGATTCCTAGCATGAAGAAATCGAGAATCAGTATCCTCCCTCAATGATATCTGCACGCAAGTCGTCTGGCAAAAAAACGTCGTTCACGAATTTAACGAATATTCAAGGGCGAAATCGAAGGCAAAACCATGTAGCCAGAAAAGCAACTGCTTCAGCAAAATTCCGAACATACCGTTGTTCATGACGGTCATCTTGATAGGCCTCTTTTTATGATATGACCGGGCGTGGTGAACGTTGTCGTCGTTAGTCGTCGTCGAACAAGGACTCTTTTTGCTGTCTCCTCAGAATGTTAGCCGAAAATGTGTGGGAGGCCGAATGTGCGTCACATGATATCCCGCTTAGGCTAGGGTTGGCGGCTCTGCGTTGATTGGTCACGCGGCTGCCCCTCTCTTCGTAAGGGAAAGGTCAAAGCCTGGCTGACTAAGACGCAGCCTGACTAACCATCGGAGCGCGGATCGCTGGGCACCGCATCAATTCCGGGGCGCGCGCGACTCAGCTTCACCCGCATCGAAGGACGTGTCTTTGCTGTCAATTGAGAAGTGAGAGGAAAGTGACCAGGTCAGGCAGCTTGACCATGCTTGATATCGCGTCTCTGTTCTTGCTTGCCCTTGCTACCCCCCTTACATGATGCTCTGAGGCTGAAGTGACAGCTCCGTCATTCTCGAGTGGCATTGTCCCTTCAAAATGTCAAATGATGACTTTGAATGGCTTGAGAGATACTCGCAGCCAGTGCCTTTGCGATACCCTCAACAGTATCAATATGGAGTGTCGTTATCATCATCATCATCCCAGGGCCCTCCTGCCCCGCCTCTTCTGTACCCTCCTATGTCTACATCCCAGGCACCGACGGGCCACACTCACCCGGTCTATACCTACAGCGCACCATATATCCCCCCTCAGACATATGTGAGACCACAGGACACAACGCATTATTCTCGCCTCTACCCTCCAACCGCATATCGTGAACACCAGCCGTATCAAGTGAATTCATCGGCCACGGCACCACCACTCGCGTCTGTTCCAACACCAACGCCTACACCCCCAGCACCAGGGCCACCACCGGCAGCATCAGCATCGGCGCCTCCTTCGCGTGCCCCCCCTTCGGCTCCCATAGCCACAACACAAAAGCCACCCACGGACACCACAAGGGAAGAGAAAGAGAAGCCTCTAGTGTACCACAATTCCCCAATCTACGCGTATGCGACCAGCGCTGATCCCGAGACGCTTGGGCATGACGTGAAGAGACGTCGCGTGGAGTCACCGGTAGCTATGACTACACCGAAGCCGACGGTGGCGGTTCAAGGGAGCCTCTCGCATTACTCTTTTAAACCCCAAAACACTACAAGCAGAAGTCACCTAAGAATGCGCACTGATCTCGCACAACGCTTAAACGAGGCCGACACAGCGGAGAAAGTTACCTATGATCCGAAGACGATTGCGCGGGATATCTTGATTGCGTCCGGGCGCCACCCTACCGAGTTACCTTTAAACCACCATCTAGTTCGCCTTCGGGAAGTATTCTCGGGTCTTGAGACTGCCTCGGATTTGGCGACCTTTCGCTGGGATGTGGTTGATCCGCCAAAGCCTTCCGTCAACACTATAGACCGGTCACGTGACCATGCTCCGCTGCCCGCTGCACCGCCCGCCGAAACGCGTCCAGTCCAATCAAATCCGCTGCATCGGCCTAGAGTCCCATATCCACCACAACAACCCGCTCATTATCAGCACTCTCAGCGCTATCAACAGCACTCGCAACCACAGTCGTATCAACAACCACAGCAGCCGCCACATCGGGCCCAGACGACACACTTACCACAATCACAGCCTCAGCAGAGATCTCAGCTCCATTCTTCTCCGCAGATTCACATTCCACCCCAACCCCAACCTCGACGGCAGCCTTCAGTACCCCAAGTACAATTGCCCTCAAAACCGCAGTCGCCGGCGCAACCGCAGTCGCAACCGCAGTCGCATACTCGGCCAGCTGCTCAGACTGCTACCAAGCCACAGGCACCATCGCAGCCGAAACATTCGACGCGCCCATCATCAAACATGGTGGGAAAGAGGGGTCCTGGTCGGCCACCTGCGAGCTCCAAGGTCGAGGTTACTGTTCCTATTTCTTCTCAAATTCCGTATCAGGTGTATGCCTGCGATTGGAAGGACTGTCAAGCGGAGTTACACAACCTCGAAATGCTTAAGAAGCACATCTTCAAAGTTCACGTGCCTTACGCACTTACATGTCAATGGAAAGACTGCAAATTTCAGGAGCCCTTACCTGCCATCCACCTGTACAAGCACGCTCTGACAGCTCATGTGGAGTCGATTGCATGGAAGTTGGGCGACGGACCATCAGTGCCTGGAACTGGTGAGAAAGCATCACGATGATTGCGTTTGTGTCTTTGATTTTGACCAATGGACCCGGTAATTAACACTTCTCGTTTTATCGTCATCTAGAGGGTCGTGATGCCAGCGCAACTCCTGGGCCTAAAACTATACCGGACTCGATTCAACCAGGCGGCGAGGACTCGCTCATCTTTCCAGCAAGCTACAGTTCGATCCGCGCATTCAACCGTGTACATGGTAACCATACGCAAACTCAGAAAGCGCGAGAGATACTCAAGGCAGTACGAAGGCTCAAGGAGCATATTGGGTTTGGGTTGGATCCTGGTGGGTGCGAGCTGGCCACGCCGGCAAGGAATAAGAGAGTGAGCAACGATGAGGATTTCTACGCCGTGAGGCATGAGTCCTAGCACTTTTTCTACCTCGTTAATACCCCTTTTGTTTTTTCTTTTTTTCTTTCTCTTTTTTTGTTGTTGATCCGGTGGCTCCTTGGTCATCCAATCTCGGTTGGCAGAGGGATCTAGCAAATTTGGCGTCCAGGGCCTTTCATCTCGAGTTTTTCCAAGCGTTTCGTGTGCCATCACGTTCCATTCAGAATCTTCAGTGTGTTTCCATGGCATAGCATTTATTTTAGCGCCTGAAGAATTGCAAAGGATATCATTACGAACGCAGTGTACATCCAAATTTCGCCCAACTCCTGTGATCACAGGATAACAAGTGTAGACCGGGCACACATCTCCCATCTAGCCCCTTCAAAAATAGAATCACTCTCGAAAGATGTCATCGCACCGAGTGCAAACTACCGGTCCTTCCCCCCACCGATTGCTGATGTGCCGCCCGTGGCTGGTACCGGCGGTACACTCGCTGCAGTCGAACCCCCGGTCGACTTCTGGACCGGCGAAACTTGCTCTACGGTGTTGTCGTCCTTGGCGTTGACTTCGAGGAAATGGTAGAGGACGATCATCATCATGGCGCACGAGCCGAGGAAGACGGCGAGACGGTAGAGGTCGTTGTCGGAGATCATGGTGGAGGCGAATTGGGTTGATCAATGGATGGAAGGGGGTTGCTATATGTGGGAAAGAAGTTGTATTGAAGTGTGAGGGTGATCCTGAACCGTCCGGTCAGTAACTCGGTAGTATAATTATGAAGTGAACACGGTGTCGGGAGATGCTCACAGCTCACAGCTCACAGCTCAACCACTGCTTCTGGATGCGAATTGAGCTATTCTCCCAAGCCGGACGAAATTCCTATCCTCGGCAAATTTGTCTGTGATTAAAGGACAGATGCTAGAATTGATAAAGAGAGTGTGTGGCAGGGACAGCGAATGGACAACGGTGTTGTTGATAACGGTCGACGACGGAGTAGTATTAATTTACTATTAGAGTCGCACGGATGAGTACGTAAGGCAAGTAAGGTAAGTTCCCCCCAGTTGGACCTCCAGAGGATCTATCTCTGTCTAGTTAACTTACCTCTGACACTCCGTCGTCTTCTGGAGATAGAGATCAATCACATATTAATTTGTCAATTCCCAATCAGTCCAAGCGATCTTCAGTCCTTTATCCGTCACTTTTCGGTCGTCGTTCCCGTTGTTTTCTCTACTTCATATTATATGTCTGTCCTAAAGCCCTTCTTTCTGCTTCTCTCCCTCTCGACCTCGAATCATTTCGCCTTCCCGCCATCCAGCTGAGCTCGATTGGCCTTGATCTTCATACTTGCTGCTTCCCTGCATCGTTCATCTATACTCAATCATCTCGCCTTATCCCTGCTCCACCGTTCGGTATATATGCCTGTCAGACAGAGCGCACAGTCAATCAATAATCTGTGTGGCGGTTCATCATGGACGGATCATTCATTCCCACCAAGAACCCCTCCATTCCGAAGGGCTCTGGCCCGTCTCTTCTAGCCTGTCTTCTCTGTCGCCATAAGCATCTTAAATGTGACGGGACGACCCCTGTCTGTGGCCGCTGCGCAGCCACAGGAGCCGAGTGTCAGTACACTCCTTCGCGCCGCGGGTACAAAGGACCGTCCAAGAAGCGGCGAGCCAATCCGTCGTCTCCTGAACAGCTACCTCTCTCAGAACCCTCGACATCGTCCTTCGACCCTCAGTCCGTCGCATTGCTGGACCCTCCGGCGGACTGGAGTCTCCAGAACGGAAGCTTCCAAAATGCGTTTCCATATTTTTCTCCCAATGGCTTCCCCTCTTCGGACTCGGACAGCTCCCACATAAATACCGACAGAGCCCTAACGTCGCAACAACCTACACGGGTGAGCAATGGTGGGCCGCTCACCCCGGAATCTCTGACTTCGGTCGCCGGTGATGGTTATCTCGTCGACATATATTACACCTATTTTCATCCATCGCATCCAATTCTACCCCCGCTTCGTTTGCTCTATCGCTTCCATGTACCTCGATATCTGGAACATGTCATCAAGTTCATCGGCTCCCACTTCACTCCCGCCGCAAACAGTGAGGTGTATAGACCCTCTGTGATGTTGTCAGCCATGGAGCAGGATGCGTCCGTAGAGAAGCTGCAGGCACTTCTCCTACTGGCTATTGTGTTGCACTCGCGCAACGAGCGAGCGGAGGCTGGCGAGTGTCTTGTTATGGCAGTCGACCTGGCCTTTGAGCTCGGGATTCACCGCGAGACTTTCGCGGTCGCCATGGGCGGAGGTGATCCGGTCCGCGAGGAGAGTTTGCGACGCACGTGGTGGGAGTTGTTCGTCATTGAAGGCATGTTGACCGCACTCGGTGTGCAGCGGATCAATCGCACCAGCTTAGTACCGCCTGAGGTACCGCTACCGTGCGAGGAACGCATCTTCCAGGATGGACTGGCCGCGCCGGCGCCGCCCACGATTGCACAGTTTGATGAGCGCGTCTTTGCGGACGAGGAGCGGGACTTCTCCTCCTACACATATCGGATCGAGGCGGTGCGGATCCTCGGGCGCGTTGTCGCCATTCAGGATATGATCGAGGGCCAACAGGACCACGTGGAGGCGATTGACGCGCGGATCGCTAGCTGGTTTCACCACCTCCCCGAATCAAAATCAGAGTTGCTGCGTCCCGACGGGTCGGTAGACGAGATGATGTTCCAGGCCACCATGATCGTGAACGGAGCGGGTATCTACCTCCACTTCCCGCGGTCCGATCTCCTGTCATCACCCGCAGTCGCTGCGGAAGTCATCTGCGGCCACCACGGACCATGCAGCATCCCCGCCTTCTCGCACCACGCCCATGCGATGAAAGCCGTCAAGGCTGCCAGCGAGATCTCAACCCTGGCAGCCATCCGCATGCCAGTCGTCAAGCACACGCCCTTCTTTATTTGTGCCTTGGTGCTCAGCTCCATCGTGCAGCTCGCCGCCTGCTCCGTGAAAGCCGGACAGATGCCCGATCCCAGCCGCGACCGACTCACCCTCACCATCGGCGTCTTCAAGTCTCTCGCCCGCACCTGGGCCATCTCGCAGACCATCATGCGGCAGATCAAGGCCGTCGCGCGCGACGTCATGGACGTCGGGCTGCGACCCACGATGGAGCAGCTGGATCTGACCACCGTCCTCGACGGAGGTCGATTCTGGCTGCCGGATGCACTTCCCCGATGACAGTCGCGTCCGCACCGGGTGCCTGTTATGCCCCCCTCTCTCCCACAATTGATGTCCTGTATATGATCTTTATTGCGCAGACGACCACACCACCTTGATACCCCCCGTCAACCATGATTATATGTAAGAAACATCAAAAAAAAAAAAGTTGGCTTGCCACAATGCTGCGGTACGAAAGCCAGTTTTTTTTTCACCCGAAAAATCGGGCTTAGAAATGAATCCTTCTCCGTGTATTTTCTCAGCAGTCAATTGTACCCATGGACTGTCTCCGAGCAATATATATATATATTTATATATATATACTATATATGTACTGCGTATGCGGCGAACATATAACCCAGCAGGACATTCCATACTAGTTTGAACAGCTTCCATGTATCCCAACTAGACTCATGCATATACCTACGGAGTATGGAGTATATATATACCTACATATTCTCGCTTACTCTTCTACCAATAAACATAACCAGCTCATCGATACCCGCGGAATCAAGCATACATACTCTGACATATATGTCCGCATTTGCCATGCAACATTCCAGCTACTTACTTACTCCAACAGGATCAATTCATCCACTAACTACCAAAGCAAACCATGTACCTAGCAAGCCCACATTACCGACAACAAAAAATAAATACAAACACAAACACAAACCACGAAAACTAGATAGAACATCGAAAACCGAAATCCGAAACCGAAACCGAAACCGAAATCAAAGCAAAGCAAAGCAAGCCATACACCCCCATTCTAAACATAAGCCGCCAAGTTTCCATTTCACCAGTCTAGGAAGGCCAAAAACACAGGAAGAAAACGTGATTCGAAGTCAAGTCTAAGGAACGGAATGGTATCATAGCGGGTAGAAACGGGATGGTATTGGAATAAAAAAAAAGGGGGGGGAAATAGTAAAGAACAAAGGAAAGTTGATGATGGTAGGAGACCGAAAAGGGAAAAGGTTTCTTCAGTTGGGATTGTCAGCGCCCGCTGCTTCAGCGTTCGACAGTCCGGTGCTGAACTCGCGCATATCGTGCAGGGCCTCTGCGCGACGAGCCACGACGTCTTCGCGACGGACGACGTTCCGCAGGGCCTCGCTGGCCTGGATGAGGCCGTCGATGCTGATGGCGTGGTTGGTCATCTGGTGGTTGATGTAGGTGTACAGCTCCGCGGGGGTCGAGCAGGTTGTCAGGAGCTGTTGCTCGTTGAGCTTGAGGAGGGCCAGCGCCACCTGGAAGAGGAACGTGCTGCCGCCTCCGCTTCCGGATGCGATTTCTTGCGCTGAGGGGTTGCTGGGCTCGGTGGTCTCTCGGGCCGAAGGTGCGGAGGGGTTCGGGTTGGGATTGACAACGCTGGTGACGTTGAGACAGAGCACCACGTCCCAAACGCGGTAGAGGGCCTCGGCGGACAGACAGTCGGTGAAGATGGAGAGGAACCATTGGAAGGTAAGTGCTTCGAGCTCGACGCCCAGCGAGTCGAGGTGCGCGGATAGGTTGGGTAGCACCTCGGAGATGTACTGGCGCAGGACGACCTGATCGGCCCGGGAAGCGAGCAGTCCGTGATCGTAATAATGATGCGGAAGGATATTTTCAATCATCGAGACGAGGATCCAGAAGGCGTCCTCTGCGGTCGGGGTGATGAGCAGCAGAGAGGCAGCAATGAGGTTCATCCCTTGGCAGTATCCCACCTCAGCGTTGCGTCGCGAGTACGCGAGTAGAACCTCTCGGAGCTTGGAGACACCAGGCCCCTTGCGGAAAAACACGTTGTCTGTGAGAGTCCGATTGATGTCCATGTCGATCTGAGCCACGACAGACGGGTCCGGATCGGTTCCGCCGATCCCACGTACAAGATCATCGTAGTAGCCAGGTACCCGCATAGAGGACGCGCCGCTGCACTCAGACCAAATCTTCGCCCGGAGAGCAACCGGTATGCCCCCGAGGACAAGCGATCGGAACTCCCGCCACTTCGCCCGCCCGACCTTGCCCTTATTCCCAAGGTTGGAGATCCCCACCACCTCGCCGACCGGGAGAGATGCCTCCGGCGTATCGACGGACTGAGAAGAACGGGCGGAAGCGGCCGCAGCGGCTGCAGCTTCTCCCTCTTTCCTGCGCTCGGCGCGCACCTTGCGCATAAATTCATTCCACCGGACCGTCCTGTCTCGCTGGAGGGTATCGTGAAGCTCTGTCAACTGCTCAAGAAGGAGCCTGACGGGCTCATTTTCGCTTGGAGATGCACTCGACGCGGTTATCGTGGTGAGTTCATCGGTAGAGCCTCCCGCGAACTCGGGACGGTCCGCGACAATTGTAGACGTCGATGCCGATGGCGGGGCATTTGGGTTGACCGATAGCGAACCATGCCGGTCAACCGCCACTGCAGTCGTACGTGGCTGGGATTCGCTTGCGGTGGTGAGTGACACGATGGGGCCTGCCGACGGGGTGTGTGATAGCAATTCGGTCGGCCGAGTTGGGATCTTTAGATAATCCTGCCACTTGCCAAGAGACACAGCTCCCGCGTCTGGATCGTCGGGAGAGATGGATGGAGGTGAGCGCTGGGGTTCCGCAACTGCTTGCAATTGCTTGAGAATCACTTGCTCGTCGTCGTCGTCGTCGCCATCTGACGCGTCAGTGCGGAAGCTGCTCAGAGTCTCGGCGACGCTCAGGCGGTTGCCGCTGTTCTTGGACATGATGGCTTCGCGCTGCCTCTTTTTGCGGCGCTGGTCATAAATGAATCCAAAGCGATCGGTCAGAAGCTCGCCGGATTGGTAATTGTTGTACATGTAGGAAAGCGTCGGCGGCCGCGATTCCATGGGAAGGATGGCATCCATCTCGACGGGCCCTAGATTCGTAGCACTTTTATCAGCACCATCGGAGCCCGGCGGTTGAGACACGGTCGAGGCTGCATGTCTCCGGCCAGGTTGAACGGTGGACCGACCAGTGCCAGTGGATCCATTGGCAGGTCTGCCGGACACACTTGGGAAATTGGTGTTACTGTTGATTCGCTTTAAGGCGGCCACCGCCGACATCCCAGCTCTAGGGTTCGAGGATGCGGAGGAAGAGCTTTTGCTTTTGTCTTGCTGAATAGACGACGCTCTGCTTCGAACTGAGCTTGCAGTATTTTCGTCGCGGACGGGCTGGGAGCCCCCAGCAAAGAGCTTGACTGTCCACGACGCGAGCGACTTTGACGATTTGCGGGAATGGATGCTGGCATCATCCCCGGCCGCGCGTTTTGCAGCCACTTCGCCTCCGGAAGGCCCAGCACGCTCGCTGGGCGGCTGGAACAGCTGTTCATCCAGGGCTTTTCGACGGTTGGAAGGACGACGACGCTGGGTCTCCTCCTCCTCGACCTCGCCAACACCACTCATGATACTGCTCGCCCTGCTCGTTTTCCGACTCGCCGTGCCATTCCCGAAGATATAATCCTGCCAGCCGCGGACCGAAAGCTGTCTCTTCCGGGTGGTCCCCGATTCGGCGCTCGACGTGCCAGAAGGCGAGTCACACTCCAAGCGCTGCGTGCCGCGCACTGTCGCCTGATCCTGCGCTGACGTCCCGTCATCTGACAACGAACCCACTTCATCGGTCAACGCCTGCTGCATAAGCCCATGGACCCCGACGGAGCGCTGGCCCGCCTGCTCACCATCCTTCCCCGCATCCAGCCCGTCCGAGTTCTTCCGCGGCGCGTTCTCCAGCGCATACAGCCTCCGCTCGATATCCTGATTCGACACGGCCACCTCGCGCAGCATCCGCTTCAACTCGCGCTCGCGCGCATCAGCGCGCTGCCGCAGAGCCGAGATCTCCGCGTCGCGCAGCGCCAGATCGCGCGCAAACTGCCGCACCAGCTTCACGGCGCCCGTGCTCGCGACCAGCCGCTCAATGTGCGAGTCGTCGGCCAGATGCAGCGCCCCAGGGAAGTCGTGCAGGTGGATCGAGTCGTCGAAGAGCGCGGCGCGGCCTGACTCCGCGGGCAGCCCGCCCGTCAGCTTGGCCAGGGTGGATCGCCGGTCCCGTGGGACATCGGCGGGAGACTCGTTGGCCTCTTCGTCGAGCAGGGCATTTGTGAGGGCGCGGTTCAGCGCGGGCTGGCCCAGGAAGCCGTCTGGGGAGCGGTCCGGCGAGAGCGAGGGGAAGGAGGTCAGGTCGGTGGTGGTGGCATTGGAGGAGGCGGAGAGGCGTTTCTGCGGGCGGGCGCACGCGGCCTTAGCTCTCTGGCTGTGCCGAGAGGCGGAGGAGGTCCGGGACGAGGATCGACGCTGCAGATGTTGCGGATGCTGGGGGTCGCGCTCCGCCATGGTTCGTGGGGCGGTGAACTGAAGAGCTGACGGGGGATGGATCGAGCGTGGGCTTCATGAAGGCTTTCTATATTCCGTTCTTACGCATGAGCGCTCAGATGGAGAATGTATGTCGAAAGTCGGCATGCATGTATTCACGACGATTGGGGGAGTTGCGTGTCGGAGTTTGGTGGTCGTATGGTCCGATACTCTCTTTTTTTTTTTTTTTTTGCGGGTAGCAGCTACTACGACTAGTAGTAGTACTGTAATAGTCACGATCGAACTCGAGGAATGCAAGAGGGACCGCGCTCATTCCAAAGTCAGCACAGAGAGCCCATCCCGATTTGGCTTGATTGAATCAAGAAGAAGGAGAAGGAGAAACGAGAGAACACACGACCAGAAAGGAAGCCAACATGAAGCAGGATCGATGAAGTTGTTGTTCAGCTGCAGCCGGCCGGCCGGGCTCTATGACGTGTGCCAGTCATGTGACTAATGCGTCTGAGTCAGCTATACGCTTATGCACGGCGGCCACACTGAGCCTCGGTTCTCCGCAGAGGAAGACAGCCGACCAGAAGCCAAAAACATCACTGGAGGGCCCTGGGGGTTGAATCTTATAAGACGCTGTTTGACATCCTGCAAATGTAGCTCCTTCTTCCCTTGCCCCGCATATTTTTAATAATCGATCTCCCGGTATATTATATCCACCATGTCCGCAGTCGCCAAACGTCGCCTCGAAGCTGTCAGCCAGCAGCTGGTTGAGGGGATGCCCGACGCGGGGAAGTTCGAAGATATCCCCAGAATCCGCACCGTAGCCCCTGACTCTGTCGGACCGTACGTCTACGCCTTAATCTGCTCGATGTCCAGCTCTTTCTATTCGTACTGACTATGCCCGCCCCGCCCCCCCACAGCCGCGTCAAAGACAAAGTCGTCATCGTAACAGGTACAAGCCGCCCGCCCCCCTCCCCCCTTCTGACCTACCATGATACCATCATAGCGCATGACTAACAAGAGCTCTCTCAAGGAGTCAATTCCCCCGCGGGCATCGGCCGCGCCAGCGCGCACCAGTATGCCCACAACGGCGCCAAAGCCGTCTACCTGTGCGACTACGCATCGACGCACCTCGCGACGCACAAGCGCGAGATTGAGGCCCTGTACCCGGGCGTGGATGTGCACGTGCGGCAGTTCGACGCGGCGGATGAGAGCGCCGTGAAGGCGGTCGTCGACGAGGCGGTGGCCAGCTACGGCCGGCTGGACGTGTTTTTTGCGAATGCCGGCATCGTGGGCCAGAATAAGCTGTTCACGGATGTCTCGGGGGAGGAGTTTGCGGCGACGTTGAGGACGAATACCGTTGGGTGAGTTTTTTTTTTTTTTTTTTTTTTTTTTTTTTCTCCCTCCCATCACTACGGTTTGGGATGGAGCTGGGGAGTGGGGGGTTAAGGAATGACTGCTGACCGGGGTGATGCCGGCTAGGGTGTTCCTGGCGGTCAAGTATGCGTCCATCGGTATGAAAGTGACCTCAGCAGCGAAGCCGTATCCCTCCGGCTCGATCATCTGCACTGCGTCTGTGGCCGGGCTGCGCTCCAATGCCGGGTCGACGGATTACTCTGCCTCCAAGGCGGCGGTGGTGTCGATCGCGCAGACGTGTGCGTACCAGCTGGCGGGCACGGGAATCCGCGTGAACGCCATCTGTCCTGGGTTGATTGAGACAGGAATGACGCAGAAGGTGTTTGATGCGGCACGCGCGCGGGGCACGGAGCGCAAGGTCGGGCAGCTGAATCCGCTGCAGCGCGGCGCGGTGGCGGACGAGGTGGCTCGCGTGGCCTTGTTCCTGGGCAGTGATGAGAGTAGCTATGTCAATGGGCAAGCGTGGGCTGTATGTGGTGGATTGAGTGCGGGACACCCTTTCGTGCCAGGCAAGCTGGCATAAAAAAAACTACAAGGATATATCACATGTCCCAGAAGGCAAAGTTTTCAAAAAGGGGATTAAATCGCGTATCTAAAACCAAATCATCGAGACTACCGTACAGACAAACCAGGCGGTAGGATATGTGTGTCCAATCAATTCAACTATGTTCCAGACTTTGCGGAGCAGCTTTCAAAGCAGCCCGTCGCAGCTATAGACAAAGGGAAGATACGGGCAAAAAGGTAATAGAAACAAGAGAGTGTGTGGATCCAGGTTTGCTTATGCGTAACGCTTGGTTGGACTGTCAAACGGCCTTCTTGCAGGGTGAGTCGAGTCAAGCGATCTCGATCATGGACACCTGCAAGACCGAGAAGAACCGAATAAGGGATATAGAACGATCAACACGGAAGCCCAAATTTTTTCCAGTGTTGACGAAGAGAAAGAGATTATCCAAATATGAAAAACACCCCAACACTCCAGCGAATAGGATAGAGGTCAAGAAGAGAGAAAGAAGTAAGAAGAAAAGAGTCCGCCGAAGATCTCGAGAAAAGAACACCTCCGTCCAAAAAGAAGGCACAGGGGAATATCCAAGAAATAAACAGAAGTTCGAAGAGAAGATCAAGAGCCAACTGGAGATGTGGCCACAACGCGCTTGGATTTTGGAAACTGTGCAAGAACAGGATTCGTGTCAAAGTCGTCCAGACGAGGCGTTGCATCATCGAGTCGATGCAGGAATCTCAATTTACGCGACCAGCCGGGGGTTCGTCCGCATCAGATCTTCGCTGCCCTGTTTGGACAAGGTTCCGCTCTCCGTGTGGTCATCAAGACCATCGGTCTCGTGGGCACGCTCGTCGTTGTCCTCGACTATCCGGGTGGGGATCTCACCAGGGCTGTACTGCTGACTCGACCTCTCCTGGAACGTCGAGCTGCTGATCATTGACATGGAAGTGCTGGAGCGGTTGTGTACCAGATCCGGTGTGGGGGGAACGCTGGAGTGCCGGTGATCCGGGTGCAGGGTGCTGTTGTCGTCGCCTATCTCGCTGCCCTCGCGGGTGGAGCGTCCGTCACGGCCCTCGTAATCGGGGACCAGCCGGCTGCGGATCTGGGTGCGCTTGTCCGAGTCATCATCGTCGTCGTCTTCGGCGTCCTGAGCCAGATGAAGACCTTCGACGGCGGCGGCGCACTGCTCGCTGATGCTGCGGATGATGTCGGAGATGGCATCGGTCTTGTCGCGCAAATAGCGATCGGCCACGTCAGTGATGCTGAGGCGGGCGAGACGCTTCTGCTCTCTGCCGAGACTCAGGAGATGCTGCTCCAACTCGGGGGTCATGTTCGTTCCGCTCTTCGGGGTCGCCACGGAATGCTTGGCCTCGACCGGTGCGGTCACCTCTTCCACCTCCTTGCTCTCTTCGACGGCCTCCTGTTCGACCAGCTCGGAAAGCTCGGCCGAGCTTCCGATGGAGCGAACAATGTGTTCCATGTGATGTGTTTGGCCGTTGATCAGGCTACGAAGGTGCAGGACCACGCGTTGGGCCTCATCCCGTTGCCGAGCAAGGGACAGGTTGGTGTGCTGCAAGGCGCTGAGCTCCTTCTGGTTACGCTTCCTCTCGCGTTCGAGTTCCTCGGCAATCTCCTGCTGCAGAACCAACGCCTCCAGGGCATCATCCCGCTGCTTCTCAGTACCCGACAGACGCAGAGTAAGGCGGGCGACATCATCCTTTTGCTGGTCGATGAGACCAGCGAGACGGCGATTCTCACGCTTGTGGTTCTCAATCTTAACCTTGAGGTCAGACGTCTCCTTAGTGAGCTGCTCGGCAAAGGCCTGGAACTTGAGGAACTGCAAAGATGGTTAGATCCACGCTGATCGGCAAATGCGGGGGAAGGACGAACCTGCTGCTTCCATGTCTCCAGCTCCTCGACCAAGAAGTTGTTGCGCTTGGTGACCTTGCTCAACTCGGTATCCATGCGGCCCTTGAGGTTGATGAAGTCCTGCCAGGCTTCCATGGCGTCGCGCGAGTACTGGTTGCGTTCACGCACAATCTCGTTGAGATGGCGCATGGAGACCTTGGTCATCAAGGGTTTCTTGACAGAGCCACCAAAGATGGCCTTCATACCGGTGTTGCGGCCCTTTTAAAACAAAGAAAAAGGGGGTTAGTCTTCCCGGCTCATTGACTGCTATGATCAAGGATGGACCTACCAATTTCTCGCAAACGTGGTCCATAACGCCCATGACCGAATCCTGGTTCCACCAGGATGGATCTTGGATGCTTTCCACTTCCCCTCTCATAACAATGATTTGACCGGCAGGGATGAGCTTGCCCCCTGCATAGGCGGAGCGCAGATGGTCTGGCACACCCGAGGGGGAGACATCCCCGTTCAGCGCCTGCGTCAACCGGTTGATGAACTTGGTTCGCTGACCGGGCGTGAGGATGTTGGGAGGGCTGGAGGTCAGCACAAAGTTGCGATCCAGGTCCACTACCAGGGCATCCGAAGGCGCATTGAACAGAGTCCGACATTCAGCCGTGACACCCAGAATGTACGGTCCCGGCTCTTGCACCAGGTCTTTGATGTGGCGGGCGTGAACGACGGGAACGTAGAGCCCGCTCCACTCGTAGACACGGACGCAATACCGCACCGACTCCGCAGCGATCGTGAGCATAGCCGGATAATGACTGACAAAGATAATGCGGCGCGTGGGCGAGACGGCGGCCTCGACGACACCCACAATGTTGGGGATCGACAGACAGGTAAACAGAGGCCACATGGAGAAGTTTTGGAAGCCGGTTGGGGATGACGGGAACTGATAGCACAAGGCGTAGTCTTTCATATCAATTCGAACCAGGTCGTTCAGGCGAGGGGCAGGGAAACTGAGGATGCGCGAGACCTCCTCCGCGTGGAAGAGATTGGTGGCCTTGTTCCAGTGAATCCACATCCCACGAAGGTAGTCACCCAGCAGGTCGTAGAGCGGGTAGCGAGAGAGGAAACTTAAGCAATAGGGGATCCAGTAGGTCTCGTCTGGGTTGTCGTAGAAATCGGCCTCGGTTTTCTTGCGCAATTCACGGATTGTCTCGGCGCGTTTCTCATCGGCGCGCGACCAAACACGCAAGGCGATCCCATATAATGTGTGGGACGAGTCTTGCTGCAGAACAAAGGCGTGGTGGACGCAGTGTGGCTGGCTCTTGCCGGTGCAAATTTCCACATCGTGAGGGAAACAAGCCTGTCTCTGTCAGCTGCAGTCCCCTTGCCTCTCAATTCCATCACCTTCAATTTCGTTTTAGGTTTCTCCTTTATTTCCGGAAGACGCAAGGGGTTCGAGGTGGAAAAAATTGGGACTGATCTTACCCTCATGGCTGAATGCAAAGACCTTGCAATCTCATTATCCTGCTCGAGCCTGGGGCTGCTCCCCAGAATCTCCGGGAGCCAGAACTGACCCACGGCCCCTTTCATATGACCGATCTTCCCCTGTTCGGGAGCGGGGGCTTTGACCCATTGGGAGGGCTCCCGGCCCACACCACACACCATGTAGGCATGGGTGAGGGTCTTTGGTGTGCGTTGTGTCGGTTTGGTGCTCATCTGGGAGGGAATGGGTTGTGTGATGCGAGAATGGAGCGAGGAGGTGCGACTAGGAACGACCAGCAAATTCTCTCCTTGGTCGCGGGTGACAGGTCGATCGCGAGTCGATGGGCGGGTGAAGGACGAGTGATCTTTTAGCGATGGACCCATTGTGTCGGATGGAAAATGATGTGGCGATGGTTGAATTTTCCGACCAACTTGATATACTCTGTATACCAGTCGGGCGTTTGTCTCCTGACGGGATCGCGGAGGCGAATGAAAATTATGATGATCGAATCGAAGGAAGTGTGAAAGTTAATACTTTTCTTTTCTCTCTGGAGCAGAGAGAAACTGGACAAGATGAACCAGTCAGGGGTTCGCTGCAGTACGCCGAGGAAGGTGAGAAAGGAGTGACAACTAGCTGAGATGGAACGAGATGCTTTTTTACTGCTCGGCAGCGAGATTGAGGAGCATAAGCATTTCCCAGGCCATTCAACACGCCTTGTAGGGAAGAGACAAGACGTGTAGAAGAGAGAAAGTGACTCTCTTCTACAGCTGTTTTGGTGGAGGGGGAAGGGGGGGGGGAGGAGGGAGAGT